TTTGGAGGGCCAGAAGAAAGAAAAGATATCTCAGCCTCTTGCTGATGTCAAATTCTGTGGTTAACAAATACGCTCTCCCCACACATTGGTAGGTTCAAGGGTGGCAACTGCAGCCAGGCCCCTCAGCCAGGCCAGATTTGACCCAGAGATCTCCAGTTGCTGAATCCTACACCACGGGTGGGCAGCATTGTTCTTTGGTTGCTTCAGCATCACAAATCAAGTTTTTGCAACTGCCTTCTGCTCTGTTGTAACTCTTGAGAAGTCACAGACGGTGTAGTCTATGTGGTTTAGCTGCTTGTTGCAACCTACTTTACTTTAACGTTACCAGTTGCCTTGAGGGCCCAACAACCCGCTGTTGCAACCTGCTGCTAACTTTATTGAAGTTGCCTTGTGGGCCCAACAAGAACGAAAAACAACATACGTAAATGTGTGATTTGATAGTATTCATTTATCCTTTGTGACTTAAGTTAACAGGTAAGGCTTTCACTTCTTAGGTATGAACATGAGAAATTGCCAGATTCTATCAGGAGCCCAATGTCAGTGTGGCTCCCACAAGGGCTTTCCAAGCACTACAACAGCTCTGTGTGCATTCAGCCATGTGTGATAGTATATGCACTCTTCTCTGTATGTAAATACACATGCATGTGCATATGCATAACATGTAAACAGAGAGAAATAATGCCTGCACAGGGAAAGTGCCACTTGGGTGGGTCAGTGTCCTTAAATGGAAGGAGATGCCTGTCTTAGGACTGTGGGATTTTATGAGATAAGATGGAAAAAGTGATCCTGGGATTCTGGGGGACAGCTTGATGAAAATGCTGATACTGGAACTGCTGGAGAAAAGGCAAACTCCATGTTAGGCATAGTTAGGAAAGGAATAGAAACTAAAACTGCCAAAATTATATTGCCTTTTACAAATCTGTGGTGTCACCATACTTCGGATATTGTGTATAGTTCTGATCGCTGCACTTAGAACAGGATGCTGCAGAGTTGGGAAAAGTAGCAACTAAAATGAGCAAGGGGTTAAAGGAACTCTCCTGTGAGGAAAGGTTACAATAGGTGAGATTGTCTAGCTTAGAAAAAAGGCGAGTAACTGGAGGTTATGATAGAAGTGTACATAATTTTGCAGGGTATGGAGAACCTGGGCTTATCCATGAAGCTGATTGATGGCAAATTCCAGACAGAGAAAATATTTCACAGAGCACAGGAAAGTAAGAAACTGTAATATGGAATTTGTCACCACAAGATCTAGTTATGGCTGCTGAGTCAGATGGCTTTAAAGGGGAATTGGACACATTAATGTCTAGCTGGACACTGTGAAAACAAAATGCTGGACCAGAAGGACCTTTGACTTGACCATCACTCTGGCTTTTAGTAACCTCTTGCATGATGAACAAATAGGGAGATCTTGAATGCATTTTTCCTAGCTTTGGGTTGTCTTTATAGTATGACACTAATCTGGATTTTGAAGCATTTTTCGAACTTTTGTTATTTATTGTTTTTGAGAAAGAATTCTGATGACAGCCTCCGTTTTCTCCATCCGTAACACTGGGGCCATAGAGTGATCCACCTTTTCTGGATGACGGTTGTCAAGGATGATGAAACTGGATGTGCCGTGATCTAGCTTTCACATTTTAAAAAGCAGTGCATGATCTTACGGACACATACATAACTTGTATAATTGCCTTTTGGTAACGTATAAACCTGCCATTCGCCTTTTCCTCCCCTGCCCCGCTTTCCCTTTCCTCATAACTCAGCGCAAAGCAGGGCGAAGGGCGGCCAGTCTCCTCCCTTTAACCTCACGTGGTGGAGCAGAAGGTGCTCCTGCGGGTGGGAAGGGGCCGGCCCGCGCAGGCGCAGTCGGGATTCCTTGGCTTCTATGGAGCTCACAGGTGCTGGGGGGGCTATGAGCAGCAAGAAAGGTAAGGGGGGGCGCGGCTTCCCCCAGAAAAGTGTGGTGGGCACGTATTGTGGGGCGGGGGAGTGAGCGGAAAACTTTTAGGCTGGCTAGGAGGCTCGGCGGTTGCGCCAGGAGGGGCTTGCAGCAGGTGCAAAGAAGGAGGTGGGGGTTGTCGTTTGGCTGGACTCTGCTGCCATTTGCAAGCTTGCTCAGGAAACTTTTGTAGGGAGAGGGTCTCTTTCCAGCACCGCTGTGTGTTAATTCTTCTGCTGCCCCCTCCACTTCATTGCAGGGCCGGGGAACGGCCGGGGCAAAAAGAAGAAACATAAGAAGGAGAAAGCGCCGCCCCCGTCGCATGCTGAGAGCAAGACCCCCACGGGGTGAGTGTGGGACGAGACAAGGGGGTTATGGAGCTCGCTTGATCCGGCATCTTGGTTTGGCGGGAGGGCAGTGAGTAAAGCCGCCCGATCTGTTGGGGAGAGGGAGTGCAAGCGACTGGTTTTCTTCCGCAAATCGCTGTTCTCGGTGCGAGTTGCCATTTCCCCCAGCCGAGCCTGGTTTATGTGGTGGCGGCGGGGCTTCTTGAAAAGACTGATGCAGGTACAGAAGAACCGGGTGTGGGTGTGCCAGGACGGCGGATGGCCTCTTGAGGGCTGGCCTAGACATGCACGTTTGTTTGCATGATGGCCAGCTCGTGTGAATGGGCCATCGTCGCAGGTATAAGGGCGACTCAGAGGACTAAAGTGCCCCCAGAGGTGCAGTGATGCAGTTTTTAGAGGAGTCAGTTCGCATAAGGGGCTGTTGAGAAAGCAAGTGACCTGTTTGTATGCATGAACCAACCAAAGTGTTTTGCAAAGCTGCATTTTCCAGAAGCCTTAAGTCCCTTGCAAGGAAAACCAAACAGAGTGCAGATCTAATAGTACACTTGTGGCAATATAACTCTTTTATTGCATCATGGGCTTTAATGATGCTTGAGGTACACAAAGATAATAGAGAAGAAAATTCAGGTTTCAGATGAGATATCCTTGGTCATAATCAGCAAAGCCTAAATTAACTGACTGTGTTTGAACAGCTTGAGACTTTTGTCTCCCACTTTCCTCTTGTTTGTCTCTCAGTTACCAACATTTATAGTGTGAGCTTCTGGGGCAGGGACCTTTTGTGGGTGGGTGGGTGGGTGGGTGGGTGGAGGAAGTGCTCATGCTGAAAAGCAGTGTGCTCATTCGGAAAGCTGTGACCTACAGTAAGCTTTTGAGTTCATGAATGTGGATCAGGTGCCTTTTGCACCTTGGTGGCTGTGACAGAAGAACTGCTCCAGGTGACTTGAACAAGCAAACCAAACTATGTGTCCTAAGGTGAGGTAATTCCTAAGGTGAGGTAATGTTGTGGTCACTGCCCAGTCTGACTTGATGGGGACAGCCACAGTGCAGGTGTAAGCAGCATGGCATGGCCCCAAACAACTTTTTTGGCACTCACCAACATGCCCCGCCCTTTATACATTTGTTGGTCATGGGTTTGTTTGTTAACACATTTCCTTATGTGAAAGATGTTTCTGTTGCTGCCGATAAGTCTGGGTTCAGAGGAGTTGCTTAGTATTGTTGGGGTTCAGACCTCACCTGTCCTTTGCCATATCTCCTATGGCAGCCATTTTGTGTCAATGCCCATGACAGTGTCTCAAATTGCCGAATTTGCCCATGGCTCCAAAAGTTAGCCTACCATTGTCTTAGTGAATCTGTGATTCAGATCCTTGGCCCTTTGCTGAGTCCTTTCAGAAGGCAAAAACATCTGAAAGGGAATCCCCCCCCCCCACTGCTACACAGGGAGAAAAGGATGGTGAGAAGGACAGATGGACTTACAGCTGAGAAATCTGTATAACTTGGGACAGAGAGTAGCCTTACACATGATAATTTGGGGACAGTTCTGCTTGTTTTGGGAAGCTTACACACTTTTAAGTGTTGCTGCCATCACATTTTCAAGAAGTGTGTACTTAAGTGTTCAAGCTATGCAAATTTTATATACTGACTTGTGTATGGTGCTTTCTGTACATGGCCACTCAGAACTCCTGCTGAGTTCAACGAGTGGTAAAGAAATGAGGTGATTGTAGCACTAATAATAGGATTTACTGCCAGCTAAAATGTAAGGAACTGGAGTATTTCTTATTGCTACATTAGAAACACAAACATTTCCACTAATTATATGGTGATGACAAGAATCTTGACTTGTAAGTTGTTCTGAGACCTGATCTGGCTAATTGAATGGGCTACTTTACAAAACCTTTAAATAAACAAACAATAATGTATTTCACCCTATATTTTACCACTGCCTGGTGTTCCACACAGTTCTTTATCACTTGGTAGCATGATGCAGATCACCTCTGATAGTTCAGCATTTTGTCTTGCATTGAAGACAAAGCCAAAGACCAGTGAAGAAACCAGCTGCATGCAAAATGGAGGTTGTTGCCTTGCTTTGATGGGAGCAAGTTCCCATTAACTAGAAACTTGAGGGAAGTGTGGGAGATGGGCTGAGCACTGCTACCTGTTAGTGGATGATGAAAGTACCAGTGAGTTACTGGTACTTCCAGATGTACCTCCTGTGTAGTGATTTGTTGTCCCACAAATACACACCTCAAAAGTAATAATAATTCCCTACATAGGGTGTTAGGAAGTTAGAGAGAAACTGTGCCAAATCTCTTCTCCTGGGTAGCTGGAACACTTTACTCAGAGGGTTTTTCCCTCCTCTGGAGGAGCATCTAGCCATGCAAATCCACACCTGCAGCCTAGAGTATTAAATAGTCTGGTCCAGACATGGGATTATCACCTTGGCGGCACCAAGGCCTCAGCCGTGCAAGGCTTGGTTGCTTTCCCTTGCCGGTCCCATCCCCCCCACCCAGATTCCATTCCCATCCTGGGCTGCAGCTGCTGGGGGCTGTTGGGCTATTTTTAACCCCACTCCCGCCCCTCATTGCTGTGCACATTTGGGCTCTGACGGGAAGGAAGCCTCTGAGCTCACAAAGTATTAATGCCTCTTTTACTAATGAGGGGAGCTTGTGGAACAGATAAGGTGGCCGGACACCAGCATGCTGTTGCTTAGGCAGAATCTTCTGGCTGCATCCCAAGGCTGGCCGTGGCATTTGCACCAGAATTGGGAGCAGCTCCAGTCCAGACCCAGGAGCTTTCCTTGGAGGAATAGTTCTTCGCCCAGGGGAAGGCCTGAGCAGATTCCCCTGCCACTTCCTTGGACAAGAGCTGGAACATCAGCAGTGGTAGATGGGGTACTTATAGCCCTTTTACCAACTGTTTTTGATTTCTGATTGGCCACGGTGACTCTGCCACCAGATGTCTCCTGAGATGGGAGAGGCAGAACAGGAGGGACTAGGAAGCAGTAGGTATGTACAAAGATGGCTTGAAGAGGCTGTTCAATTTTATTTTATTTATTTATTATTGTGCTTTTGATGTACCTTACAAAATAATGTAAACCAAAAAAGATAGGCTCCTGCCCTGCAGTGCTTACAAACTAAATTTCAACAGAGCAGGTGAAAGGAGAGTTGAGGTTAGTGGGAATAATATGAGCAGATGAGGACACATTTACTCAAGCTTTAATTCTCCATCTTATGAAGTGAGCTGTAGACCCTAGAAACAGTAAATTGGAGATTGTTTAAGGTGCCACCAGAATCTGTTTTTTTTAATTTGTAAGTGATTCATTCCAGAGGTGGCTTTCAATCCAGATTAGGCAAAGCGTGTCTTACATGGATGTTCCTAAGTATGGAAGCAGGCTAAAAATGAAATTAATTAGCATTGGGAGTAGGAGATACTATCTCGGTGGCTTCTGATGGGTTTCTTTGTCTGCTTGTCTTGTTTCTTCCTTTCTTTCCACAACCCCCTTCCAGGCCGCAGAGCCCCTCCTGCTCAGATGACACTCCACATACCCCTCCAGTACCCACCCTGCCTCTCCCTGCTGCAAACAGAGGGGGGCAGTTGGGATCTGATGATGAGGAGCAAGAGGACCCCCGAGATTACTGCCGAGGTATTTGGGCATCATGGGAGTGGGACAGAATGTTCTCCCCAGCCAGGGGAGGCGCTCTTTGCTCAGAATTGTGAGTGGGGAGCTCGGACCCTGCAGTCTTCTGGGGGCCAAGTTGAAACATTACTTTCAACCTGTGTCTAGCAGTGATGCCTTTTATAGTGTTTACTCTACAACAGGAACAGGAACCCAGGTCTTTAAAAACTTCCTACCTGTCCCCCATCCCCCATGCTGGGGTTCTAATCCAGATTTGGGCCTTTGTGCTTCTATAAAGTAAATATGAAAAATGGAATAGCTGCTAAACACAACTTTGAAATAGTGTCTGAATTCCACAGGCTGAGGGCTGTCTTCCGTCTCTAGAGCAGGGGGCAGAAGCTCATGTCTGGGGTCACTAGTCCGGCTCTCTGTACTTCCCCCGATGGTTACTGACCTTTCTCTGACCACTGAGCATTTGGGTAGATCTGTGTAGTTTCATCAGATTGGAAAGCCTCTTCTAAGGCTTAGATATTGGCAGTAAGGGCTTCACTCTCAAATTTGCTGGTATTGCTGGCCCACCCACCCCAAAATGTGACTTCTTAGAGCTTCTTCAAAATGGAATTCAGCTGTTAAGGCACAGCACTCCTGCCCTTAAGAATAACAGAAATATATTAATCTCTTTTATGAACAACCTGAATATTTTATTTATGTATTTGTTTAGTATATTTCTAATCTTCCCACTGTGAGCTTAAGTGGACTCTGGGGGATGGTGGAGGACAGGAAGGCCTGGAGGAATGTTGTCCATGGGGTCGCGATGGGTTGGACACGACTTCACGACTAACAACAACAGATCTTCCCAATGTTCCCTGGGCAGGTTATAGCCTGTTACAAAAAACAAAAATGCCATTTTATAACACAGGTAAAAGTATAACGTGCAAAGTGTTAAAATAATAAAATATAGTATGACACAGAATAATAAATGGTACAGAAATTAGTAAAACCACCAAAATACCTGGAACTCAGTCTCTAAAAATGCCAGGAGAAAAAACTATTTTTGCCTGAGACCAAAAGAATATTTAACATAGGTGCCAGGTGAACCTCTCTGGAAAGGAGAACCTCTCATAGGTGAACCTCTCTGGAAAGCTCATTTCAAAAATGGGTTGCCATCACTGGGAAAGTCCTCTCCGTTTCAGTCCCCTGCCTAGCTTGCTTGGGCAGCGGCACCTGAAGAAGAATCTCTGTAGATGACCAAAGCTCCAAGCAGGTAAGTGCAAGAGATGTGAGGAAGGTGTGTAGGACCTCTTTGTAGGCCAAGGTTCTAGGAGCTGCCATAATTAATTGGTTTCCGCTTCATCTCTTCATTAGGTGGGTATTATCCAGTGAAGATTGGGGACCTGTTCAACGGGCGCTACCACGTGGTGCGGAAGCTTGGCTGGGGGCACTTTTCTACTGTCTGGCTTTGTTGGGACATTCAGTGAGTATTTGTGGGAAGGGAGATATATTAGCCAGGAGTATTAGCCAAATGTCCCTCGCTTCCCTGGAAAAGCAAAGAAGTAGTATTTTCAGAATGGTAATATGGAGGTGCAGTCATGAGAAGGTATGTGAAGAGGGAGGGAAGGGAGGAAAGAAGAAGTACATAGGAAATCATTTCTAGTCTAAACAGATCGGGAGAAGGGGCCTCTGCTGAGACAGGTTCATGATATTCTCTGTTTCTCGAAGGACAAGAAACTTATTTTTAAAAATTGCTCTTGAGATTATTGTCACAAAAGCCAACTGTATGTGTTTTGCTCTGTCTGGTACCTTAGCACAAAGACAAACGAGATTGGGAATGAGATTCCTGTGTGTGTGTCAACTTGTAACCTTTACTCATACGTAGTTGTTCCAAAATAGTTGATACCCTGCAGTTCAAGGCTCACAGTCACTAATGTGGACTAGATTTCCCACTCTGAACCAATAAGAATGCCAAAGGTAGAAGGAAACCCATTCTTTTTAAGCAGCTCATCACTGGGAATGCAGAAGGGTGGGTTGATGCAAGGGAATAGTTATTCTGTGTGTGTAGAGCTTGAATAGAAAGGTGACAATCCAGGGTTCTCCCTCTGTGTGAATGGGTGGGCAAAGAGAGAATGAGCAAGAGACCCTCCTAGAAGTGGAAGCTGTTGCATTTACTCAACAATTTTGAGGCTGCTTTGGGGGGGCCATAACATGGAATGTGCATTTTTTAAAAGGATGGGGAAGCCAGGGCTAACCCATTCCCTCCGTCCTTTTCCTGCACTTCAGGCGGAAGCGTTTTGTGGCCCTGAAGGTTGTGAAGAGTGCTATCCACTATACAGAGACAGCTGTGGATGAAATAAAGCTGCTGAAATGTGTGAGTTTCAGTCCTTGCCCCACCCTGCCCCCTTCCAATTCCAGGTGAGCTGTACTTCAAGGATTAGTCTTAGCTATTCCTAGTTCCTAGAAGGGGAGATGGTGGGGTTAACATAACCCTAACCTTTTGCTCAGATACCGCCCCCCTTGCAGGAAAGGCACTGCAGTGGGGGAAATGTACCCTGCACATGTCCCCAATATTGTTCCATGCACTCCAGGTTTGAGTCTTGGGGGCCTAAGCCCAGATACTACGTACAGATCTTGGGCTTACAGAGTGGTCCCCCACCACTTGCACAGCTGCTGGAATAGCAGAAAAAGGCAGTGAAGCTCTGCTAGCACAGCAATTTCCCCTTCACAGCAGTTGCATTTAGGCCGGAGAGGAGACCTCTTCAAATCCTGGCACCCAGGATTTGGACCAGTTTCCCATTGGTGGCAGGCCACTGCTCACTTTTAGAAAGGCAGCCATGGCTGTTCTTTTCTAGCAAGTTTTTGCTGGACAATGTCTTTCATGCTGCTTCTGCCTTTCCATTCTTGTATTGCTTTCCTGGAGTTTTGTTGTGGCTTTGTGGATTTTTCCCCTTTATATTTGACTGTAAGCAAGTCTGAGTATTTGTTAGAAAAGCAGGATATCAATCCTGCAAATAAATCAGTGCACACCATACACTGGAGATTATGCAGATTCAGCCTGCAGGTAAGTGACGGAGTGCTCCCTCACATTAAAAAAGCTCACTATACTTAGAGAGCTGGCATATGGTGGCACAATTCTAGGCTAACTGTTCCCTGAGGTGCCAGTTGTATAAATATAGTGTTTTTTACATTTCCAGGGTGCCTTTAGACACACACTCCTTCACCTCCAACCACAATATTAATAAATGTGTGGGCTGAGGTTCATTTTAACAAGCCCAACCCTTCTTCATCCAAGGGTGGTGGTGGGAGCTGATTGAGAAATGATTAGAAGCCTGGTCAGCAACTCATTTTCCATGATGGTCTGTTTGAGGTAGGTTTGTGGACCACAGCCTACTTTCCCCACCTTCTGAAAAGTTCAGCCAGGAAGCTACTTTCCACGGATGCCACTTCTCTTGGCTCTGCACTGGCAGCTAGAGGGGAGCAATTTGGACTCTGGATGGTTCATTTCCCTTCCTTTTACCTGGCACCTCTTTCCATCCTCCCAGGTGCGGGACTCTGATCCCACTGACCCCAAGCGTGAGAACATTGTCCAGCTGATTGATGACTTCAAGATCTCAGGGATCAATGGTGTCCGTATCCTTTTGAGGGGTAACCCACAAAAATCATGCCTCTTCCTGTTCAATAATACAGTGGTACCTTGGCTCACGAACTTAATCCGTTTCACGACTCTGGTTGTGACCCAAATTGGTTGTGACCCAAGTCAAATTTCCCCATAAGGTTCAATGTAAATAAGGTTAATCCATTCTCTAAGGTTAATCCATTCTCTTTTAATCAGAAAAAAATTGAAACAAAGTGACAAAGAACAACAAAGTAACAAAGAACTATACAGTACAGAACACTAACTTAGGTGCGGGGAAGATTATTGTTTTGAGGGAGAGTCCCCCTCCATAAGGACACTGGGGAGATCTCTTTCAGGGGTTTCCTCTCTTTGTCTCTTAGCTGCAGGGTCAATTTTGGTGAAAAATCTGTCTATAGTCACTTGTTTTTTCCTGCGCTGCATAACCCTCCGGAAATGAGAGACCACGTTATCGTTCATCAGATTCAACACTCTGTTCATTACAGTTACGTTGGGGTGCTGCTTCTCAAAGAAATCCTGGCACTCATTCCATTTTTTCATAATGGATTGTATCACATCACTGCTAACTCCTCCCTGTCTTCCTCTTCCTCAGTGGAATCCTCCTCAGCAAGTGCCTTCTGCTGCTCACTCTGGAGTTCAGCAAGTTCTTCTGTCGTCAGCTCCTCTATGTCTTCCCTGCACGAACGCAACTGCGATTGTGGCCATCTCCCCACTCGGGGGATGGGGGGGAAGATGACCGTGATCGTGTTGGTTGTGTGGGGGAGATGGCCGGGATTGTGCCCATCTTTCCTGCAGGAGTGCGCCTGTGATCACGCACGTCTTCCCTGCACGAACGCAACTGCGATTGTGGCCATCTCCCCACTCGGGGGGGTGGGGGAGATAGCTGCAATCTTGGTTGCCATCCAATGTGGAGTTCATGACCCAAGTCAAATGTTTCATGAAATTTTTGTTCGTGACCTGATTTGGTTGTGAACCAAGGCATTTGTGAGCAGAGACACCACTGTATTAGGATCTGCTCTGGTTCCAAAAATGTTACTTCTAAAAATGCCTGACTTGGTTGCCAAAGCCCTAATCTAGACCAAACTCTTCTTCTCCATTCAGGTGCAAGGCAGCCTGAATGCTTCCCCAGAAAACAAAAATTGGTGCCAGCTTCTTCGGGCAGATAGAAAACTAGCATGCCAAGGGAAGTTCTGACTTGAGGACACTTCTCTCCAACATCTGTTTGACAGTGATTTTCCTAGGGTGGTGGAGAGTGTCCAGCCCTGCAATCCTCCTCTTGCTCTCTGAAGTGGAATGTTCTGGCAATCGTATGAGCCAGTGAGGGCCGTGCTCCTGGCTTTTCTGTCCCTCCCAGCATTTTCTCATAGCATCTTAGAATGAAAAGATGTGGTGAAGGGTAGGGCAGGGGAGCTGGTAAACAGCAGCCAGGCTCCCCCTCTGCTGTGTCAGTTCCCTGCCATTTAGCGAACAGCTCTCATGCTGTGTGCTTCCCTTTTCTTTTGCTGCCTGTCTAATAAAAACAGTGGAAGAGAATGGCCATTGGCCAGTGCTGTGCTGCTGAAAGTCTGCCCATCTGTTGTGTGAGGGGGGCTCTGAAAAGGAATTCAGGTCTTCTGGTTGTTTAGAAAGATTCTTGATGTTCACTGTGGCCCATAATCAACAATCCGGTGCCTCAAAAGGTCTGTATTCAACATTCCCACCACCACCTACTACCACTGCAAGAACACTGGAAAGTTTCGTGTGTCTCTTTCCCCCCACATCTGCTTTAGGGCATGTTTTTAAATTAATCATATTCTGGGAAAAGGGGGCTCAAGAAGCATTGTTCTGACACATTCAAAGCAAGTCACTCTTACAGCCCTTGTCTCTCCTTGACTTGGCCTGTACCCAGATGTCTGCATGGTCCTTGAAGTTTTAGGGCACCAGCTGTTGAAATGGATCATTAAATCCAACTACCAAGGGCTTCCTATACCCTGCGTTAAGAGTATCCTACTGCAGGTAAAAATAGAATTCATTGTAATGTTGCTGGTGGGGGTGGGGGCGATTGATGAGGGGGCAGGTTTGGCTTGTGCAGTCAGGGCCATACCTTTCCTTTTTAAGGCGGCCCTGATCTAGATTACAATACTATCTTGTATTATCTTCACTATGATACTGGTCTGTTGATCAAAGCACAAGGACAAGTATCTGGTATTTACAGTAAGCCTGGCCTGGCCAATCCAAAGGCTTTGTCCTATGTGCTGATCAGAAGGGGCGATGCTGCATGCCCCTTAGGGCTCTGGGGCTGGAGCTTCCCCACAAAGGCGCTCAGGGTCAGGAGTACCTGAGAACACCACCACTTGCTCCATTTGAGTGTGCCTCTCGCTTCTCAGGTGTTGCAGGGCCTTGACTACCTCCACACGAAGTGCAAAATAATCCACACAGACATAAAACCAGAGAACATCCTGCTGTGTGTAGATGAGAGTTACGTGCGACGTTTAGCGGCTGAGGCCACCCTCTGGCAGCAGGCTGGGGAGCCCCCACCCTCGGGCTCTGCAGGTAACTAATCATGTCCGAGCTGTGCTTTATCGTCTTCCTATGCAAACACTATATATAAAACAGGGTGATTCCTGGCTTTGTCCCCCTCCCCCTTCTGTGTTAGGAAAGCAGATGTGTGGGACAGGTGAAAAACTCAGAAGTCGTAGCTAGCAAGCATAGCTTTTGGGCAGCTTAGAAATAAGAATGCAGCAGCAGCTTGCAGAACTGTGGCTTATGTTACAGTATGAAGCACTTGGTGAATGCAACAGTGTTAGGTAGCCATGGAATACGCAAGATAGATGGACATAGTTTAATATTATACTTGTAGGAAAGAAGCGGGTGGGACAATGAGAGCAGAAAGCACAAAGACAGTGATACTGAGGAAAGTGAATTGTCAGGAGACTCTTTCATAAGCATAACACAAAAAAATTAGCTGAATGCTGAGGCAGAGGAGAGGTGACTGGTGAGAAGCACAAGGAAGTTAAAATCAGGTGGTTTGTGAAAGCTGCTGCCCAGGACTAGCCTATCTTTACAGGAGGCTACTGGGAAAGGAGGAAGGTGTGTGCACAGCCCAGCTCCTGGCAGTGTAGATTGAATGCCAGCCCAACAAGGGAGGTTTCCATGACCCTCCATGTCCAGCTCAGCCAGAGCAAGGGGATTTTCAGGGCATGCTTGAGGCTTATGAATCAATGGCCCAAATTCGCACCCTCTATTTCAGAGCCCTAAGCCTGAAAACTTCAGCTGTAGCAATAACCAAGAGGAATGTCCTGGGCTTAGTACCAAGGCTTAATGTCTTAATTGGACTAAAGTACACATTTCCAACCATGACCAGTGGTAAATTGACAATTTTTGTAAAGTGTACTTAATTACAAGGCAAAACTGCAGACCCAACTAGATCTGCCTGTTCGTACCAAGGCACAGGTCTTCAGTAGAACAGGACTGCAGAAATCAGTGGTCCCAATGGAAAGGGCCAAATGAAGCCAGGCAAAAATGAAGATGATGGGCAGGTGTAGCCCCTGGTTCTATACCAAGAAACATTTAGTCATGCTAAGGTGATTTTTGTTAGACCATCACCTTACCTGTGTTTATGAATTGCTGAGAACCCCTTGGAGAGCTTTGGTTATTGGACAGTGGAGAGGTTGCCAGGAGCTAGTTGTCTTCTCAGGCTTTCTTGGGGAGAGGGCAGGGTCAGAAAGCTGCTACAGACATGGCTGGACTTCCTCAGCCCAGGTGGGGAGGCTGCTGCAGTGCTCCTGAGGCCCTGGACAACGTGGGAGAGCACATCCAGATGGCCCAAGGGATATTCCCAGGCTCAGCTTCACAGAATGGACCATTGCAGGCGGCTCAGTCACAGGAGGCACATGGAGTTCCTGACAATATGTGCTGGCAGGCAACCCCCACAACAGCCGACCACGCCAACGCACTGAAGTGCCAGGATGACTCCTGACTCCCCATCCTTTTGTGCCTCTGCCATGGCAGTAGAAGGGCCCACCTGGTTCCTGCTGCAGAGCCAGAGGGAACCTCAGGGATCCCAGTGGCCGATCCTCAGACTAGAGACTAGAACACAGGCTGGGAAGCAGCTTGAGATGCTGTTCTAAGCAGCACAGCAAAGGGCAACAAAATGCGAAAGGAAAAAGGATGGAAAGCTGCATCGACTTGCCCCTGGCCTGTCTGCCCCTTCACACATACACAAGTAGAGCAGCTTTCTCCATTCTTCTTCTTTTGTTGCCATTAGGAGCTCACAGTTGTTTTACTGCAGTCCAGCCTTGCCTTGGCCTGATTGCCTCCAAATGTGTTGGATGAGAACTCCCATAACCTCCCAGGCAGCTCTGTGAGGACTGCAGCCCAACACTTCTGGAAGGCACCATTGCCTTCTGGGAACACTCAAGCCCTGGCTGCTGGGGAGCAGCATGAATGAACACATCTGTAGGGAGCAGAGCTTGATGACAAGTCTGAAACCTGCAGTCTGGACATTCTGCAAGATTTATTTCATCCATCCCCAACTAGGGACCTCCCAGATGTGATGGACTGCAATTCCAGAGAGAAACTTGCTGGCTGGGAATGATGGGAGCTGTAGTCTCACACATCTGGAGGGCCCCAGGTTGTAGCAAAGTGGCTTATTTGATCACACAGGTGGCCTCAAGGGTTGCCAAAGATGACAGTTCCCTGTTCAAGACTGTGTCAGTCATGGCTGTAGGGAAAGCTAGGGTTATGTGGATAAATTACAGCTTCACTCCCTGGCTCTACAATGGTAGGTCTGACCCTACAAGGTTAGCTCAGCCACATTGGGAATTTGACCCCCAGATCCTGTTCCTCATGCACCTTGCACCTTCTTAGTGTTAGCGACTGAAGTTTATTTGCCTTGGATTTCCTGGCTCTGTGATTCTGGGAATCATTTCTGTCTCTTTCTCTCTCCCCCTTTTCTCTCCTCACTCCATCTGTGCACCTCTTCCCTCAGTCAGCTCTGCACCCCAGGAAAGCCTGGTAAGTCCCCCCCACTCTGGGTGTCCTCCCTCTTCCAGGGGCAGTGGGGAAAATGAAGTTTTTAATTGCCTGTCTTTAGGGCTCACTCGCTCCATGGAGCTAGCTGGCCAGGACCCATCAGCTGTTCTCCTTGCGTGGATGGGTGGGCCGTCCTCCCCCCTGCCCCCCTGGTTTGGCAGTTTGCTTCTAGAGCCACACCTGTATTTACCTACTGCGGACATTTTCTTACATAAAGCCAACCCTAGAAAAAGGAAGAGCAACCCCAGCTGCTCGTGGGCTCTTCTCAGGGCAAGTTGTTGGACTCTCAAAGAGAGAATCCTGGATGCTCTCTTTGTAGGAAGGAGAAGACGTACATAGTCTGCCAGATCAGAATACTAGCCCCAGGAGTGCACCTGACTCTGACTGGTAGCAGCTCTGCAAGCTGCCAGACACAGGCCTCTTGCATTGTGTGCTGCCGGCCCCATTTAACTGCAGGTGCCAGGGTTGATTTTCAGCCCTTTAGCCAAAGCACATGCAGCACAGTGATTGGAGGGCTGGGCTGGACGTAGGGGGATCCCAGTTCTAGTCCCTGCTTGATCATGAAGCTCGCTCGGTGACTTTAGGCAGTCATTGACTCTTGGTCTAATCTACCTTGCAGGGTTATTGTGAGGGTAGAATGGAGGGGAGCAATATGTAAGCTGATTTGGGTTCCTTGGAGCAAAAAGGCAGGGTATCCATATAATACATACAAATAAAATAAAAAGCCAGTTCTGTACCTCTGTATTATGACCCATTCACATCAGGCCACCCAAGACATTTTAGGACTTCTGTGGAAAATGTTGCCATTCCCCTAGTTCAGGGGTCGACAGCCTTTAACACTCAAAGAGCCATTTGGACCCGTTTCTCACACAAAAGAAAACACCGGGAGCCATAAAACCCTTTTGACATCTAAAATGAAGATAACACTGCATATATCGTTTTTAACCTTAATGCTATATATATCTTCATTATGATTTAGCTGCAGCTCTTGTTCATTCACTAAAAACTGTTATTTTTAATCTTACATTATAAACTAGTAGGACTCCTTTCATATATTTTGAATAGGAGAACAGCTTTCTGAAGAGTCAAAGTCAGTGCTAAAGGGCTCCATGCATTAAACAGCAAACCCTATAAGTTTGTCAGCAGTAAAAGCAAATGAATCTATCAAAGTATCATTAAACGTTTGGTTTTCTTCAGAAACGTTTCTTTTCTTCGATTTATCCAAGCGCTGTGCCGGCACGGACCGCAGACCGGTCAGCAGTGGCTGTGGACCGGTTGGCGGTGGCTGCGCTGCTGTGCCGGCATGGGCCATGGATCGGCCGGCATGGGCTGCGGATCGGCGGCAGCTGTGACGCGAGCGACGGAGTCGCAGCAGAGGCATTCAAGAGCCTCATGTGGCTCCGGAGCCGCAGGTTGCCGACCCCTGCCCCAGTTAATACAGCACACTGATCTAGTGTTCTTGCTTGGCTCCTGCTCGCTCACTTACTTACTTATTTATTTAGAATATTTATATGCCGTCCTTTCGCAGAGCCTCAGGATGACTTACATAAATAAATAAAAATAATAATATAAAACATGATACTAATAAAATTCCAGATCCACCCTGGCTGCAGATTAAAACAAATATAGCTAATATTAAAAGTTATTAAAATATTGTTGGAATAAAAAGGTCTTAGCCTGGTGCCGAAAAACAAATAACGACGGCACCAGGTGGACCTCTCTGGGGAGCGCATTCCATAGGCAGGACGCCACCGCAGAGAAAGCCCTCCTCTGGGTACTTTGCCTCCTAATATTTTTCACGGAGTATCCCCGGAGGAGGGCCTCTGCTGCCGATCTCAAGGGGCGGGAAGGCAAATACGGAAGAAGGCATTCCTTTAGGTATCCAGGTCCCAAGCCGTTTAGGGCTTTATAGGTAATAACCAGCACCTTGAATTGAGCCCGGACTTTGATGGGAAGCCACTGACTGGGGTTATATGAGAATAACGCCCAGTCCCCGTCAGCAACCTGGCTGCTCTATTTTGCACCATCTGAAGTATCCGGACTGTCTTCAAGGGCAGCCCCACCTAGAGCACGTTACAGAAATCCAACCGGGAAGTAACTAGTGCATGTGTCACTGTTGCTAGGCAGTTGTCCTCCAGGTAGGGACGCAGCTGATGGATTAACTGAAGCTGAAGGAAAGTGCTCCTTGCCACCGCAGTCACCTGAGCTTCCAGGGACAGCTCTGGGTCGAGGAGCACTCCCAAGCGTGGACACTGTCCTTTAGAGGGAGTGCAACCCCATTCAGGGCAAGGTCTAAGTCACCTACCCAGGAGCTCGAACCACCCACCAACAGGACCTCCTTGCTATTCAATAAAGTTTCAGTTTATTGGCCCTCATCCAGCCCATTACCTCAGCCCGGCACTGGTTCAGTACAGCCACTGCCTCACCTGGATTGGTTGAAAAAGAGAGGTAGAGCTGAGTGTCACCAGCATACTGATGACTCCGCAGCCCAAATCTGATGACCTCTTCCAGCGGTTTCATGTAGTTATTGAATAGCAAGGGTGACAAAATGGACCCCTGCGGTACTCCATGGCATAGCTGCCATGGCGCAGAGCCAAAGTCCCCCAGCACCACCTTCTGGAATCGACTGTCGAGGTAGGAGCGGAACCACTGCCAAGCAGTGCCTTCTACTCCCAGTCCCGCTAGCCTATCCAGAAGGATACCATGGTCGATGGTATCGAAAGCCGCTGAGAAGTCCAGGAGGACCAACAGGGACGCACTCCCCTGTGTCTCTCCCTGCACAGGTCATCATACAGGGTGACCAAGGCAGACTTAGTACCATACTCGGGTCTGAAGCCGGACTGAAATGGGTCCAGATAGTCAGTTTCATCCAAGAGTGTTGGGAGTTGTCCTGCCACCACCCGTTCCAACACCTTGCCCAAAAACAGGATGTTGGCCACCGGTCTACAATTGGCGGCCATCTCTGGATCCAGGGTCGCCTTCCTTAGGACTGGCCTGACTACTGCCTCCTTTAAAGGGGCAGGCACCCGGCCGTCCCTCAGAGAGGCGTTAATGACCTCCAGGATCCAGGCACCAATCCTGTGTTTGGCTTTGGTCAGCAACCACGACGGGCAAGGGTCAAGTAAACAGGTGGTGGGACGTACTTGTCCAAGCACCTTGTCCACATCATCAGGCCGCAATAACTGAAATTCATCCAATAATATCTGACCGGACGGAGTCATTGGCACCTCCCCTAGAGGATCTGAATTGTGGAGTCCAGCTCATGACGAATCTGAGCAATTTTCTCCTTAAAGTGAGAAAGTCGTCACAGCGGGCTATCGAGGGTGGTATGGGATCTTTCTTAGGGCCAGGATGTATCAGCTCATGTACCACTCAAAAGAGCTCCGCTGGACGGCACTGTGAGGAGGCAATGGAAGCGGAGAAGAATTTCTTTTTTGCCGACCTCACTGCCACAGCATAGGCTCGATAATGAGCTCGTAAGCGTGTTCGATCAGATTCATGTCGTGATTTCCTCCACCTACGCTCTAGACGTCTCCCAACTCCCTTCATCGCCCATAGTTCAGATGTATACCATGGGGATGAATGGGCTCTGCTGGATGGGAGAGGACGCTTAGGAGCAATCATGTCGATAGCTCTGGCCATTTCCCCATTCCACAGTTCAACCAGAGCATCAACAGGAGCGCCAGCTTTATCAACCGGAAACTCCTCCAGAGCCTTAAGGAATCCATCCGGATCCATCCGGCTCCAAGGGTGGACCAACACAATAGGTTGAATTTTTTTTTTTTAGGTTGAAATTTTTTATTTAAATAAAAACACAATAGGGTCCGCACCCTTACAGAGGGAAAGGCTGGCATCGAGCTCAAACCTCACGAGGAAGTGATCTGACCATGACAAGGGAGTCAGACCTAAATTTCTTACCCTCAGATCACCCTCTTCCTGCCCCGTCGAGAAAACCAGGTCCAGCATGTGTCCACATTCATGGGTCGGGCCTATGACATGTTGAGACAGCCCCATGGCCATCATGGAGGCCATGAAGTCCTGAGCCGCCCCGATCAGAACAGTCTCGGCGTGGAGATTGAAGTCCCCCAGGACCAACATCCTGGGGGTCCTCAACACCAGGTCCGAGACAATCTCCCTCAGCTCAGGCAGGGAGTCTGATGGGCAGAAGGGTGCACGGTACACCAGCAGAATCCCCAATCTGTCTCAGTCATCCAACGCCAGGTATAGGCACTCTAGACCCAGTCTCGAGAGAACAGGAAGCCTCGCAAGGGAAATTGAAGCTCGATGGATTAAAGCGACCCCCCCTCCCCTCCCCTCCGGGCGTGGCTGGTGCTGGACCAGATACCCAGGCAGGCACAGTTGAGAGAGGGACACATCCTGCCCCCTCTCCCGCCCAGGTCTCTGTAATGCAAGCCAGGTCGGCCCCCTCATCCACAATTAAGTCATGGGTGAGGGATGTTTTGTTATGGACTGACCTGGCATTAAGCAACAGCACCGTCAGGCCCAAAGGGCAGTTGATAAGCATACCTGGAACCTTCTGGTTGGGGGAATAACCAGAAGGGGGAACAGGTGTCAACCATCTGTCTCTCCTTTTGTGCCGACATGTTAAACCCCCAACGCCATATCAACCATTGCCCAAGACCACCCCAATGGTGGCGCCCACGCGCTCCCCAGGCAACCCCATAGTAGCAGCCAGGCGTGAATCCATTAAAACAATCCAATAAAATACAATTAAAATACAATTAAAACCCTCCAACCCACCCAGTTACAAAAGCCCACCCACCCACACACACGAACTGAGTCTCTGGCAAGCCCAGCCCCTGCACGGTCCCAAACGGTCCCAAACGGCAGTGACACCCTTGGGCTGTCGCCCTTGGGCTGCTGGCCCAATGCCATCGGCCTTGGCTGTGGCCAGCGAGTTAATGCCATGGCCCCTCCGTGCGCCCCGCCCCCAATTTGGTGCAGCTGCCACCCACGCCGGGGTGGGAGGGGCAAGGGCAGGGCTCGCGGAGAACTTGCCAGCAGGATGGAGGGCCCGCAGGCCGGCAGCGTTCCAATCCCCGGTCCCGCGGTGGCCGCTGTTCGTCCTTTGGGGCAGCGGTGGAGTCAGCGGGCGGGTGGGGGATCTGCAGCGGTGGCGGTGGCTGATTCAGAGAGGCTGGTTCTAAAAAGTAAAATTAAAAATCCTTACACATGGGAAACTAGCATTGAGAGAGAAAGCTTCCAGGCTAACCCCCTTGACATGCTACTTTTCTTTGCCTGAGGATGTACTTGTGTGAAGGAAGGTCCAGCCATGTAAGTCCCTACCTCCAGGCTGAAATGCAGACACAACACAGGGTGGCCGTGCATTGAATTGTTGTGTCTGGATGCTCAGCTGTAATGCTCATGCCCAAGCTACTTTCCCCAGTTATGGGCTCTCAAACAGCAGTGCAGGACAGAAAGTCCTGCAGGAGACTCTGAAGAGCAAAGCCCTGCCATTTTCTGCCCTACATCTCTCTCTGCCCAGTCCTTCCAGTTCACAAAAACAATTGGCCAGTAGACAGGCCCATTTGCTACCCAGTTAAGTGAAGAGGCTGAAGGAATGAGGAATTATGTATGGAGCAGCAGCATGTTGGATCTAGGTGTATTCCCCAGTTGGTCTGCCATAAGCATTGCTTGCAGCTTTGTGAGCTCCCATGAATTGGAGCCACACAATACATTACAGCGTTGGGCTGCTGTGTCACTCCCCTGCCTTCACCTTTGAGTTCATGAGGCTGTTGGCTTGCATGTCCACACTCTGCACTGTGGTGGATGCAGCACCAGCCTTGTATGGGCTCCCAGGACCAGTTCATGCATCACTCCTCTGTGCAGGGCTCATGGTCGAATATTCAAGCTGACTCCGCTGCAATGTATCAGGGTGGTTGTAGACCAGTGGTGGCAAACCTATGGCATGCGTGCCACAGCAGGCATGCAGAGCCCTCTCTGTCGGCAAATGAGCCAAGTCACCCCAGCAGCTGAGCATCGGATAACAGCACACATAGGGGCCATGCACATGCTCAGAAAGGAGTAGAGGCCCCAGGCAATGACATCATGGGCTGTGACTCATTAGCCGCAACTTGTCTGAGCTTTCGCATGGCCAGTCATTGTGCTGCCAAGGACATATATTTGCTCGGACTGGCTGTGAGTTGTTTTTTCTAAACTAAAACCTCAGTATTCAGGTTTTATTGTAGTGTTGGCACTTTGCGATAAATAAGTGGGTTTTGGGTTGCAGTTTGGGCACTTGGTCTCTAAAAGGTTCGCCATCGCTGTTCTAGAAGAAGGCTGTTGAAGTCAATGGAATGAGTGTAACTTGACTTCATTCCCACTGAATCAGTGAGGCTTAGTTGGAACTACCATGGCATGGATCCTGGAAGATGGGAAAGGGCTGTTTGTGATGCCTGATCAGTGCTGCTTCATGGATGTGTGTGAGTTGTCCATGGATGCTGTTGTCAAGTGTGGGACTCAGTGTGAAGCAGCCCTCTAGCTCCCCATCTTCGTGTTGGCCCCCAGCCATTTCCTGAGCTTGCACCTCCATGTGCACACGCATCCAGTAACACACACAAGCTTCTGCTTGTCGCCACGTGCTTGAATTCCCTTCCTTGCTCAGGCATTTTTTCAAAATCCTGTGTCACAAATTCTGGACAGCAACATGCTTCCTTCCATCCTGCCTGTGCCACAGTAAGGGCTGAGAAGCCATGCTAGTGCGACTGTCACAGCTAGGCTGTATTAACATACATACCCTCCACTGAGCCATATATCCAAGTGGAATAAACCATGATGTGGCATAGATTGACTTCGTTCCTACTGCATGGTAACCCACACTTAAGGGTTGAGTCTGGGTTGTTGTTGAATCATGGGTTACTGAAATGTGGGTAGTCATGTCTGAGATTAGATAAACCATGGTCAACAACCATGCTTGTTGCTACCCACATGTTCACACCTGGTTCCCCACCACCAGCTCAGTGGCCCAGTGTAGGGAGGCTTGGGGAAAGAAGCCAGTTGTGGTGGGTTTGGGGTGTCAGAAGCCCTTGTTCATGTAGTGCAGATCACCCAGGGCTCTACCATCGCACCTCAATCTACTTTGCACCCACCCCTGATGTAAAGTATCACAAAGTGAGGGGGAGGATGCCCTAAGAAAGGCCCCATTCCCACCCCATGCAGAGTACCCTGGCAGGCCCCAGCTGTGTGAGAGAACGCTCAAGATGCAAACCTCACTTTCATCCGAGAGGAGGGGCCATTCTGAAGGTATTCTGAAATCTGGGCATTGGCACTACAAAATTGCACTTTGCAAGGATGAGCTCTGCATTCCTTGGATGCAAAAACTGAGTGCACTACTTCCAACCTGGACAAAATTGTCAGTAGAAAAAATAATCCTGGCAAGTTCATTTTTGTACAGCCTCCACCAACCTGCTGGCTTTGGATTCCCATTAGCCCCTGCCAACTTGATCATGGGAGTCGTAGTCCAAGACCCCTGGAAGGCATGAGGTTGTTTGCTGTCATGTGCTGTCAAGTCATCTCTGACTTACTGCAACTGAAATGTCCTGTGCTTGACAGCCCTGCTCAGCTCTTCTCAGTTTGAGGCTGTGGCTTCCTTTGTGGAATTGATCCCTCTCCTAGTTGGGCTTCCTCTCTTTCTCTGCCATTGACTTTCCCTGGTTTGGGGGAGACTTTAATTGCACGTCCCACCAGAATTGCAGCTGGAGAAAGTGTGATTCTCCCACCTGCTTCCTTATGACACACCAGGCTGCCCAAGATGGAGGTCCTTTGGCTCGCGTGGCAGAAGCCTCCATCTTTCAGTTAGTCTGCCCTGGGCATTTCTCTGCATGCGAGCCCACAGCTCATTACCAAGATGCCCGTATTTTGTAATGTAGTTCCCAGGTGCATACATGAAGGGAACCTCTGGTACCAGTTCATGGACTTGCAAGTAGATGGAAGTGGCATAGAAAATGTCCTTCGAAGATCCCCTAATTCCTGCTGCTGATGCCCACAGTTGTCCCAGCTGCTCTCCTGCATTGGCAATGGATCCTGTCATTGCTTGCTGTGCTGGAAACCGAGAGGGTCATATTTCACATGCATTTACCGCAACCTTTTCACACACGCCCATTTAACTTTTCCATCTCAAACACACCTGTGCATGTATCCACATCTGTACATCTCCATCTACACACACACACGGTTATATCCTCCTTTGCCTGTGCAAGTGCAAGATTGTTCCCCCTTGCACACCCATTATGGTTTATTTGTCTTCTCATCCCCAGTTGCATGCTTTTCATGCCTTGTGCCTGTTCTCCGGAGTTCACACTTCTGTCACCAAGTGCGCCTTTGTCTCTGTACGTGATTCATTTGCTTCTGCCCGTTTTGGCTTTGGCCCAGCAAAGGCTGGCTCCAAGAGCTTTACCAGCTTAAAGAGTGACTCTGCATCCTGAGAGATGGGCTGCCAGGCCCCTTACTGCAGGGATGAGGAACGTGTAGCTCGGTAGGTGTGGTTGGACTGCAGTGCCCATCAGCTGTAGCCAGCATGGTTAAGAATGATGGAAGTTTCGTTCCAGCAGCACTTGCAAGGCCTCATGTTCCCCCATCCCTGCTTTGTAGGCTCAGTGGGGGCACAAGCTCCATTCTCAAACCCTGCCCTGTCTTCCCGGCACGCCAAACATTTGATTGGCTTGAGCAACTGCTCTGCCTTTGGACCCATCCAGCTTACTTCATACGCCCCTTCCCCATCCTGCTGTAACTTCTCCTGTTACATTTCATTTGTGCCTTTACTCCAGCTTCTCTTCCTTGATAGGATATTCTTCCTTTATTAGGCGCAGGACATGCAAGGTGGCCAACCTGTGTCTGGGCTATGCCAGTTTAGATTCTTGCCAGGAGCAGACATGAGGGAAAACTTTCCTCCGTTCCAAAATAAGTAAATCTATCCTGCACATAGAAAACCTGTGTGTCAGGATGCAGGGAGCATTCACTTAGCATTCCTTGACATGCTTATTTTCTCTGCAGAGGAAGCATTTTTTTGGGAGAGTTTTCAGTTAGATGAGCCCTCAGCTGACAATCTGATGTGAAATAGCTCGAATGCAGAATAGACTAAGGCCTTTGTTTCCAGCCATTCACTTTTAACATTTGCACTGTTAATAGACAGGTTTTTCCTTGTGCACCGTACAGATCAGCAGTGCCTTTTTTGATGCTTTCCCCCTCAGTTGTATGCACATGGCTACCCTCTTGCATTTGCTGTGTTTTGGTGTGGGCCAAAATCCCTGTTGTTCTGGGCTTCCCCTGCCCACTGACTGTCCCGTTTGCTTCCAGGTGATTGCCTTGGTTTGCTCCTTCTAATCCCCCCATGCCTGCCTCCAAGCATCAGGAGCAGGCACATGGCTATTGGCATGCTTCCACCCGACCCCTTGCCACCCCACTTTCCCATGCAGCCCCAGAATTATGAGTGGACAGGGCTGTGACATGAGGCCCTTTCATCTCCCAGAATGGGAAGCTTTCGAAGAACAAGAGGAAGAAACTGAAGAGAAAGCAGAAACGGCAGAGTCAGCTCCTGGCTGAACGCCTTCGGGACCTTCAACAGCTGGAGGAACTGGCAGCCGGTGATGCCTCGTGGACCCCAGGTGAGGTTGTGGGTGGGGACCCCCTGTGGTTCTGCCTCTGTGTGGTCAAGCCTGCAAGGTTTAGATGAACACGCGCTTGCATGCACATTCTCCATTTGTGCCTTGCTCTTCTGCCCAGCTTAAACATCTGTGACCAGTTGTCATTGATAGCTGCGCACTCCATTTATTTGTCTACCCCTTTAAAAGCTGTTCAGGTTGGCAGCCTTTGCCCCAGCTTGCAATTGTGAATTTTCTAAATTGACCGTGCATCCTTTCATCTGGCATGAAATTACTTCTTGAGATAACCCCTTTCACACATCATGCATAGTTTTTTACACCACTTCAACCTGCAGGAGGGGCTTTAAGGGACTAGATGCTTCTCCGTACTGCAATAAAGACACCACTGCACATAAACTAGATGTGAGAAGGAGTCTAACCTACCCTTTGTCTTGAAGTTTGGAGTGAAACGAATTTTATTTTTACTGCAGTAGGATGTTTCACCCTGAGGGTTCCTCAGAGCTTGAAGTAGGACAGTCTCCCAGAACAGGTGGATGCAGCACTTCAGGGAGAATATATGTCTTGTGAGCACTTTTCCAGGGTGGATAGATTTAAATCACTAGTCAGTAAGATTAGATTTAAGTCATGGGTTTCTACATAATTTGCATGCATGCCTGTCTTACCTGTAGGTAGAGGTACTTCATTAAAATATTCCCAAACTGGGTCTCTTTCACAGCCTGCTGTAATTATATTTTTCTCCTTGAGGGAGAGAATAATATAAACCTCAGGCTATGCACAAAAAGATCCAGAGACTTGGGAAGAATTCTCCTCAAAAGGTTTCACTTTCATTTTTACTGCTTGCCTTCCCTCTTCACATTTAACTTCTTGTGCAGAACTGTTCCACTCCTAACAACCTTCTGTTCATTGCATTTTTTGAAACTTAGCACTTCAGAAGGAAGGGGTTGATTCTCTGTACATAGATTTGCGAAGGGACAACAAGATTAAGGTCTTTTTCTCCTCTCTTTATGTTTATTTTATAACATTTTGCTGTGAAGAAGAGGCATGTGATCTCCACAGAGACAAATTCTCAGTTTTGAGAACTGTAAAACCAAGCATTTGTGATAATCTAGATAGAAAAATTGCCCAATGATCTTACAGAAACCTCTGGAAGAACATGACATTGCTCAAAAATTTAAACATTTCATGAACATACAGCCTCACGCTACATAAAAAACCCCTAAACCTTATTTCATGATGAGTAACCTTTCGATTATACTGCATCTTAAGTAGAAAACTATATTTAGCTAGATTTTTCCTCAAAAAGTTTTTAGTTTTTAAAAATCCAATTTAAATTAAAAATGTTCATTTAAAATTTAAAAATTCATTTTTAATTTTTCAAAAAATCATTGCTTTTTATTCACCCTGCACTATTTGTTGTAATACCTGGGTTCTGATTTTTTTCATTCCAAGTGTTTATGGGGTGCTTCTTGGCTGCCTGCCTCTGTCTCTTAGAGGTCTTTTTACCCATATCATTCTTGTTGAGTGCTCATAGATCTATTTGGGGTTTTTTTTACATATAATTCTTTTAGTTGACTGAATACATTAACATTTATATACTAAGTAGTTCACAATAAAAATACAGTACAGTAATACCAAAACAAGGTAAAAATACTATTTTTTAAAAAAGCAGGCAGGTAGTATGACCTTGTTCAGATAATGTGGCTTCTGTGGAGCTCTGTTGCTTTTTCTTGTGACAATGATGACTGCTTCGCCCTTTTGCCCAGCATTGGGAAAGTGTCTGAGAAACCCCAATCCTCTTCTTTCCTCGCCTGCAGAGCTGCATGGTGGCACCCCCATCTCAGTCTCCGCTGTTCAAGGAGCAGAGCCCTTGGGGGGCTCTCTGGCCTGCAGCCCCCAAAGCTTGACATCGTCTTCTGGTTTCCACACACACAACACCTACGACAGCTGCAACGGGCACTCCCCACCAGGCTCAGCCAGCCGCCACTTCAGCCCTGACTCGGCAACCTCCGGCTTCTCAGGGTCCCTCTTCTCCGGCTCAGCCTTGTCAGGTCTTTCTAACCAGCGGGAGCGTGGAGGGCTCCTCTCCCCCAGCAGTGAGTATCCCCTGCCAGTCCTGGAGGCTCCCAGAGCAGGGTGTCCAGGGAGCAAACTCTAAGCAAGCTTAACCTTTCATCTGGGTATCTACAGTTTCTCAGGTACCAGATGCTGAGCCTTGGCCTTGGCCACAGTTGTGACACAATGGGAGCACCTTCTCCCTGAGGTAAAACTGGAAAGATTCATCCTCTTTTCAGGTCGGAAGATTCAATTTTTGAATGTTTTCAGAGACAGAATCACCTGCTTTCTTAAGAGAACACATTTCTGCATGCGTTGCAGGGGTGGGGACCTAGTGGCTGCACCTCCCATCAGTCCCAGCCTTAGCCAGTAGAGTGTGATGGGAATTACAGTCTAACAACAGCTGAAGGGCCTTATGTTCTGCTCCCCAGCTCTTTCAGGGTGTCGTTCCACTGTGATGATTCTGATTTTGAAAAATTCAGTCTCAACAGAGGCAGAGAACTGGCAGAATTGTCTGTCCCCAGCAAGCCTGATTAGAGAGGCCTAGCAGGCAGCCCCTGCCTGGCAGGCAGCCCCTGTTTGGGGATCGCAGGGGAGTTTTCATTTTTGAATGAATTTGGGGTTTTGGTGACTCAGTACCACATGCCAGCAGAATGGCTGAATAGTTAACCTCTGGAAAGGGAGGTGCTGAGGCTTCAGCCTGCCTGGAAATGGTGCGTTGCGACCTGATCTCAGATGCTGTGGGGAAGGGAGGCTGCTTGTATCTTCTTGGTGATAAGGGTAAAAATGTTTCTTATGTGGTCAGAGGCAACCTTTTCTTAATGGTGATGCCAGGGGTGCTTTCAGGCGAGGGATTCCTAGCAGTACCAGCCAACAAGCTTTCTGCAGCTGTTCTGCCTTTCTTCATGGTTTTTCTCCAGTAAGAGGAAAGACAGAAGCAGCGGTGGAAAAACCCAGGAGAGGTGATGCCACTGGCCCTAAGTAATAACCTGCAAACAGAGCAGGTTGGTGGTGCTCTGGAAGCCCCTCAGGGAGCAGCCATCGTGTGCCAGGACTGGCTCTGGGACCGAGCCCTGGCCTGGCTGAAGCAGGGGTTCAGTCAACCCCTTGGTGTCCCACAGAACTCTGGCCAGGCTTTTCCCTGCCTCACGGGAGACACTCAAACCTTTGTCCAGCTGTTGCTCTTCACCTTGGCGGCCATTTTGCATCAGGGAATAAAGCAATCCCATATGAGGGGTAGCGAAATGACAGTTAATTATTATATCAAACGGAGGTTGAGAGGGAGTGCCATTTTGGATTTTCCATTTTAGACACTGATAATGTTGTGAGCTAGTGCCTCTGAAACAATACGTGGACAGATTAAGATGCTTCATTTTTAGCAGGGAGAGGTAAGGTGGATGTACAGATTACTGCTTCATGCAGTGGCTTGTTGGTTTCTTTTTTTTTTTTTTAATTCTGTTCCCCATCTTTGACTGCCTGAGCAGCTTTAGGTACCTCTGAATACCTGGTGAACCCCTTGGAGCCCCAAAATGCAGACAAGATCCAAGTGAAGATAGCAGATCTGGGCAATGCCTGCTGGGTGGTGAGTGCCCCCACCATCTGCCAGACAGGACAAGTTGCTTTGGTCGGGTTGGCCATGGGGAGATGGGGGTGGTTTTGCAGAGGCTGGAGTGCATGTGGGTTGTTTAAGGGCTTGTTCTCTAGGGAATTGGGGAAACAGGTTGGAAGCAGTCTAAATCACTGTGGATAGAATTCTTAATAAGTAAGGTGTTTGCAGCAGGCCTGGAAGGCACATAGAGGAATAATCACCCTCAACAAAAGAAGAGAATGCATCACAAATACTTAAGTGGAAAATGTCAGTTTTTCCCATCTTACAAATAATTAAATAAGTGGTAACTGATGTATAGCCCACCTGTCTTCTAATAAGTTCCAGGTAGTTTACCGCCACTGCATTCTCATGAGAATCCTGTGAGGTAGGATAGGCTGCAAAGAAGTGCTTGTCAGCAAGGTTGCCTAATGGGCTTCATGGTGAGGGCGGGGTTAAACTCTGACCTCCCTGGCAAGAGTCCAGCACTCTCACCACTGTACCACAGTGGCTCCTCCGGTGGGATGCAGTTTGCTAAAACATACTGGTAGAGAACACCGTGTAGAATTTTAAATAACACTGCAGAGAGTGCTTTGATGATTATCTCAGAGGAAGTTGGGAAGTGGCCAGGCTTGCATGGGGAAGTAGTGAGACTCGTGTGCTGTCAGGAACGGGGAGCTTTGTTGCCTTTGGGGAGGTGGGATGAAACAGGGTGCTGCTCCCAGGCCCGTCTGAACTGAACCAAGCATGTCATTGTGGAAGGGACATTTGCTTTGGTCTCTGGGGGTGGCTCTTTGAAGGAGCTGCCCACCACAGGCTCTTGAATTATGTGCACATTTACCTTTCAGTTAACTTGTTATGGCACAGCATGTGGCATCTGTGTTGTGTTCCCTGCCTCCCCCTCTGTGTGTGTGTGTGTGTGTGTGTGTGTGTGTGTGTGCATGTGCGTGCAGAGAGGGAGAGAGATATTGATCATATCCTTAATTTCCTCAGCACAAACATTTTACCGAAGATATTCAGACCCGACAGTACCGAGCCCTGGAGGTCCTGATTGGTGCCAACTACAGCACTCCAGCCGATATCTGGAGTACAGCATGTATGGTATGCTAAGGGCCCCCTTCCCAACGGCTACTCACTCCCTTCCGTGTTCAGTTCTGGTGGTGGTGGGTGGCTTTGTTGGCATTACTCAGGGCTGCAGTTTTTAGATGAAGGCAGCAGCATATATGGTTGGAAGCAGAGCCCTGGGAAGGGTGTCTAAATTCTGACAAGAATTACCCTCTGCTCTTGCAGGGCCTGGAGGACTGGGTAGGGCCGGGGAGACTCTTGCTAACCTGCTCTGAGACACACTATCCATGGCTGCTGGGTGTAGTTCCAGGTTTAATGTGCCACTAAATAAATGCACATATTTATTTATGTGTCACTAAATACATGCACATATCCGGAGAAGGGCAACAGAAAAAAGTTATCATTGTCTTTGGCTCCTGCTAGTGACCTTCCCAGAGCCATCTGGGTAGCTCCTGCGGACAAGAGGATGCCAGACTCCTCTGGGGTTGGGCCTGATCCAGCAGGGCTACTCTTTTCTCTAAAAGATCATCTCTTGTGTGTCTCCCACTCTTTTTTGATGGCAACACAAGCTTTGGAAGGTTGCCTTACTTCTTTTTCATAGTCTCTGTATGTCATACATATGGGCTTGTAGGCCTCCAGAGCTCCAGAAAGGTTTGCAGCTTTCCTGGCCATTCGGAGGCTGAGCACAGAAGAGATATGCTCCCAGCACAATAGAAGAACAGTGGAAATAGCCCTGCAGTTTTCTAATTGTAAAGAAAATAGGAAAGGTTGGCTTTCCCTTCTAACCACAGTGTGATAGCTTCAGTTTATTAAATCATCTGTTATGCTGCAGTTCCTCTGCAGTCAGGCAGAGTCTTGTGCTGCCATGACAGAGCAACATGCAAGCTTGTGTGGAGTTAGGCAGGGTGACCATGCTTCCCCTCACATGGTTGTTTCCTGCCACCACTCCTGCAACAACAACGAACAGCCCTTGTGCAAGGAGCCCTTCCAGGGTCACCAGTCTGCTTGCCACCCAGCTGTGTACTTCCTGCATGCCTGGGTTTCCTCACAGTATTTCCACTTTTCTTTCTGCTGCAGCAAATTCATTGGTGGGGGAGAGGGCAGCCCCTAGTAGGTTCTGGAGGAGGGCCATGAACCCCCCAAAAGTTTCCCGCCCGTGTTTTAAACCAAATAACTTATAAGCTAGACGATGAACAGATTAAATCCCCTTCCTTCATTGACGGTCCTGTTAATACTGTCACATATTTAAAATGTCCTTTGAAACAACATACAAAAGGACAACTTGTAAAAACACCCCACTCATTTAATAAGCCCTAATCCAAGCCAGCAGAAATCAGGCCTAGCAGATGCAGCAGCTCCTTCTCCCAAAGGCTGCTTGTAATGGCGCCATATGATGCTGTTACCATATCTGTTTATTTCATTCTTGTGGAGCAGGGGTGGGCAATGCTTAGCCTTCTGGGTGTTTTGGGCTGCAAGTCCCATCAACCCCAGCTTACATAGTTCATGGTGGGGGCTGATGGGAGCGGCTGTCCAAAAGCTGCTAGAGGGCCACACGTTCCACATCCCAGCAGCTGAGCTGTGGCTGGCTGGGTGGGTGTTTTCCCCTTTCTGCAACTTCTCGGCACAAATACCTAATCTGGTGATGACACAGCAATTGCTGAAGCAGACATTGCCTGCCATCTGTGTGCTGCATGAAGCAGCTCACAAAATGTGCCAGCATGCCTGGAGAATACCTCTCTGTGTGTCCCCAAGATCTGATTTTGGTATATGATGCCACCTATTCCAACAGCAAACACAGCTCCTGCCAAGCTGGCTTCTGCAGGGAACGGGGCAGTGCCAGCAGAAGAGTTCCCTCGCTGTTTGGACTAGAGGCTAAACCTGTCCCTGGCCCCACTGGAGTCCAGACAGTCCCATCTGAATCCTTATGGCGAGTGGCTGGAGCTTCATGTAGTTCTCTGCCTTTTCCTGGAGGTTGGTGGCAGTCTGCAGGGTCCAGGACCCACTGAGGGCCAAAATCCAGACATCAGTTCATCTGAAACACTGGTTGACTGTGGAGGGAGAGGGGAGATCTCTTAACAATACAGATGTTATTACTCCCAAGTGTGGGTACAACCCCCCCCCCAATAATTCCCTCCCACCTTTCTTGGGCAGGCATTTGAACTGGCAACTGGCGATTACCTCTTTGAACCCCACTCTGGCGAGGATTACACCAGGGATGAAGGTAAGAAGCTCTTGTTTGAGTTGATGAGGACTGAATCTGGGGTTGCCGGCTGGCATAATTGTAAAAAAAACAACCCCCCCCCCCGAGCACTGGTGATGTTGCTGCTGATTTGCAGGGTTCTGCCAGAAGGGGAAGTGAAGGGGCCTGTTGGAGGGGAATGGACCCGCCTGGCCCTTCTGTCCTACTACAGAAAGGAAAATAGGGAGAAAAGGAGCTCTCACATGGAAGGTGGGAGAGGGCGAGGGAGAAACCGGCCTCAGCCTGAGGGAGGTGCAGTGCTGGCACCAGGCTTTGGGGCAAGGCACCCTGGAGGGCCTCTCCCTTGCATGGCGTCTCCCCTTGTCACCCGGTGCTCTGACTTCTTCTCCCCACCACCTGCTTGCTTGGCAGGCTGAGGGCTAGTGAGGCCGCAGGGCGCAGCACCTGCTCCTCCTCCCCAGGGCTGCTGTCTGGGTCAGAGCAAGAGGCAGCCGAACAGGCGGGTTGCAGTGATGAGGAGGAGGAGCACCTGCATGGGGCCAGTGCTGGGCTGTGGGCCCTCGGAGGGTTCCCAGCCATGCCTCCGTTCAGTGCCAGTCCCAGGAGGGTCCGCATCCCTTTGTTACGTGCCATCATGTCATTTCCAGCTTAGGGCAGCCCTGTGAATGCAAGCCCCCGACTCTGTCTTGTCCTCGGCAGCCCTGCTCCATTCTTCCAAGTTCAAGGCTGTGGCTTCCTTTATGGAGTCAAGCCATCTCATCCTTGGTCTTCCTTCTCTTCATCTGCCTTTGACTTTCCCTAGCACGATGGCCTTTCTGCAGGGAATTTTCCCTTCTCATGTACCAAAGTATGGCAGCCTCACTTTTGTCAGTCTTGCTTCCTGGGAAAGTTTTGAATTGCTTTGATCCAGGTCCCATTTGTGTGTCTTTCTGTCAGCCCAGTATTCACAAAGCTCTCCTCCAGCAGATATTTCTAAGAAGGCATTATTCCAAGATCACCATATCCATTAGTCAACCCTCAATGTCTGTTGGCATTGCATTAATGAGGAGGAACTGCATTTGCCTCCCCTGCCTGGGTTCCATCCCTTTATCCAACCCGCTCCTTCCCCAGGAGTGACCCCCACAGCCCAAGTTCTTCCCTGCTGATCAGCTGTACCATGGATGGAGTATTGGGGGTGATGCTGTGGCAGCAGTGGGGCAGCCTTCCCTTCAAGGCCCCATGGCTCTGACACTTTCCCTCTTTCAGATCACATTGCGCACATTGTTGAGTTACTGGGAGATATCCCTCCCCACTTTGCTCTTTCGGGACGCTATTCACGGGAGTACTTCAATCGGCGAGGTGAGCTGGGAAATGTCATGTCTCTTTGTTGATCTGGAGGAGGCATGTTCCTGACCTGTATGTTCCAAGCCTTTCTGTGGGAGTGAGGTTGTGAGAGAGGACCCTGGGTACAGCAGAACCAAGTACTGGACGAAAGGGCCATTAAAGCCCGAGGCTTATGCGAGTAGGGCGGCATATAAGTTCTCCAAATGAATGAATGAATGAATGTTGCACACCACGGAGTCTGCTGTGGGCTTTCTGTACCCACCAGCAGTAAATTTCCTGAAGGTTACAACAGTTCAGGGTGGTGGATTCCAGAGTCCAGTTGATTTCATGAACAAGCAATCTATGTTCCACCACACAATTAATTGCTGGATTAATTGGCACCATTCTGCTGCCCATTCCTTCCCTTCCAATATGGAACACAATTCAGCAGGATGTGCTCTTGTGCAGAACTCCTGCTTGTTCGAGCGCGTAGAAGAGTGATGCACACAGTAGCTTAGATCGGTATGGCCAGTGCACCATGAATCATCACAGGGCCTCCTGTGGTCAGGCCCAAGCTGCTACTTCCTTCGTCCTGAGGACCCCAGTGTCTATTTTATTTTGTAAAGTGCAAGTTTCCAGCCTTTTTGTCTGAAAAGAGACACTTGAAAATGCCTGGGCAGTGCCTGCTGAATAGTGGCCCATGTTCAGAAGTTAATGCTTTAGTGTCCTGCACAAGTCTTTGCCCTTTCCTGTAGCCAGCATAAGCTGCAATCAAATACCCAATAAGAGAGGGCATGCAAACTCGCTGAATATGCACATGCTGTAAAGTGTTATTTTTCAGTATGAAATATGAGGGGTCTTCAAAAAGTTTCTGCACTTTTATATTTTATATTTTTTTGCTGATGGCATTAAAAAGTTGGTATGACGTGGGGAAAATGCATCACAAAGAAAGGTGACTATGTAGAAAAGTAATGTAATTTGTTTTTGAAATTCTTAACATACAGAGTTAAAAGAAAGTGTGGAAACGTTTTGAAGAACCCTCGTACAAAAAGCTCTCATCTTTGGCTGTCCCCAGTCTTTGACTCTCTGTTGCCTTTCTTCCCCAGGGGAACTGCGCCACATTAAGAACCTGAAGCACTGGGGCCTCTATGAGGTCCTGGTGGAGAAATATGAGTGGCCCCTTGAGCAGGCTGCCCAGTTCACAGATTTCCTGCTGCCCATGATGGAGTACATCCCCGAAGAGCGTGCCACGGCGGCCCAGTGTCTGGAGCATCCATGGCTCCACTCCTAGGACTAACTGTCCAGACCAAGTGCTTGGTGAAGTAAGGGCCTCTAGCCCTTGTGGATCACCTTGGCGCAGCACCTCGTGCTGTCCCTGGCGTGAAGGGAGGAGGCCTTGTTCTTTCCACGGTTCCTGCCACTAAGCGGAGGCCATTCCAGGATAGGGGGCAGGAGGCTGGTTTCATGGCAGGGAGGGGCTGGAGGGCTGGACATGGAACCCCAGAACCCATTTCTGAAGCACAGCCAGAAGTTTTCCCAACCCCTCACCACTTCTTTTCAGAGAAGTTGCCTTCTTGGTGCTTTCAACGGTCATCTTGCCAGGTGCCCTTGACTGACGCCAATAGTTTTTAATTAGTCTGGGAACTCCTCGCAAGAGTGTGTGTGTGCGTGTGCACGCATGTGCATCCCCCCTTTTAGGGCAGAAGGAACAAAGGCTCCTGCCTTTCCTAACCCCTGTTGGCATGCTAGTGAGAAGTGGTAGGGAAGGAAAAGATTGCAGCAGGTGTCTGTGAGGTGCAGGTTAAATACATGGATACAGTTTGGAAGGTGAACTGGAAGATGTTCCTGAGTGTTTGAGCAAGAAGTTGGAGGTGATGGTGTGACCTCTTAAGTTTGAGTCCCCAGCCTGAAATGGCACAGGCGCCATGTAGTTCTGGTGGGTGCCCTCCAAACTTCCATACCAAGGAGGCTTGGGGCATTCTTGAACCAAAACTGTTTTGCAAGCAGTTGAATTTGCGCAACCTGATAAGGCCTTGGGATAGGATCTCTATGGTAGAAGCAGTGGGAGGGGCAAAAAAGGGCAGCAGTGGGTAGGTAGCAAAGTGGGACGGGGGAGGGATTCCTGTTCCAAGCTGACTCTCGCCCAGAGACTGGATCTAACTGTACGTACATGCATTTGCTGGAAGACTCCCCAGAGTGGTGATCAACCCTTTTCTATTCCACAGATATTTGAGTCCTGTTTCCCACTGCCTAGACATATAAATCATAAATAATGCTGCAGTCCCTAATACGTATGTTTTACATTAGCCAAAGGCTGAGTTGTAAGCAGCCATGCAAAAGCTGATATTCCAACCATCACAACTTTAAAAACAAGTTGCCAGCCCTCATTATGAAAAATACATTTTTGCAAATTGGTAAGTGATTTTTTTTTCTTTTCAACCAAGCCGAACTTTTTGTACCTTGGAGAAGTAAGGTTGTCTCTGGTTAACTTTTATTCCTGTGCTGCCCATTTCCTTCATCAGTACAGTTGTTGCCCCACTTTTTGCGACTGGTGGGGAGCAACAATGCTCATAGCCAAGCTATTTGCAGAATGTATTTCAAGCCTTATCCCTAGCTGGAAAAAGGAGGATATTAGCTGTATATTGTTTGAGCTTGTGTGGTTACCCTCTAACTCCCTCCTTCCCTGTGGATGTACAGGAAAGGCAGAACTGTTACCATTTCAAGTGGCTGCTACAACCACCCCATTAATATTTTTGACACTTTTGCTACATGTGGTCAGCTTTTAATTATTTTTTAAGGCAGAGAGAACAGCTGCTCCAGAAAGCTTAGCTCAGGATGAGCAAAATGTTCAGGCTACTTTGTGCCTTCAAGAAGGAGCCTATCTACTGTTTGTGATGAAGGACTGAGTGAGGATGAGAGGGCTCCTTGGCCATTCCCTAAAATAGTTTGGACTCAAAAAAGAACTATGACTAAAGGAAAGACACAGAGGGCTAAAAATACTTAGTGGCAGGCATAAACCCAAGGTTCCAGTCTCTTCTACCAGGGGGACATCTGGTCGGATCCAACACAATTTAACTAAACTTAAGTCCCATTGATTTCAGTACAAAATAGGGTCAACTAAGTTAACCAGAATCCAATCTGTAGTACTGGAACCAAGGAATAATATTTCAGCAGAAGTAGATCTGGAGCTTCTCGGACAGCCTTCCCCGACCTGGTGCCCCCCACAGTTCCCATCATTCCCAGGCTGATTGCAATGCAAACACCTTTGGAGGGCAGCAGGGTGAGGAAGGCTGTTCATGGGTATGGAGCCATCTGGGTACAATGTTATTTAAGAGGAGTGTCTTTAAACCAAAGTTGGGTTGCAGGAAACCAGGCCTAAGGAAAGGGAGACAAGACTTTTTCCTTGCACTTCAGTCTCTTTCATGCAAAGCCATAGCCTTGGTGTTGGGTGTGGCCTGTGTGTGCTCATGTCCAGGGAGAAAGAGTGTGTGCGCGTGTGGCTGTTTTGAACCCACCCCCTCCCCGTGCTGTTGCAGGGATTAAATTCAAGAATTTTCATTAAAACATTTGCAGTAGCCTTTGCCTCTTCTTTTCTAAGGCCAAGTTATGTTTAAGAATACCATGGCAGGGAAGAACCCAGTCAGGAACAGGTTCTTAACTCTTGTGAGGGTAAAGGGATGGAGCTTTTTACTCTTTCTCTGAAGTGAAGTACTGTGGTTATTCTGGTATTACATTTTAATGCATTGCTGTGGAAGTAAAGCAGATCTGTGAGCAGTGCTGGAAAAGGACAGTGGAATCTTAGAATTCAGCAGCCTGAAGCTGTCCATTTTGCCATTGAAAAGAGAATTCATGCTTCTTTTAAAGAACCACTCAGTTCAACAGGGCCCAGATGAGCAACAAAATGCACCACTTATAGATGCACAAGTTTGCTGCAGGCATAATTCTTCATTGTGGTCTCTGTGCATCACATGTATATGGGTGCTGTGCCCTGCACAGTGCCTGTTTTCGGTTGCTAAATAGAAGGGCAAATTTCTAGGCCTTATGGCTATAAGGAATGGGGTACAGCTTTCGTATCCTGCAGTTCCTTGGTGCTCTCCACTGCTAACAGAAGTGCAAGACCAGGCACACTGAGAAATCTTCTGCCTCTTGAAAAATATCCACTCCCTTAGAGCAAAACTTCCTTCCTTCCACACTGAAACTATTAACTGCATAGTTTCATTAAGAGATGGTTACCTGACATCATCTGGGAGGCCAAAGCATTATTCCAAGCCCTGCTCCATCTGCAACTGGGCCTCACACAGGGCAGAAAGGGGTGTGCTGCCTGACAGGCTGTATGCACATTCCTGGTCGCGTCCCAACCTACTTCCCTCTCTAACTCTTACCCAGAAGGCCATCTAGGTGGCAGGATGTGGCAGGTGCATCTTATTCCATGCACAGGATGCATGTAAACCTCCATGCTTAGAGGCTTACATGCATCAAAGGCATGGGACATGGCTTGTGTTATGAAAGTTAAGCCTGAAAAGTAAGCGTGCCTTTTTGTAGTTGATTGGGCAAAGCATAGCCATCAAAAAACTAGCGTTTTTAACACACTCGGGTACCTTGAAATTAAGCAACTGCTTCCTTACAAAACCAGGTATTCCTAATTTTTTAATTGTTGCTATTCTGCCCTTGCTTGCAGATTCGTTCAGTAAAACTCACTAGTTGCCCCCCCCCCCACACAAATCGTACCCCAAACCCTTCTGCTTTTTTCCCTCATCCTGACAATCCATTTTCCAACACGAGTCAGCCTAAAAGCAAGAGACAGGCATAAACATGAGAGACCTCACTATGACATTTATTTCCTATGGGGAGGTGGGGAGAAACTGTCAATTTGCACACTATGTACAAAAGATGGAGATTGTGCTTTAATAACTTGTAATGGAAGGGACAGCTCCATTTGCTAAAAGAAGGGTCACTCCACTCTCTTTCGTGGACGTGGCAGCAGGGAATTGGTTTCATTGCGGCTGGTGTGGGAAAACTCCTTTGTTGCTGCCCTTATGATTCAGGATATCACTAATAGAGAAAACAAAAGAACAATCCATTGACCAGCATGAGCAGTTTGGAAATAAGATCATTTTTCCTCTCATTCTGTCTAATCACACTTATAATTCTTAATCACACTTATACTCACACTTATCTCCCTACTCAAATTCCCATCATAAAAGTGGCTTTCGCTGTGCTCAATGCAGGAAGGCTTCTCTTCCTCAATACCTACCACAAACCACATTTCCCCCTCCCCACCCCAAGAGTGGAATGCTGCTGCCTTCTTCACCTGTGCCACGCTAGGGCTGGCATTGATGATCTGCTTCAGAATTGACTGTACAGCTGCTGAAGTTGTTCCCTGGCCCCCAATATCTGGTGTATGAGTCTGGAGACAAGAAAGAAAAAAGTTCCATGAGAAACAGTTCCAACCACTCTTGCTCCAATCAAATAATTGTCTCCAGCATTTTCAGAATCCGGCTCGACCTTTAGCCTAAAAATACAGTTGGAGATTCCCTTCTCAATTATTTTACCATATATTTGTATGGTGAAAGTGCTGCTACTGTGAACCAGCTAAAGTTATCCTATGTTTCCATGCTCTTGGAAACCCACAGAACTAAAGGTCGAGGGATGTGTGTGCACTAAGATCTCACCTGGTTTAAAAAATCATTAACCATCATAACTTCTGCAAAAGAAATATTTATAAAGCCACCACAGGTTTGTGGTATAAACAGGCTGTGTACCCCTACGGCAAGGCCAGTTAGAATGCAATTGCTAAGCGACAAGGTCTTGACTTCCCCAGATTTGTGTGTGTGTGCATTTGCCAGTCCGCGTGGCTGCTGGCCCAGCCTCCTCAGAGTAGCCCCATCAGCTTTGTGCCACCACTGCCCCTCATGCCAAGTGTCAGAAGCAGCAGCCTATTCCTCCTGAAGTGGGGCTTCTCTTCAAGGTCCAGGCATAGCTATCCTATGGGGAGCGAGGACTTGAGGCAGAAAAGCTGCCTTTTCCTTTGCCCTGCCTGCTCTCCTGAGCTGAGCAGAAGATGGGGAGAGGCACAGATTTTCTCATTGCATTTGCTAGTTCTTGGGGAATGGTTACAACTTGTGTTTTAAGAGCATCTCAAACATACACAGCAATGACCACACAGGTTTTGGGTTCCCCTCCAGACTGAATAGCAAACTAGCATAAGAAGTTCTACAGTGGATTTCAAGCCCTCTGCTGATATGTAAAGGCCCAAGGGAGAGGCGCCCAGTCACTCTATATCTGAGAAACTCCTCATATTCCCAGTGTTTCATTTATTATTAGGAGACTGGAGCAACTTACATCTGCATCATCCATGGAGGCCAGGACTGCTTTGCGGATCACAGATGCGTAGCTGTGCAATCTGTAATGAACAACAAACCCAAGGGGTGTCTGGCGTGCCCAAATACAGTATGCTGCCCCACTGCCACCTGCATTCTTACGTTAGCTGGGATATATGTTCTAACCCATGTTTAGCCCGCCTGTCTTCTAAGGAGCTCTGGGCAGAATAGGGAATGCTCACATTTTCTCCTCAGAACAGCCTTGTAGGGTACATCGGTCTTTCACCACCTCCCACTCCAATGTCACCCAGGAAATGTTGCCACCAAAATGAAATGTGAAGCCAGCTGTTGCAGCTAGGAGCTGAACTAATTGGGCCTTGAAGGGAAGCACACGGCTGCAGCCGGGATGGGGAGAGAGGGCTCAGACACATACTTGAGGTGATCCAGCATCATACAGCTGGCAAGCAACATGGCTGTAGGGTTGGCGATGTTCTTGCCCGCAATGCTCTTGCCAGTATTGCGTGTGGCCTGGAGAGAGAAGCGGGGAGAAACAGAGGCGATGTGTTAGCCACTGAACTACATGAGCCGTGGAACAAGGCTGTTTCCAAAACTCAAGAGACTCTCTCGTGCTACATTTTTTCAAACTCATCTGCTCTCCACTGCTTCCAGACAATGCTAAAAAGATGCTAGGATGCCAGCCTCACCCGTCATCACAGCCTCACTGAGAGATCCCTTCTCCAGTTACATGGCTGCCAATCGCAATTTGAGGGTCCAGCTGAGAGGAGATGCTCAGGGCTGCCCTCCCCCCCCAAAACATGGGGCCCAGAACAATCGAGCACCCCACCTGCTTCTACAACTCAGGTGCCAATTCTGAGGACATCTAAATTTTATGTCTAGGTAACTGACTTCCACCTCCACTTTTTAAGCTTCTTTGCCCATGGTCAAATCTTATATTGCAGGATCCTTGGGACAGAGGCCTATTGCTGTCCCACTCCATGCTGTAAAGAAGAGGTGAGCAACCTTTTCTACCTGGCAGATCCCATGGGGTGCCAGGTGCCCACTGGGCTGCAGGGAAGAGAGATGGGCTCCCTGAGCTGGCAGGCTGCCAAGAGCAGTCAAAGGCTACACAGGGCATGTTGCCTGCCTTTGCTGCATAAACAGTTCTGCATTGCAATGATGCCACTGGCAACAAGAAGAGTTGCAAGTGAAATTGCAAATATCCTCAGGATCCTGTGTCCAGCTTGCAAACCTCAGCTTCGAACTGTCCTCCTCTCCACTACATTGTGTATCTGGCCCTATCACTGCACACACCCGAGCTGGTTTCCAATCCTGTTGAAGATGGAATCCTGCTTGGCCTTAACCCTACTTAAGGCTGGTGCTAATCTTGTATCTCACCATAGTTAAGACAGGTGTGGAAAATGGTCCAGAGCAAAGAATGTAGTCCTGTTGCCTGCTTTCAATCTCTTAATTACAGTAAAGAACACCCCACACAATTAAGTTTGCACAAGCCCATAAGGAAAACATTTGGTCAGTTGGCAACTACATGTTCCTGCCCGTGTCATCACCCACCCCACACTTTACCAGAACATTTGATATCTATCCCTCTCAAAATCTCAACGTCATTCTAGTCCTCACCGTTTCAAAAACTGCATAGTCGCGTCCATAGTTTGCTCCTGGTACTAGGCCTGGGCCCCCAACCAGTCCAGCACAGACATTGTTCACAATGTTGCCATAGAGATTAGGCATAACCATAACATCAAACTGCTGCGGGCGGGACACCAGCTAGAGATTCAAAGAAAGTAGTGAGAGCAACGTGGATGGCTGCTATGAAAGTCCTCTCTCAGCCAACCCAGTCAGAAATAAATGTGTTTCAGGTCTACCCAATATCATGCATAAAGGCTCTCTGAATTTAAATCATTCCAGTGAATGTTACTTCAATCTCCTTTATCTCCAAGGAATTCTATATTGCTTTGATCACAAGAAAATGCAACAGTCAGTCCTACTGACTGCAGAGAGGATAATACCAATGGTCTGTGGGCACAGACCAGTGGGACCAACACCTGTGCTCATTTTCTGGGCTCTGCACATAAGGTTTGTGGATTTGGGAAAAACTGGAAAATTGGGAGAGGCTACTGGAGAAATTTGAAGGGCAATTCTGTACTGTCAGAGCAAATGAAAACCAAGGTTGGATTTTCTTCATATAAGGCTTACGAGACTGCAGATGGGCATGAAACCAGGCCAGCGTCACAGTACCTGCATTGTGGTGTTGTCAACAATCATGCTGTCGAAGGTGATGTTTGGGTAGCTGGCCGCAACCTCTTTGCAGCACTGCAGGAAGAGACCATCCCCCAGCTTCCTTTACAGGAGGACAAAGAAGGGGTGTCAGCAAAGAAGATGGCCAGCCTGCTGTAGAGTTGCCACCCGCAGCAGAGGAAGCCCTGTGGGGTCCTGGACAAGTGCAGGAAGCTCAGCAGAGCTGCTCAAAGCACAGAACTGAGCCAGTTTCCCTGCCTGCTCCTGACCGCATGGCCTAGGAGGAAAATGCTCCCAAGACCCAGTAGCCCATATCACACAGGCATCAGAACTGGAAGCATCTTCAGCTGAGCTAGAGAATTCCCATTCCTTTCCCACACAATTGCTTCGCATCCCCAGATACTAAGAAATGTAAAAAAACCCACTACATGTGTCCATGACCTACATGATGTTGGCCTTGTGGACGGCAGTCACCTTCTTGCGACCGGTCTCATGCGCCAGCTTGAAGGCGTACTCAGCAATGCGCAGTGACTTGGTCTTGGTGATGATCTTCAGGCTCTCCACTACACCAGATACACTCTGTGGAGAGTGCCATCATCAGCATCCCTGGAGCTCCCTCCAGCCCCAGGACTGAAGAACCGGAGGCTAGGCAGGACGGGGTACCTACTAGGCATGACCTCTGCAAAGCTGGCCAGAGAGGACCACTGTCTTTAGACACCAAACTCTTTGCTTGTGTCTTTCCCCTCCAAAATATCTGCCATATGTAATTTCCAAGGGAGGACCTAGATTTAATGCAGCCGGAGCTGTGGGCTCTGCACCTGCCCATCTCTCAGCCCCATGCAGCAAGGCAAAAATCAAACGGCTCTTGCCTTCATGAGCAGAACCCTCATGCACTGAAGCACAAGTGCTCACTCGTTTGCCTTGCTTTGGCAGCTGCTTCTAAGAGGTGCATGGGGAAACTGCGTGGCTGTTCACACTGTTAAAGATCAGCTTCTTGACTTGGGTAGGAGAAAGCACTTGGAGGTGCACCATAAGGAGAGGCACCCTGGAGACCGGGAGGAGGAGCGACCGAGGCCAGACTGAGCTCCCGCACTGCCAGCTGCCAGCCCCTATGCAGAATATTATGAACAGTGGAAGGTCACCTGCTGTACGGTGACGCACCCTCCCATTCCCATCCTTCAACACCCACTGCAGAGCTGTCATAAGCTGGGAGCAGGCGTGCCACAGGAGGCACTCATGAGCCCTCATGCAAAGACGGTCGAGCCCCGGGTGAGGGTGGCCGGGGGATGCCAAAGGCGAGCTTAGCTTCCTCTGCAAACGGGCACCTCGTGCTCCAGGCTGCTGTATTCCCCCTCCGTGTTTTCCCGGACTATCAGGATGTCGATGTCACGGTGCCTGGTTGCCACTCGTGGAAGGCTCTTGCAATGGATCACGTTGGCAAAGAGGTCCAGGTTGGTGCTGTGGAGGCAGAAATGCCAAGGAGCAGGTCAGCAGCACAGACTTCACGCACAAGGCATTTTGGAGGGCACTCGACCCACTCTTCCCCACCGGTAGCCTCAATAAGAGGGTTGTGTTGCTACCAATAGTCCTGCCCTGCTGCGGGAGGACAACCTGTGCCACAGGAAGCAGGCTTTTCCGACATGCCTGGACAGGAGCTGGAGAAGCGGGCACGGGAATACAGGCCTGCACACCCACCTGCCCCTCTTGTGCTGCATGGCGCTCTGCTCAGCAACGAGGAGGAAAGCCTCGCCATGCTGCTACACAGAATGTGCATGGGAGGACACACAAGCCTCGCTCTTAGGACAGGCAGCACTGCCACGCAAGCCACACAGAAATGAAGGACACAGGCACATACATTTTAGCATAACATCTTCCATCCAGTTCCAAGATTCATACTTTTGGCTGTTAATTTTTAAGATTCTGGAGAGAGGCAGAGAGACTGGGAAAGAGCTCCTGGGAAGGACTACTAAGCTGTTGCTTAAGGTTTTGCAGCTTCTTTCCCAGCCCAAACTGTGTGGGCTGCCCAGACCCAGTTTCACTCCAATGACCTTATCAAATATAGCATCATGCAGTCAAGCACTCCCCTACTTTTGCAGAAAAGCAAACTGAGGTCCCTGGAGGTGCCATAAGCTGCACCCTAATGAGTACTAAAAACTTTGGGGAAAAGATACTAGGAAAAGGATTCAAATCTTTCCTAGAAGCTATCCAAGGGCCTCTGTAAGAAATGAAGCACCACCCAGCTTGGTACTCCCAACTCCAGCCACGGCGTTAGCATGGCAAGGGCCATTATTCTGGCCTATCAGTTGCTTGCCAGCAGAACCGGGTACAGGTGATGCAACATGAAGAAAAGCATTGTCCAGGACCCTCCTAATCCTTGAAGAGATGGTGGAGAAAGCAGAAAAGACAGCATGGGACATCAAGCCTCATGAGAAATCAAATGCACAGGGAGAAATGCAATGTACAAGAATCAGCATATGACCCTGCCCCTCAAGCCCAGCCCCTTGTCCAACCCCGACCTCACCTTCTAAGCAGTGTGGTCTGACAGACATGGGTTGTTGCCTGCCAGATGTCTGACATCAGCCCCTTGTTTTTGCAGTCCAAGGCAGTCAACACAAGAACCAGTCTGGTTCATGGAGCTCCTGGTGAGCCACTCTCTGTGACTGGTTAGCTCAAGCTGTGCAGAGCCCAGTGAAAGAAACTCCAAAGCTCTGCCTGCCATTTGGTTAACCTTCTCTCATCTTACCGCAATATGTTGTTCCGGGACTTGTGGGAAGGTGGTAGATTATGGTTTGTCTCGATGTTTCCTATAAAGCCAGGAAGAAAGAACCAGTTAGAAAACGGGACCCATTTCTGGCCCTGGTAAGCAAGATGCAATAAGATGGGCCAGCCTAATAACAGTGTCTGTGCTAATCCTTGTCTTAAGTCTAGGGATAGGAACCCATGATGCACATAGATGTGGATAAACCACCAGAGCTTAGAAATCTGGATATTCAGAATTCCAAACTGTCAACAAATATTCTGAGATTCTGGAGAAAATACACAGTTTGTCAGCTTCTGTCTCTCTATCCATTAAATGGGAATGAGTGGCACCAATCCTCCAGGGAAAATTGCTTTAAGGCATGAGTAATAGCAGAGGCTCCTCAAGCTCGTCTTTTCACATATTGTTACAGCAAAACCAGAATGGGCTCGTTCTAGATGATGAAAAGGAAAGAACTAAAAAATGTCTGTCATCCAAAAAGCATTTGGAAATAAAAAGTCACCCCATGGTCTACCATGAGGAATGCACCATCCATAGTATCAAGGGGCTGTGCATTATTATTCCTAGTAGTAATGCCTATATATGGCATAATACAATAATATCTCTCAGCCTAACGGGCAAGATAGCCATCAGTCCCAACCACCATCAGTCACATGCACCAGCTCACCTTAGAATTAAGCCAGCCACTTTGGAATTAAGACCCCATCGCAGAAAGCAGGAGACAAAAAGGGCACCATTCCACAGGACCAACAGAACACAGACATCGGAACAGGTGTTTCTCCAGTTGTTGTTGGACTGTAATTCCCATCACTCTTAACCACTGATTCTGCTGGCTAGGGCTGATGGGAGTTTCAGTCCACCAGTGACTACCTGTTCCCCATGCCTGCTACAAGCCAATCCACCACTGAGGTTGCAAGCTCCCCGCCACCCCATTTTGCAGTTATGCCCCACAAACACTGAGCTGAGAAAACAAGTGTGGCGCCTGCTTCTGCTTAAAGAACCCATGACCCAACAAGAGTCCCCCACCCCTCTCCTCTGGCTTTTAGCAAGCCCTCTAGCCCATGTGGTACAGTACCCCGGGTCTAGGCCAGACTGTCTTCTGCTCAACAGGCCCTTGCAGCTCCCCACCCACAGTTAGCTGATACACAGGACACTCCAGGTACTTCATCTTTTCAGCCTCCTTTTAGCAGAATGACTCTACTTGCATGACTATGTCCACTGTGAAAAGACCACCATTACCTTTCAAGGCCACACGGTTCCGACGGATGGCCATGAGGGCATTCTTGATGTCCTCTTCAGATGCCTCTGAGCTCACCAGAACTTCTTCAAAATCCACAGGAACACTAGCATGCCTGGTGGAGGGATAAGAGAAGTCTGGGGCAGTCACTGGGAACCTGATCATGGCTCTGTGGGGCATAAGAGGTCTCCATTGATGCACAGGCTTGGAAACTGGGGAGAGGGAGGGAGCTGATACCTGAACAACTCCTTGACATGAAGCATGAGTTCTGGCCCAATGCCATCTCCGGGAATCATGGTGACAGTGTGACGTCCCCCATATTTGGCAGGTGGAGGCTGTAAAAAAAGAGAAATAGGTACAGGGAGACTAGAACAAAATCCAGACATTTCTCATCATCTCCAATTAGCCCCAGATATCCCCAGGACTGCACAATGCACAGAAAAATGGCTAGTAACATCAATCCTAATTTGCCCCTTTCTAGAAAGAAACTTTCCCGTGCTTCTGGTCCAAATTCCTTGGACTGGTGATACAAGGAATAAGACCACAAAAGAAGTTGCCAAGGTTGGAAGAGTGGACATTTAAACAGCAATGAATGTAAAGTAATGCACACTGGGGCAAAAGAATCTTGTCTACACATAACCACTGCTAAACGAGCCAGGAAAGAGATCTCAGAGTTGCATGGCCTCTGAAAACATCAACTATATCTCCAATTGCATGCGCACCTACCTGGGAGTTAGTCCCATGAATTTCTGAGATTTACTTTTGTGTAATGCATGTGTTGTAGCGTCAGATAAGAACAATTCCATGCCCGGAATTATTATATTAAAGAACAGGATTAAAAATAAACCAGTCATTATCCTAAAGGCATGATATAACCTATACACCTGGAACACTCAGGGAGAGTCCTTAGCTAATGCGGCAGGACTATTGAATAAACAAAACAGTTTGGACTAATCTGGATCGCTAGAGAATATTGAGAAGAATGTTGCGAAGAGAAAAACAAAGGGAAGGCCAAAGACACTGATTTAGCGGCTGGGGTATGTTCTATATTAGGGAAAAAAACATTTGGGATCTTCCTTATAGTTTAGAAAGGCTGGGAAACAGAGGTAAGGAGGGACATGACAGAATTTTATAAAATTATGCATAGTGTGATGGGAATGGGGAGATAATTTTCTGCAATCTTTCTCCTGTAAGAGCCTAAGAGCCTTGCTAGATCAGACCCAGGGTCTATCTAGCACACATTCTGTTCACACACTAGCCACCCAGCTGTCCACAAGGCAAACAAGCAGGGCAGAAGAGCAGCAGCACCCTGCTGTCCATGTTCCCCAGGAACTGGCACACATGAGCATGCTGCTTTTGATACATACAGCATATAGCCATCAAGACTGGTTGCCACTGATGGCTCCATGAAACTAGAACTTGGGGGGCTCACCCTACAATATAATGTATAATATAATATAATATAAAGAACAATAAATATAATGGCAACAGGTTCAAGGAAAGCATGTCTTCACACAACACATAACTGATGGAACACAAACTGGCTTGGAAAGGGGGATCAGAAAAATTCATGCAGCAACTAAAGGCATCATGGCCAGTCCTGAACACCAAGGCTCGGGAGTACAGTAGGGGCAGGACTACTGCCTTCAGGCCCTTGGATGATCCACCCAACCACTGAGAAAAACAGGAGTATTCATTTGTTTCCTTATTTACTAGATGTGCTTGTGGTCTGATACAGCACAGGTGTTTCCATTGTTTTTATGACTGTACACTGTATACAAGCAAAGCACATTCTCTGTTGCATATGCAGATCCTACAACCTCAGAACCATACCTATTTCTCACCATTCACTTTTAAGAGAAGCACACAATCAGCCATCACCCCTTGCCCATCACCATCCAGCTCAGGTCTCTTCCAGCCCCTGAATATTTGATAGGTGCAGTTGAGGCCTCTGCATATTGGCTAGAAAGTTAGATTTAGTATTGACAAGGTAGGAAAAATACTTACAATGGTTGTTTGCTGTAGGAGGCATGACAGGAACAGATATTGGGGAAAGAAAAAGATGTATTTAGGCAGCAGTTAGAAAATGCAACCTTAACTAAAAGGCATCTTGACTATTTTGTTAGCCTGGTGTTTCACCATCTCTTATGTCCTTACAGTAGTCCAGGCATCTAAAACAGCTGTAAATGAACCTGCCTCGGCAAGGGGGAAGTGACAGCCAACAACACATGACTGCCCCACTCACTTCAGCATCTCTCTGAAACTAAGGCTGCATAGCAGAAGTGCAGAACCTTAGGCCTGGCAGCTTAATCATGCTACCTGGGACCATAGATGGCCACCCCCCTGCCACCACAACCAGCAATCATCTCTTGGGTTCCAGGCATTTGCAGTTTTCCCCCAATCTGACTGACTAAAATGCCATTCATAGGGTTTACTTATTGGCAGTAAGAACTTTAAAGTAAAATGGCGTGCTGTGTTTGGCTGCACTCCTTTTGCCTTCAGCCCTCAGGCTAAAAGATACTGAATGCTCACACGCAAGCTATACACACCGAGGCCACGTTCCTGCGACTGCCATCTGTTACAGCCTGCACCTGTGAGGAAGAGGTGAAAAATAGGACAGACTAAGGAACAAGATTTGGGAATCTAGAAGGGTATAAATTCTTACAAGAGGGGAATAGGACTTAGCTGGGGTTAAGCACCCTGCTTGGCCCCAGAGAATTCTGGCCTTGAATGAGACTTTGTCATTTCTCTTTGCCAAGCATGGGGTTCAGCACCTGATCTTTTGAACAGTATTCTGATCAGCTGATTTGATTGCATTTTTAAAGCCACCATTTTGTAGAACTGTGCAAAACCTTATGCTAAGCACAAACACCCAAATTAATTCACAGTCAAGCAGTTTTTTAATAAACTGACAGTTGCACATGTTGATCAAAATCAAACTACACACAACAAATACATGTTTGAAAGCACATTCCTTTATCCAAGATCCACTAGTTGAGAAGCATCAGAATTCAGCAGAAGCCCTGTAATGCTCACATGATGCTGGATATGCCATCACCACAAAAAGAAAAAAAATACAATAGTGGAACATTTCAGATATGCCAACAGTGCTATTCTGTAAGCTAAGATATACTGGCAGATAGACTTAAATGGAGCATGTCCGTGGGCAGGACACAGGGAAGCACAATCCTGTAATTCCTTTGCTGCTCCTAGTTATAGTCACATCCTTGTCAATGCTGCAGCTTTACACATTTGGTGTTCTCAGGGTGGTTTCCACAGACACTTGCATTGGTCCCCAAACATGTTTCTGATTTAAATAATGCATTTTATTTTAAACTGAGAGCCTAATATACTGCAAGATAAAAGTGCTGAATTCCAGCAGCAATGTTTATTTCCATGAATATTCTCAGGATTCAGAAAATAAAAATGTTGGGTGGTTGTAGCATAGTGCTTTGTTTTGATGCATGCCCCCGCCCATTCATAGAAGTAAAAAAGGAAAACTCAAGGATGGTACAAAACATTTGGGGAGAACAGAAGGAAGAGAGACAAGGTGTTTTGCCCATGCTGAGCACGAGTTCCTCTGAGAGAATCACAAGTCTGACATGTGAAATAGGTACTAGAGTAGGAAGTGGAGCATTCAAAAGCATCTCAGAATGCAGTCACCATTTCTGTCTTCTACTTAGCTTCTTGGACATGGGTTTGTTTTTTTTAGCCTCACCAGTTTGCCTTCTAGAAAATGGGTACTTGTAATTGTGTATCTACTGGCAGATTTGTGCACGTTCTGCAAGAGATCAGCTTCTTTCTGTATCCCAGATATTTGGTAATACCAACGACACAATTACTTCTCCCACCTACACTCAGTTGCTGAAATGAAGACAGCTCAGTTGAAGGACAGAAAACAGATTCCCAGACTCAGAATGTTCTAAAATGGACTATAGGACGGCATTCAAATACAATCATTCAATGGCATTCCATTCTTTCATTCGAAATGCAAGTCGTTTCTACCTAGATCTTGTTGGTGCATCTCGGGGTTTTTAAAAATACTAACTTCGAAAATAATTAGAAAGCAAAACTTGACATATCCCCATTCCTGATCTGTAGAAGACTCAACACAGCCCTTTAATTCTCGTCTACTGTATCTGCGTAGTCCAATCCTTAAAGCAACTACTCTCACCCCTCTGGAGAATAGACCGCACCAAGGTATCTTTCTGGGAACGCCTCATTCAGAGCATCTACCCAATGGCAGAGCCAAGTTCTCCTTTTGTCCCGCCTACTATTTGTTCTCTAACAAATCAGAAATGCCGCAGTGCCTCTTCCCACCCCCGTGGACAAAACAGAGTGGTCCTGAGTTGCCTTCGCTTCCCACAAGGTCAATGTCACAACCGTAAGCTAGTCGTCCTCTCACCGAACGAGGTGTCAGCAAGACCGGTCTCCAGAGATGCTTAGTGGTATTCAAAACTACCGAAGCTGCCATCCTTGAGTCTCCTTTGGGGGTGGCGGTCCGGATGTACTATTGAAGAAACCTTCACAGCGAGAGTTGCCATAAAATCCCGCGAGAGAGAATGACAGCTTCCCCGCGCGAATAGTAGAAACAGCGCATGGGCAGAAAAGGTTCTCTGACTTCCTGTTACCCCCATTTCAGATAGGGGAAAAGTGGGAGTCTGAAATCCCTAGCAAACCTTTATCGGGAGTGCGTCTCGTTCTTGCTCTGCAGAATTAGAACAGAATCCTATCCATGCTTAGACAAAAAAAGTCTACACCTACAGCCAGTGTGGTTAACAATGCAGGCCTGGGACTTGGGTTCTAGTCCCCACTGTGCCATGGAGCCATCTGGGTGTCTTTGGGCCAGTCACAGACTCAGCCCAACCTACCTCGTAGGGTTGTTGTTGTGGGGATAAGATTGAGAGTAGGAGGATAAAGAGAATGATGTAAGCCACTTTGAGTTTGTAAGAAGAAAGCAGAATAGTAATCTAATTAAGAAATAAACTCTCAACATTCCCCAACAAGAATGGGATTGTGCCCCAATAAAAAGTCGTATGATTCCCAGCATTTCCCAACCAGGATGAGATTGTACTTTCATGAAGATTTGTTGCTGCCACTTGTCATTATTTCCGAGTTATGATGATCCTATGAATGAGTGCTCTCCAAAATGTCCTGTCATTGACAGCTATGCCCTACAACTTAAAAAAGCCATACCTCCCAGCAGTCCCTAAACAGCATGGCTGACTAGAGAATATTGGGAACTGTAGGACTTTTTCTGTTTAAATGGGCATTCGATTACTGCTTGATTCAGTATTTTTAATGATGTAAGTCAGAGTTTTGTTAAATGGCTTACCCAATAGACATATCTGGCGGGGACATGTTGGGAGCTGTAAGACTTCTGTCTAAACAAGCATAGGATTGCACCCTTAAAAGGTACACATTCACATTATGTTTGTTTGTTTAATTTGTACGCCGTCCATTACTTGCGTCTCTGGACGGCTTACAAAGCAAGCAAATGTTGAAAGCAAACGATAGGCCACAAGGAACTCAACCTGCACTGCAGCTGACTATAATCGCACTTCCATCTGCCTTCGTTTCCCCAATTAAAAGCTCAACCTTCCATATATTTACGCAGAATAAATTCCTACAATTCCCAGCATTGCCTAGCCACTATTTGACCCTGTCGAAACAGACAAGATCATACCCTACATATAGAAACCCCTCATAATTCTTTCCGCTTCCAAGAATTTAAAACACACCCTCGCAAATCAATCGGGAAGCCAGGGAGAGCCTAATGCCACTCTAGCCTATAATGTAGACTCTATGACTCCGCGGTCTATTACAGGCGACCACATGGCTCCACATCTATGGTTTTTAGCAGTCCTAGAGTGGCACCATTCATAAACGGCGCGCACGCGCGTCTCCACTCTCTTTCCGTTCGGCGAGGTGAGTGTGAGGTGGCTGCGTCGCTGCTCTGGTCGGCGGAGGCGCAGTAGGCCCCAGACCCGTTTCCACTGCCCCTTTGTGGCCTGTGCCTGACTCTCTGTTTCTGTCTTTCTTTCAGAGCCGTCACCATGGGCCGCCGACCCGCGCGATGGTGAGTGTTCTGTCCGCCCCGGGGTAGACAGCGAAGCAGGCGAGTGGAGGTGGCTGGCTGTATTGAGGACTGATGGGAAAAAGAGAAGGGAAGAGGAGGCAATGCGCTGTTATTCGGGAGACCTCCTTGATTTCTAGTTTCCACTCTTCCAGGATACGAATCGTGATTCTCGAGGATAAAACCTATCAACAGACACTAACTGCGACAAGCTTAAATTTTGCTGGTGGTTGATGTGTTTAGGAGTTACTGACTGCATCTAGTTGGCCTCTTGGTGGGAGCCAGAATATTGTATTAAAGAAGTCTTTCACAGTCTGGGACCCTCCAGATGTGCTGGGCTGCAATTGCCATAATCTCATTGTAGAACATAGATCTGGAGAACACTAGGTTGGGGAACGCTAAATTATGTTTATATCATAATTTATCTGATTAGCAAGGTAGCTTTTATGTGGTGGCTGCCAGCTATCATGCTGGGAGATTCATATTGAACAGCCCAGACTAGGCCAGCATCCTGTTTCTGACAGTGGCCAGCCACAAAACCCTGGAAGGTCCACAAGCAGGGAATGGATGTTGTGATGCTTCCTACAGTCTAGTATGTGACTTATGCAGGTACAGAGTGTACATCGTGCTTACAAATGTGCAGAACATTTTAAGTATATATTGATATGCTTAGGACAACACTGTAAATTTAGGCTAACATCCCCCCCCCCCCGCTGAAGAAGAGTTAAGGCCGAAAGTGGTGTTGCTTAAGACCACCTAGTGAATTCATAGGGAAATAAAAATGAACTGCAGACTTCCAGTCTGTTGCCATGCCTCTTTCTCCAGTAAATAAAGTCAAGTGTTTGTGAACCCTTGTTAATAACTTAATTATTTGCCTTGTAGCCATAGGAGATAAGAAATTGTGTGCAGGGTGAGTGCATGTAATTTCATGGAGACAATTGAGTAGAATGTCTCTCTGCCCAACACTTCTGTTGCAGACCCAGTAGGCTAGTAAACTTTTTGCAGGCAGGTAAACTTAGGGTTTACATACAAGTTTACAACTCTAGTAAATATCTGAGTCTCCAACCATTCTTGATTGCTTAGTTGATCACTGCCTTTGGTACAAGGGACAGTGTTTCCTAGAGGAATCACTTTGGCCATTTGGGAGATGTTTAGGAATTAAGGGTGTCACTTAACTTACCAGGCCAGGAGATGGGGATGCCAGAACTTGACCTACTTAAATGTTTAGCTGTTGCAATCACTGTTAAGACATGCTCCTCACCATCATGTTGTTTTACTGCAGCTATCGATATTGCAAGAACAAGCCTTACCCCAAGTCCCGCTTCTGCAGAGGTGTTCCTGGTAAGTAAGGTGATGGTGAACTAGATTATTTCTGTTTTTGCATAAGATGAATTATAAATGCATATTTGTGCTTTGGGAAAAGAGCAATAGACTCAACCTGAGGAAGGCTTTCTTGATAAGACTCAAGCAGCTTGTTCAAAATGGATGGCACCTAATTTGGCCAGTGGTTTACCCACATTTGACTGGCAGTGTCAGAGAATTATCTTTATTTTTCTGTGTCCTCATGTAATGGCTGCTTTTTTTTCTTCCAGATCCTAAGATCAGAATCTTTGACCTGGGCAGGAAGAAGGCTAAGGTTGATGAATTCCCACTCTGTGGGCACATGGTATCAGATGAATATGAACAGTTGTCATCAGAAGGTAAGGACTGGCCACAAGCGGGTCATGTAACTAGCCCTTGATGTTTCTGTGGCTGTATCACTTGCCCCATTCACCACATGCTTCTCCCCACAGCTCTAGAGGCTGCCCGCATCTGTGCCAACAAATACATGGTGAAGAGTTGTGGCAAGGATGGCTTTCACATCCGTGTGCGCCTTCACCCTTTCCATGTCATCCGTATCAACAAGATGTTATCATGCGCTGGAGCTGACAGGTGAGGAATGGTTAATAGATCTGATTCGGACATTAAACTTGCAAGGAAGTGATGGAGTTGAGCCTGCAGTCAATTAAGCCGACCAGCCCCTGTTGCTGTCAGTGGATGGTGTGCACTGACTGCGCACAGCAAGTCCCTTGGTTGTGTACGTGCTCTGTTCCTTGTACAGAGCACCTTAAGGGACCTTGGGAACACCTTTGGCTTTCAGTCAAGCCATAGACTAAAACCTTATGCTTTGGTTTCCCATTAGGCTCCAGACTGGAATGCGTGGAGCCTTTGGCAAGCCTCAGGGCACTGTGGCCCGCGTGCACATTGGCCAGGTCATCATGTCCATTCGCACCAAGGTGCAGAACAAGGAGCATGTGATTGAAGCGCTACGCAGGGCCAAGTTCAAGTTTCCTGGCCGGCAGAAGGTAATTTATGGTTGGAACCCTACTTTGCTGTGACTTGTCTTTGGGACATGTAGATGTAAAGGCATTGTGGTGCTTCAGTATAAGATGCTGAAGAAGGGTTAATCTCTCAGCTGACTAGTGAGGCCTTTGGGTTCTTTTTAAAGCCAAGACAGATGTGTCAGTCTCCACCAACTGATATCAGTTGTTTGTGGAAGGGTGTATGTGAAATCTTCTTTCTTCATAACACAACTTGACTGTAGCTTGCTTATGATCTGTATTGCTTCATTAGAGGCAGTGGTAGCTGGGGTGGGGATGTTGGTTCATTTGTCCAGCCCTTTAAAGAAAAGTACTTGGAGGCAATTTAGAAATGCTGAGTTACTTTTCTGTTCTCATCCCTCTCCTCCAGATCCACATTTCCAAGAAATGGGGCTTCACTAAATTCAATGCTGATGCATTTGAGGAAATGGTGGCTGAGAAGCGCCTTATCCCTGATGGCTGTGGAGTTAAGTACATCCCCAACAGGGGCCCTTTGGACAAGTGGCGTGTGCTTCATGCAGCATGAGTGCCTGATGCATTCCTAGGCTGTGTTACTCAGTTCTTTACTTGAGCAAACTTTCATGAGAATAAACAGTTCTATCTAGCTGCTGTGTGATCATTAATGTGTGGGCAAGATTGGAATTCATATAACCTAACATGGTATGATTTGCTTTCTCTTTACAACCAAAATTAAGGTACCTCTGAACTGATGGGAGAATTTGTAATCCTGTCAATGGCTCAAGGCAGTTTCCACAGTGTTGACCCCCTTGGTATGTTATGTGTGCACCTGAAAAAGGAGAAAAGCCAGAAAACTTGCAGGAGAACATAATTAGGATGTACCAGTGTACCAATGCTTTAGAGTACTGGCTTCTTTTAGGTAAGACTGGTCATTTTGGGAAAGTTACTTTTCAAGCAATTTATCTTCCATTACCAATCCTAGCCCTGCAATACATAGCTAAAGTTGGATACATGGCTATAATCCAGAATGGGAAACGTGTGGCCCTTCTGATGCTTTGGCCTACAACTCCCATCTGGTTAGCTGGCATAGACTAAAGTAAGAGAGGAAGACAGTTTTGTAGGCCAACCCTCTGGTGAGCAGCAAGTTGCTTGCTCCTGCTAAACTATTTGTGCAGTGTTTGTTGGGGAGGTGAGTGGCAAGCATCTCTCACAATATTTGTGTTTGTGATCTTTATATGTAGAAAAAGCTCCCTGGAGGCACCCACCCCTTTTTGATCACAGAAATGGTAGAAGCAGATCCTCTCAACCCAGGAAGTAGCCTGCCACGCCTCCGTCACTATTTTTGTCTGTATGGCTGCCAATGCCTGATGCAGGGAGATGATGCTCCCTGGATCTAAAATCTAGGGTAGAAAACCATTTTTTCCTCTTGGTTTAATAAACATGTCTGTTGACTTTTTAAGGCAGAATAAGGGTGTATAAAGGAGTGGGCAGTATGGCCCCCCAGATGCTTTAGCTGCAAATTCTCAGCAACCCTAGTTAACATAGCTAAACGTGAAGCCCTATACTATAGCCCTATAGCTAAAGGTGAACTCCCTATAATGGGAGTTATAGGTCAAAACTGGGAGGACCACAAGGTGCTTGACCCTGTCATTCACCCCTTAAGTTCCAAATTCAAACACCTTTTACACTGTAAAGGCATACAGTTGCTTTAGCTCAGCTGTTGGTTTCACTAGTGTGGTGTCTTGGAACTGATTGCATTTCAGCTGAAACTAAAAAGGTATAGAAAGCAAGTTGGACTGAGGAAGTGTAAGATACACAACTACAAATGGGAAATCATACACAAATAGGAAGCACATTTGTACTAAATCTCAAAACTTAAATGACTACATGATGGTTTTGTGTTCACCTACCTTTGAATGTGGGGAGGAGCAAGGTTTTTGATTGGGCCTGATGCTCCAGCCGTTGGAAAGATTTTAGCCATGTCTGTTTCTGAAACTTCAACTTGGTGGCAGAAAATGCAACTTAAAACGCGTACAATAAATTAGACTCCTCCACTCTTAAAAGTCTATTGCCATAGCCATAAACATCTCAGGAACAGAGTTTTGCTTAATGTGTGTTTATCTGGTGCCTAAATGTAGGTGCTACCTTAGTGGTTCTTTTCTTCCATATTCCTCTTGTTTTGCATTTAGCCTCAAGGAACAGGAGGCTGACCAAAGACTTAAAGCTCTTCCTGGGTCCTGGGGGTAAGCCGCAGGTTCACTTCCACAGGATAGTGGTCACTGATTTCTAGAGCCTGTAGAAATAATAGATGGGTGTGGGTTTTCCAGAACTCTTCTGTTTATGATAGCAGCTTTTGCGGTGGGTATCGAAGAGGGATGAACTGACTACTCACCTCATCTTCAGAGAGTCCAAGCGCTCTTGTGAAGTTGAAGGGCTTGGCTGACCTGGGCACAACAGCACGGAATAGCTCTTCTCCGTGGACTATGATTCTAGCAGGGAAGAGCACAACAGTGTGAGAAGGAACTGGGCAGGCTTCGTTCCCAGGACCCCATGAAGTGAGTGCATAACTTGAGCAAACAGAGCAATCTGTTGCAGTAGTAAGAGTCTGGTATGTCTAAGAGGAACTGTGTATGTACCATAGTCCACTGTACAAGTAAGGGCAAAGAATGTCCTGAACCCATCAATTGTCCTAAGGTAGAAGAATCCTCTTCAAGCATGAACAGTAGAAAGGGAATCAGCCCAGGCCCAATTTAGGGTGCTTGTACTGATATATAAGCCCTAAACGGCTTAGGCCCCGGTCACCTTAAGGAGCGCCTACACTCATATATGGCTTTCGAGATCTATGTAGGAGGCCCTCCTGTGTGAGCCATCCCTTGGGGAAGTGAGAGGGAGGGCTGCTAGGAGTAGGAAGAGGGCCTTTGCTGCTGCTGCTCCCCATATCTGGAATACTCTCCCCAAGGAGATTCGCCTGGTGCCCTCTTTATACTCCTTTCAGCACCAGACAAAGACCTACCTTTAAAAAAAAAACATTTTTATATTTTATTAATTAAAAGCTTTTCTATCCTGTCCCCTACAAACATCTCGGGGATGCCACGGACCTTTATTTGTATTTTATTTGACTTTAATTGATTATGGATTTCAGGGGGCTTTAGTTGCATAATTAGTTTTTATAATGGTTTTTAATTTGATTGTGAGCTGCCTAGAGATGCTAAGGCACAATAGGTGGCATACAAATGTTTTAAATAAATAAAATCAGCCTGGCCCAAAGTGCATTTAAATGCCTAGTTATAGCTCACCACATTGTTTTGGCCCTGAAAAATTAATATCTTGCACCCTTTCTATTGTGTGTCTTGTCATTTTAGTTTGTAATGCTGGTGTCTATTGTTGCAAGCCATTTTGAGAAATCATTCTACAATATGCTGCAGATAATTTATGCCATGCTTGCCCAAAAGGCTGGCGGCTATGGGTTGCTTTTGTGAATGACAAGAAATTCCTTTAAAGAATGGAGATGGCTGGAGCTGGAAATACGGATTTGGTACCTGTCGTAGGCATAGCATGTCCGGTGGCTGACTGTGGTGTCCTCTTTGTCCCCGATGAGCCAGTGGAAGGCATGGTGAGTGCGCAGGCGGATCCTAGCCCAAGCGCTTGCTGGGATGTAGGCACCGGCAGCATTTAGGTCTCCTAGCACCATCACATTCTGCTTGGATTGTGGCAGGGGAAGGATGTGAGGAATCACTGGCTCATCTGAGCAACATTCTCCACCCACACCCCATATAACATACTTCAGTTTTCCACCGCTGCATCAGTTCCAGGCACACTCCAAAGAGCAGGTCAAGCTCATGGGCAGCTTCTCGAGGACTAGCGTGGTGCAAGAGTAGTACAAAGTCCTCTATGGCTGCAGGTGAATGATAGTGGTTCAGGTAATAGGGGAGGATGGTAGAATGTGCGCCTCTAACTCTCTTCCACTATCCCAAAACATACCAGCTGCTTTTCTCATCCTAGTTTCTAGATACATTTGTATTCCCCCCCCCCCCGCCCTTTCTTTCCTCACCTCTGAACACCATTTAGTCCTCTGGGGCTGAAAAGGAAACCAATCCCAACATAAAAGTGATACCAGAGGTGTGGCATTTGAGTTTTTTCTCTTTTTAAAGCGCATGCTTCTAAACCTTATGGCAGCAAAGATACACTTGAAATGCCAGCTGAAATTTCAAAAGTGGGATGGGTTTCAAGAAGGAGTGGTCAGGGACAAGGCTACAGTTTCGTGCATATTTTGATGTTCCCATCCTTAACACAGCAGAACAAATTTTGCAAAACAGTAAAATCAGCTCACAAAATTATAGAAATGTGTTAACTTGCATAATGTATACTGGATGCTAAATGGAGCATTTTTTAGTCCAGAATTATGTCTCGGAATCTGTGGTCATTATGTCCAGAACTCTCTTGGGCTCCACTAGGAGAAACTGGGCATTACCTGTATGTGGAGAATGGAAACGTGCAGCAAAGGGTCCCCTGGCAAAGGCCTTGGAGTCGGTGACATCCTCCTCCCCAAACTGGCACCAATCTGTGATTGACACAACATCCATCCTGTCAATCAGAAAAACAGGTAACAGAAAGAGGAGGTGTCCAAGGAAGCTTTGTAGTTCACAAGTTTCCAGAATGGGAGCTTCCCCCTGCATATTAGCTTGCATAGTCTGGCTCACTGTATACGAAGCTGCAGTTGGATTTAGGAGACAGGTTTGTTGCAGGCTGCTTGCATGCTCTTAAGTGAGCCATTCAAACTGGTTCTTACTGAGAGGGTTCCATTTGTGTCTGGGTCTATACTACTTTGGAGATTACTGGGTGGGTGGGCTGTCTCGACTGAATTCCCACACATAGGTAGATACAGCTTGCTTTATCTGTATATATTTACATAAAAACTAGCCTAGTCCTTACCCTGCCATGCCAGTTTTCTGCATAGAGGGATCCATCTCTTTATGTATGATTCGGTCAGTGTGAAGTGGCTCAGTTCAAACACTGGTTTCCAACCTCAGTGAGAACTAGGTCTCAGATCCCCATCTGCATTGTGGGGCCTAACCATAATGCGCAAGTGTGATGTGGTGGACAAAAAGCTGGACCTCTGCCATATTTGAAATCCAGGTTTGTATCACTGTGCAGCCAAGAAGTTCATTGGGTGGGGCTTGAAATATCAGAGTCTTGCAGCACTTGTCTCACTCTCAGAAGAAACTGGGGAAAGGGCTTTGCAAAACTGCCCCCTACCCAAAAAAAAAAAAGGAATTACCGGTACACAAAGACATTCTGCTCCTTGTAGCTGCCCTGCCCCAGCCTCTTGCTCTCCAGGTGGCTGTAGTGATGAGAAGGGTCACACCTGCACACAAGAGAGCCGTGGTGCCATGTTGCTGCCCTGCCTACTCTCCCAGAACAGGAACTGCAGTCAGGAGTTGCATGCGCTTTCCCTTCTCCCTCCTCTTGCACGGTATGATGATGGTTGCTGCTCTACATTACCAGAGGCGGTGCAGGAAGCAGTCCCAGTTGGGACAGAGCCCCAAATTTTTCATTTGATGCTTCCAATCTCCAGGGGCTGTCTGCCCCGCCATCTTGCCATCCATGGGTGCAGCACTGGCATAACAAGACCATGGCATGTAGTGCCTGCCAACAGTCCCACTGCTTTCAAAAGCACCCCACATATAATGCCTCGAGGAATCCAAAATCAGCTGGGTAGCAGGACTGGGCTTGACGATGGAGCAGGCAGACATGTGAGATGCCACAGCGGGACACAACCAAGGGATGAGCAGGGCTGGCCCAGGACATGTTGCTACCTGAGGCAGAGCAGCCAATGGTTACTTTTACATCAGGCACCTGATGCAGAAAATCCCAGAAGCCCCTCTCCCTGGCAGTAAAAATAGATCAGAACCAACCAAACAATAAATAAATGCACAATTGCATGCATGTTTAGACAGGAAAACGTCCTGCCCTTCCTGGTATTCCCAAGCTGACATGGGTCATAGGGAACAACTGTAGGGTTGTTTCTTCTCACTAAATATGCTTTAGGATTGCCCCAAAACAATGTGCTGCCCTTTTGTGCCACCCAAGCTCAGCTGCCCAAAGTGGCCACCTGTCCCTGCTCTCCCCAGTGGCATGGCTGGCTTTTGCTAATGAGGGACAAAATGACAGAACAGGGTTGCTCCGCATCTGACTTGCAGCATTGTAAAAACACGCCAGCACATCTGGGATAAAGAGTCTTCCTCAACCCAGCCTTCTGTGCTATTAGGGCAGGGAAGGCTGGCCATGATACGCCTCGTTCTGGTACATGTGAGGATCACGACTGGAGGAAGCATCAGCTGATACCTGTTCAGCTCCTGTAGCAGCATCCGAATGGCCAAGCCCTTGGAGTCACGCACCTCTTGTACAGCAGAGATATCACAGCGAGAGAGGATCTGGCGGAGGGGGAGGAACAGTGGTGGGTCAGAAAAAAACATGTCGCAGTGTCCCCTCTGCTGCTGAAGCACTGTGGGTATTGGCTCTCAGAGCCAACAGGGAGGCCATCCTAATGCCCAAGGAGAGGCTGTGGATCACATGCCACTGAAGAAGCAGAGACAGAGATCCTTCCTGCGTTACCGTCCTGCAGCTGCTGCCTGCCCTTTCCGTCAAGCTAAGAACTAAGTCCATTGTTATGTGGGAGTAACCACATGGGCTGAGAAATCAGCATGCTGGCAGGCAGCATCTGGAACATGCAGAGCAGTGTCAAGGGGAAGTGTGCCTGGGCCCCTGCCAAGGTCTGTGCCCCTACAGGGGCCCAGTGACAAGAGCCCACCAGCCCGGCTCCTCCTCTTCTGCCCCACTGCAACCCGCTTGCTCGCCTGCCTCTCGCTCTGGCCCGGAAAACTGGTATTGTGAAGGAAGGAGGAGCAGAAGATGGCACTCCCCATTGACTGCCTGCGACTGAGGAGAAGACAGAGGAGCTCCTCAGAAGATAGGCTTGCTGAGAGAGAGGCCCACTGAGGGAGTCCTGCCCAAGGCTCCTCAAACCCCAGAGCATGCACTGATCCAGCATGTAGGGGAAGAGGCAAGACTCCATCCCCCTTGGCATGGGGAGATCAGCTGCGACATGGTGAGTGCTGGCTTAGCAAAATGGGTCCCAGAGTGGCTGGCTCTATTTCTGCAGCCAGGGCTGGCCCAAGACCTTTTGCCTCCTGAGGCGAAGTCCAAGATGGCTCCAGTCCCATCCCAGGCACAAGAGCCCACTGGACTGGCAGGTAAATCCTTCTCCTGTGTTGGTGAAGGAACAGCACACAATGCCTGAGGGCATCAGGCTAGCTTAGGGATGCAGCTTCTCTCCTGCAAGGCCTGAGGTGGGAGCCTCACTCTGCTTAAAGTAGTGTCAGCCCTGTCTGCAGTTTCCAGAGGCTCTCTGGAGCCCATGGGGAAAGCCTGCTCGGGAACTGCACCAGCGAACATGGGGCAGATCAGCTGCTGCTGGCTGTAAGAGCCCCGGTCACTGTTTCCTCACCTGACACACCTGAGGGACCCCTGTGTGCATTGTTGGTGCTTCAGTGCAGTGGAGAGGATTGCTGTATTTGGTTCTACCTGATGCATTTGTGATAAATAATAATGGTATAATATTTTGGTTATGGATATTATCTATTTTGTGATGAATTTGAAATGGTGTTGGTACTTGTGAAATGAATCATTGGGGTGTTTCTTATTGTATCATTGCAGCTGAATATTGAGACACATTTGTCATTTTTAAATATAAAAACAAGTGTATGTGGTGGTTAAGAGTGCTGGGCTGGGACTCAGAAGATCCAGGTGTGAATCCCCACTCAGCCATGGAGCCGACTGAGGCACTTTGGAACACTCACAGACTCTTGGCCCAACCTACCTCACAGGGTTGTTGTTGGGAGGAGAAAATGTAGAGGAGGAGAACCTTGTAAGCCAGCTTGGGTCTTTGGAATAGGAAGAAAGGTGGGATATAAATGCAGAGTTCAATGCATTGTGAGCAACTTTGAGCACCTTTTGTGGGAAAGCAGCGTACAAATTAAGATGGTGATGATGCCCTGGCCATCACAGTCAAGGGGCCATGGAGACTTGGATAGTTGTTTGCTCTGGATCAGGGTTGAGCAAATTGTGGTCCTCCAGATGGTTTGGCCTACAACTCCCATCAGGCCTAGGCAGCCTAGCTGATGGGGTGGGATCATGGCCATTAGAGGAAAGAACATTTAGATGGCCACCAGCTGTCCATGGCCTTGCTCATTCTCTCTTGGCCTTATCACTGCAGTTGCTTTAAAGCTCTCTCAGGTGTGCACCGCAGGGAGCCACAGGCTGTGAGGGGTCTGTTGGGCTCCTGGGAGTAATGCCAGGAAGCTGGCTGCTCTCCCGGCCATTCTCTGTGATCAGCAAGCCTCATGCTGGTCTGGGGGTTTGGCTGTTGCCCAGCCATGCCACCTAGTGGGCTTGAACATTGCTGGTAATGCAAAGGCAACAAGGAAGACAAGCAAATAGTATTTTAGATCTGCTTTCTCTTCACATTTGGGTAATTCCTTTGTATCTCGAACTGCCCAGGAACAATTGAATGCATTTCAATCTATTATTTTTGTGAAAACAAGGGTCCCCAACCTTGTTAGACCTGAGATCACATTTGGGAATTCAAGAAACTGCTCTGGGCACCAATACAAAATGGCTTCCATGGAAAATATGACTGGCCATGTAATGGGTTCCTGGCTAGTGAACCACAGGGCTGCCATGAATTGTTTCCCTGTTGCAGGGGTGCTTCCAAGGAAAACAGGGCCTTTGGCAGAAGCAAAGTGTTCCTCAGTTCATCCCTGGAATGCTCCCCAGCCTTTGTTTTCATTTATTAGATTTATATCCCACCTTTTTTCTTTTTTTAAAGAAGTTACATCATTCTCTTCCTCCCCCGTCCTCCTCTCAGTCTTATCCCCACAACAACAACCCTGTGAGGTAGCTGGGCTGAGAGTCTGTGACGGACCCAAAGTCACCTGGTTGGCTCCATGGCTGAGCAAGGACTATGACCCAGGTCTCCTGAGTCCCTGTCCCACACTCTTAACCACTGCACACTGGCTCTCTCATTGATGGCAGAGCATTGTGGACACAGTGGCAGAAGGCTTCACCACTGCCCCGAGAGGATCACAGCCGGCAGATGGCCCCCCACCATCCACAAAGGAAATCCATTCATGGAGACAGACGTGTACACTGTCCTATGTTTCCAGGGCACCATGCAACACAAGTGTCCTTACAACCGTGCCTGTGATATGTATCACCCAGTTCTTTCAATATAGATTCAAGAAGGCAATGGAAAGAGAAATAATGATGATCAACTATGAAACCAGTCAGGAATGGGGGATAAAAAAGCCACTCCCCTCTCCTTCCGCTCTGTCCAGCATGCACTCATCAGAGCTGAGGAAGCGGTGAATCACCTGCTGCACTTTCTTCCCTGCTCCCAGGATGGTGCTGTCCTTTAGATGCACGCATTTAAATATTTGACAAAAACACTTTCTGAAGCAAGAGGCACACTCCCTTTGCTTTTCAATAATGCACACATCAGAGCAATGCAGGGATTGCTTTAGGAGAGGTATTTCCTTCTGTGAGAGACAAAAGGGAGCGATGGTCCACTTTGGATGCCACACACTCCCATTTTCAGAGGTATTTGCGTCAAAAAATAGTAACTTTTATGCATCTGCTGCCCAGTTAATTGGGAACAGTGTTGAAAACTTTTTTGGAAGGCTTAATCCCATTAAAACCCTGTAGTCACAGGGAACACTGAGCCTTATTTCTCCTTGGCCCCTGCTGGCCTTTGCTCTGTAACATTAGGACTGTCAGCATGGTTTGTTTTTGCAGGCCCTGCCCTTGGGCCTTAAGCAAACAGCCTGGCACATGGATATTTACAGGGCCAACCCACCCCCCCCACACACACACACACCTTTATCTCCAGCTGAGGAAGAGCTTGGCTGGCTTGCTGTTTCTGATCAAACTGCTGCCAAAGGCGCAAGGGCAAGATCAAGTGACAAGGCGGTGGCAGCCTGACTCTAGCGCTCAGTGTGATCAGGAGTGTCACTGCAGACAGGCCTTTGCCCTCCACTCCCCCCACATGCAAACCTCTTGAGGACTGCCATACTTTTAGCCATGCCCAGGAAGCAGCGTGTCCCTGCAGAGGGCTACAGCCCTGGCTCCTTTTCTGCTTCGCAGGTGATGGAGGAGTGCAAACCCAGCACTAAGTACAACTGCTCTACGATGTTCACCCCAGCAACCTCTGCAGCACTGCAAAGGAACCTGAACGGTGCACCCCTTAGTTCACACAGGTGCAAAGTGCCTTAAGCCAACCCTGCCCAACCATCCTCTTCCCCATTCCATATTTGATTATTCCTCAGATGCAGTTCATGGGTTCTCTGTCCTGAGTGACCATGAGAAAGAATTCAGAAGCCCTTTGCTTGAATGCGTGTTCACCTGGGTGCTGTCCAATCATTGGTCTACACAGCTTAGCGGGAGACATCCAACATCACGTGATCAGACTTACACAGGCTTAATAAAATTGCTCTCTGACTTCCCTCCCCCTGCATCTGCTGTGGAAGGTTTCCAGGGGGGCACAAAGGGAAGGGGGAACCCATTCTGCCTGCAGCTTCCATTCTAATCATAGGTGGAGACAGCTGGATACCATCAAATACAGTAGGAAACCTGCTGCTTTCCAGATGGCTCCCATAATTCACTGACCAGTAGCCATGCTGGTTGGGGCTGAGGGGGCATCTGGATGCCACGAGGTTGCCTACTGGGACACACAGCGTTCTGGCAAACCAGGGCTTTCCCATTCCCAGCCCTGGCTGAGTTGCCAAGGGTCTGCACACCAAGCTGAGAGACTTTAAAGTAGCACTTATACTCTCAGGATGTGTTACATATTTGCATGTGAAGCTTACATTTAATATGTCCAAGAGCAGGTCTTCACATCGTACTGGGAATCAGGGCTGTGCCTGACCCAAGATGATGCCTCTGTTCCCAAGATCCGTTTGTTGCAAGTTCCAAATAGATCTATCTATCTATTTATTTGATTTATATGCTGCCCCCCATATAGCCCCTCTGACATATTAAAATCCACAGACCACAGAAAACAGTCCAAAACACATGACAATACACAATTACAAAGGACCAATAACAATGAAATCATAAATAAGCTATCAGAGTTCAATAACCAAATAAACATAATAAAAATAATAGTGTGTGTGTGTATAAAAACCCAGAAATAAGACAAAACCCATTAGTTTAGTTGTATCAAAATCTAGGGTTTAAAACATATTGGCGGCAGCACCTAATAACATAAAAAATAAGGTTAAAACATCAGTGACAATCAAGCGTTCACCTAATTAAAATAACTACGGAACAAGCATGCCATCGGCTGGGATTCTTTCCTTGCTAATGCGTACTCACTAATTGAGCCTTCCGCGGCCGGCCGGCTCAGCCCGCCAGTGGCCCGGCATGCCGGGATTCGCGCACCAAAACCACCAGAGGGCCCCAGGTGCTCAGCCGCCGGCGAGCTGCATTTGCAGCCTTTCCAAAGGGCTGGTTGTGCGTTAGGATTTTGCCTCTGCATCGCTGCATTGGTCTCTAGTCTTCTTGGCTGGGGGAGCGGGGCATAGTTTCTAGTAGCGCCGGGAGCTGGCCCCCTCCTGAAAGAAATGTAGCACAGCCACCAGCATTGGCTTCACCTGAACCAGTCACAAACTCACCTGAACAAGAGCTGCCATGACCCTTGGGTTTGCCGCTTTGGCTCTCCCAAAGCTGCGTATATTGAAAGCGCAGATTTTGAAGGTTGCAAGCACAAACTGCACACCTAGGAAGGTAAACAGGAGGGTGAAGGCTTGTGCCATGCCCTGGATGCAAATTATCAAGCTGTCCAAGAGGAGAATGTTGGTCCAGAGGAGCTATTCAGCAGCATCAGCAACCTGCTGGGCAGGGAAGGACATGGGCCTTTGTGCTAGCGGTTGAGTTTGACATGTGATGACCTGATCGAGCAGAGAAAGTGCTGGGCCACGCCAGCAGGATATCACTTGCTGAGCAAGAATGGAACCCCAGAAACAAGATCTTTACTTTCTCCTCTTTACCCAGAAGCATTCATAAATCATCTTTTTGAATGAGGCAATTTCTTGTGATGAAGGCTCAGGAATTTCCTGGGAGCACCTCTTTGTCAGGTTAGTTGAAAATCTAATTAAACCACACAAGCCAGTTTATTCATTCCTTCTTTTATTGATATTTTTCTGGTTCTCCTGTTGGTTTTCCCTGTTTCTGTCCAAGTGAATGTGCATGGATAGTATTATGGATAGTATTATGGGGTGTGTTTTTATCAAGTCATACAGGATCCTTTCAAGAAATGTTGCATCAAAATGTGCATTTTCTGTGCTCTGCTGATAGTATTTTTAAAAAAATTCTAAAGCATCTCAAGGAAGATTAGTGCCAACAAGGGACAGGAAATACAATTGATCAAACAAAACACACAGACACTTGACTGTGCTACCTCACAAATAACAGGAGGTGAAAGTAAATGGGAGAGAGCACAAAACAATACATTTTGCAGATGTTCCTGTGCCCTTCATTACAAACCAGGAATTATGCCTGTGGATGGTTTAATCAACAGTGCATCATTCTATTGAGGTCTACATGCTCTCCATTCAAATCAATGCTCTTTAAAAGTATTTCACTATGGCACAACAATGTCCAAAGCTTTTATAGGCAGCAGTGAATATAGGAAGATAAAGAACAGGTAAGGCGTACAGAAAAAACAGAAGACCTTCAGAAAAGGCACTTCCTCTGTATTTATCACTGTCTTTTAAAAGCCTTCTCATAAAACATTATGGAAATGCCAATAACATACACAATCCATATTCACCTTTTTCATAGCTAAAGAGAGAACAAAACTTCAGCTGAAGGACAAAACAATATAAAAGCTCCACAGTGCTTATAATGATTTACCCTATTGCTTTTTAAATTGGATATCTGAATTTACCAATTTCAAAGGCATTTCAGATTGCATCAGGTTTGGGCTGCTGCTTATACTGTATGCACTTCCTAATAGTGTAGACACAAGTCTACACTGATTATGCAGTATAAGAGGGTGGAATAACAAACAAATTTGTCATCGAGAAGTTGAGTAGGTTTTTCCTAGGGATGTACAGATTTTAATAAATCTGTTCTGAGTTTTACAGATTGTCAGATATTTTATGTTCCACCATCCTCTCATTGGCAGAAATGTTTAAAAAAAACCCAGAATGACTTGAAAAAGCTGAGGTGCAGTAGGATCTGCAGATGGAATTCAGAGAAATCTGAATTTATTTGTTGTGGATTTCTTCTACATCCCCAGTTCTTCTCTGAGCGAAGACAAACAAGAAGTTTGAATACCACTTCCTGATCTCAGAATATAGTTTTTACTTTTATGCCCTTTATAAAGTTCTCTTTGACCTTGACCTCTTTTCTTCAGAAAGACTGATACACATGATCAGTTCTTTTTAAATTAACCCTACAGATCATGATCAGTAAGTATATTTGTAGAAGATCTAGTTAATCCACTCTGTTCAGGGAGGACAGGAGAAAACACAGAGGTCAATGTAAGTTAAATTTGCTAAATAGTTCTTCCTAACAGCAATAGGGAAGCTGTGAAGATACTTTTTGATTTACACTGAAAAACATCTTAGAGAGTTGTGTTAGGAATGGGGAAGTCCTGATCTAAAGAAGATCTACACCAGCCTTCCCTAACCTGGGAACCTCTATGCTTTGAATGTCATTTCCCATCAGTCTCAGCTGATGAGGAATGCTGGGCGTTGTAGTCCCAAAATATCTGGAGGGCATCAAGTTCCAGGAAGGAAGATTTACAGTCAGAAAAAAAGCATCCCTCCACACTTAGATCCCCAAAGTCAGTTCCCCAAACCTTCCTGGGAGTGAAGCACAGCTTCAAAATGCTGGCAGTGGATGCTGCATGCCCCCTACCTAGAAAACTAACGTGTTGGCTTTTCTCACCAAGAGAGGTTTTGCCACTGGGGTGCCTTCCTTAGAACTCTGCTTCATGCAGAAGCAGAGTGGGATTTCCACACAGCTGAAATACTGCATTAATGTAGCAAGATGAGGGAAGAGATTCTGAATGCCTGTGTGGATTTGACCAGTGAGGAAGCAGCATCCTGCACACACTGGAGAGCAGAATGTACACCCATCCCCACATGCAGGGGAACTCTGGGTTGGTGAGAGAGGAAGACAAGCTGGGTGGGGCTGTTCCTCATCAACTGGATTTCACTGTTGCCTCTGTGGGTGGGTGGCATGGCTGCTTCCCCAGCACTTGCTTCCTCAGGCAGTCCCCTCACTAATCTAAGGACAGAGCCAGTCCTGAGGCTTCACCATGGGCAGGAGCCATGTGGTCAGCCAGTAGGAAGCCCTGAAAGGTCAAAGCAGCAGGACTACCAAGAGGCAGGACCAGAGCAGTCCCCAGTGGCCCACATCCCAATAGGGCCCTGGACTTGCTCCTCAGCTGCCTCTCACTTGGGCCCAGCAACAGAGGAGGAGACAGCCTTGCCTCCTTGCTCAATGACTCTTTCCTGTCCAGCAACTGAGCAAAGGCAATGATGAGAGAAAAGAGGAAGGGAAAGAGCAGCTACAGATGGTGGTGGTGGAGAAGTGAGAAAGCAGATTCACTGAGGGAGGAGCCCACTGAGTGTGTCTTGCTCAAGCACCCTCAAAAACCTGGAGGCAGCACTGAGCAAGACAGAGCAGCGAGCTGGGAGTCAAGAAGGACCAAAGAATACGCAAAAATTATTCTGGCACAAGCCAGAATACAAAAAGACCTTGATGCTTGGGCACAGCTGAACTTTTGATACTCCTTCTTGGCCAGGAGGGTCAACCTGGGTTGGCAGAGTCAGCCCAGGGCCCGATGGTTGTTCACTGTGCAACCTGCAGTCTATTGTTTACCATACAGGGGAGGCGCAGACAGACTCAGCAAGTCCTGAGATCCAACAACTTCTCACAGCATCTTCTAGACCAGTGTTTTTTTCCAGGGAAACATATCCTGCACACCTCGAATACTGTAGAGGCAGCACAGTCAAGTCCAGGGAGCTTCAGAAGCCATGCCCGGAGGTAGACAGTACGGTCGCGGCCAGCAACACGAGGCCAGCTGGATGGATGGGCTGGAGCCCCTGGCAGGCTGAGTACAGCTCCACCTCTACAGGGTAATGGTCACTGACCTCCAAAGCCTGGAACAGTGGAGAGAGAAACAGGATGAGGCGCTTGGTAGCATTTCTGTTCCTTGCTGTTAATATGAGAAAAGTGTGTTTCCAAGCAGCAGATTTTAAAGCTTCCATGCAAGGTTTCTTCTAGGGGTACCGAAGGTGTCCAGGTGCAGCCATGCAAGCCATACCTACTGAAGCCCCCTCTGCTGTGTAGCTATTTCAGGAGTCAGGTACCCCATCCTCTTCTGCAGCTCACCACCCTAGGGGAACCCCTCCTGTGGGAACTTCATGGGCAGCTGATCCTGACCTCCAAAGACGCATTTGATCCCTATGCAGAGAGTCCCTGAGTGGACAGAGGGAGAAGGATGTGAATTGACTGAAAGTACAACACATGGGTGTTCTCTTTCTTTCAAGGATCTGATACAGGAAATAGTAGATCTGCGGCCTTGTGTGGGTGCACCTGCAAGCATGTGTGTGCTGTTTGCCTCTGTCTCCGTATTCTTTGTTTGTATATTAGTAAATAAAGCCATGAAGTTGCCCCAACTGAGGGAATTGGTCAGTGCCCTTGAAGCTAGAGCAGGACATTGCAAGGGCTTGTTTCACAAGGATGTACTCACTTAGGGTTGGCAGTCTTTCTATACCACTCCGATCACCTGATCTCCAATACCTGATCTCTAAGCTGTGATTTTAGCACAATGGCTTGAATTTCAAAAGTTTGTTTCCCCAATCCATGCTGCAGGGTGTAAGGAACCTGTACTTGAGTTCCATAGCACCTGACAGCAACTTGGTGTACATGACATGACAATCCACATGTAACATGGGTTCCTTGACAACTCTGGTTAGGATGACATGACACCCTTGATCGTTTCAGGGTGGCTTGTCAGGATGTCCAAACATGGTGTGCTTTCCTCAGCATGGGTTGTTAACTATGCACAAGCCATCCTGGGAGCATCTGCCTTATTTCTGGGATTGTTCATATAGTTTGTTGTGACATCCACACCCGGCACGGTGACTTGTGCTTGCATTGTCAGAAAGGGTATTGATTCGCCTGATGAATGCCAGGAACTTCTTGCAGTGCTTTCCACCCCTCCTCCTCCAGCTCAGCATTTCAGCTGACTGCTATTATTCCTTTCAGAGCCACATGTGCACAGCTATATATGTTTGTGTGACTGACTGACTTCTAAGTAAGTGCTTGTGCCCCCATGTGGGACTGTGGCAATTTGGGAAAGGAAAATTTCCTTTCAAAATATTGCTGAGGGGGGAGAGAGGAAAGGAAAAAAAGAGTATGTCCCCACCTTTTTAACCATCCCTGAAAGAGGGAGAGGAATTTCAGAGTGAAAATAGGAGGAGGAAGCTTAAATTCACCTCCTGGATTGCCACAGTTCTGAACTGGAGGTGCAAGTGCTTAGACAGTGGTAAGTCAGTCATACATACATGCCTGTGTTAGGTAGAAGAACAGGCTGCAAGGAGCACCTAATGGTGTGTGGTTTTTCCCCAAGTACTGTATTAAAGAAAGGAGACAGAACCCTAACCCTAGGCTGCTGCACCCTAAAAGTAAGGTAAGCCTCATCACAGTGGGACTACAGACAAGTTCTGCTACAAAAACTCCTGGGAGACATTCTGAGAAGCAGGCAGGGGAGACAAACTGTGGCAAGTGCCCGATCATCTGCCAGCAGTAGAGTGGCTTGGCAAGTGATTGACCAGTCACCACAACTTGGTTTTGGCCTGGCTTATTGTGATGTATGAACCAGGTCAAATTCTCTCTCTGGGGGCTAACTTGATCTAGTAAATATTGGCCCATAATTCTTCACTGGCTTCCAGTTTCCACTTGCAATTCAGACTGTTAGCTTTGGGACCAAGATAACTGCAAAAGTACTTCTTCCCATACAATCCTATGTGCTCCTGGAATTCCACATTGGAGACCCTGATATGCATCCCACCACTTTCACAAGCATTAATAGGCCTTTCCTATTATGGTCTCCAGCCAGCAAAATAGCCTCACTAGAAAGGTTTAGTTGGTTCCCTCATAAGCTTCAAGGGTTTAGTTGGTTCCTTCTCTCATTGTTCAGACTTTTTATTTTGCTAAGCATGGGTTGAAATTTCATCATCTTTTAATGCCAAGGTGCATTACTCTGCTCTTGGTTTGATGGCATGAAATTGGTTTTAGTAATCTGGATTTTTGTTGTTGAGGGTGGGGGTTGCTGTGTTTCATGCATGTTGTTATTTTTTCAGTTAGCCACTTTGAATTTATTTTATAAGCAAAACATATTTTTAAATAAAAATAAATTTAGCCCTTGTTTAAATGATGGTATTTTGCACATTGTTAGGCTAAAACTCTGGGCTGTTTCTTCCTCAGCAACCCAGCATTTCAGGTTCACATGTCACAGAATATAACCAAAGAAAGGGATACTGGATTGTTATGTAACTAGGAAACGTAACAGAAGTGGCAATCAGTTAGGAAACAACATGCTCACTTGCTCCTTTACTCCTGGGTGGCCCCGACTAACTATGGGTTAAACAGCTATGATTGGTTGCTATGTGTGAACCAGGTCATAGTAACCATGGGATTTCTACATGCCCCAAAGACCTGTTTGGTACCTCTTCTTCCGAGAGCCCAAATTCCTTGGAGAAGTCAAATGCCTGAGCTGATCCAGGCACAACTGCATCCAAGCAGCGCTGCCCATGTACTACAATCCTGTTTAGAGGTAAAGGAGAATGAAACATGGGTTAAAGTAGAGTAGATTATACAGGATTTCACCCAAGCCACTCCAGGGTTCCTGGATCCCAGCCAGTAATGCAAACAGGTACTTTAGACAATAAACGCAATGGACTGACAGGGCCCCCTCTTTAGAGGGCAAGCCAGCCTTGCAGTACTTGGAGACCCTCCCACCCATGCTATTGAGCAGGGCCCTAGAGATAATACCCAAAGCCCAACCCTGATCCCACCTGTCATAGGCACAGCGGGTGTTCTCTCGAACGGTGGTGTCAGCTTTGTCCCCAATGAGCCAATGAAAGTCAGGCTTCTGGCGCAGGCGGATTTCTTTCCAACGCTTCTTTGCCACGTAGCCACAGTCAGCATTGAAATCACCCAAGAAAATCATATCCTGTAGAGGGGGTGGGTGGCAAAAAACCTATTAGGTCTTCTAGGCTCTTTAAGAATTACATGGGATGCAGAAATCCTACATCAGCCAACTATGTTCTATCAAGTGGTGGGCTGGTGTGGTGGTTAAGAGTGCTCGACTGGACCTCGGGAGGCCTTGGCCTAACCTGCCTTGCAGGGTTGCTGCTATGAGGGCAAAATGCAGAGGAGACCATGTAAGCTGCCTTGGATTCCATGGAGGAAAAAGGGTGGAATGATAAACAAACAAATAATACATATAAAATTGCCGGTGCCTAATCTCAAAGTTGGTGGCTATGCTCTTAAGAGCACCAGCAACAACTTAGTACATATGAGCTGCTGTTTGTATATTCCAAGCACTTCGTTTTTGTTATCTTGCAGTCCATATAACAACTCCACAGTGTGGTTCAGTATTATACCCACCTATTGCAGATGGGGTGGCTGAGGCTGAGAGACAGCAGCTTACCTAAAGCCACTTAGTACCTTGGCTGCAGAGGTGAGAAATGAACTGGAAATAATAATAATAAATTTTATTGAGATCCTTGCCTCAGTCATTCACACCTCCAGACTGGACTTCTGCAATATGCGTCATGCAGGCCCAACTTTGAAATCCCCCGAAACGTAGCACATGACTGAAATACCACTAGTAGAATATTATGAACACATCATACATATCTCAAGTGTTGTTTCGTCTTTGCTGGTCACTTTTTTGGTTTTGATCCCAGTTCAGGGCATTGATTCTTACTCTAGGGAACTTGTTACTTTAAGGACTGGCTTCTCCTATATGCTTCTTCCCATATACTTGAATCAACATTGAAGATCTTACATTGCCTCACACCACCCTCTTTTGTTTTCTTCCAGCAGACTTGAAAAACAGAACATTTTAAATTGTGAAACTATTGTGCAGAACCCTTCACCCACTAGGAAAGTCCACTTGGCCACTATTTGGTAAAAAAAAAAAAGTGGCTTCAGGGGAAGCTTTTTGTGGTGATTGATGGCTGTTTAAGAATCTTTTTTTGCTACTGATAATGGAGCATTTGACTCTGTGTGGGTGCCTGATGATGATGATATTGCACTTAAATCTCACCTTTCTTCCCGTTATGAGGAAACCAAGACAAATTACAATGTTCTCCTCTACATTTATTGTTGTTCATTTTTTAGTAATCAATTCATGTTCTTGTAAAGCAAGGCAGGATATACATTTTTAAAACCAATCAATCAAATAATAATAGTAATGCAGTCTTTCTAAAGTTCGACAAACCAGTAGGTATGGCAGAAATATTAACATATGTATTAATTAATTAGTTAGAATGCCTGGTTCACAGCGTAATTTCTTAGGCAGCAATCCTGTGTTGTACTTACCTAGGAGAACACACCAGTTCCTGAAACTTATTTCCCAGTACAGCTGCCCTGTTAGCGACTCCATTAGAACAGTTCTCAAATGCCTCAAGCAGCCACCCAGCACCCAATCCATCTCCTCTCTGGTATCCTTGCCTGTCTTTCTATGTGCTGAGAAGGAGTCCCGCTCAGCTGGCTAAAGCTGATGAAAGAAGAGGATGGGGAAAAGGTCTGGGATAATTGGTCTTTCATGACTGGCTAGAATACAGCTCCCAGCTTTCTTGATGATACTGGCTGGGCCTGATGAACACTGAAGACACAATCATCTGGCAGGCACCAGGTTGGGGAAAATGGAAAAGAGGGTGGGGGCAAAAGGCAGAGCTTTGCAGCATGCAGGAGCACTAACATCCAGGTGAGGGCCCTCACGTTCCCTGCTTACTCCCATGACTAATTCCCCTCCATGCCCCACCCCATTCCTGAAACTTCCTGGGCCTTTGCTAACACAGCCAATGACCAGGAACATGGGGAGGTGTGGCCCAAAACATCTGGAGGGCACCAAGACGGGAAAGCCACCTTTAAGCAGCATTATACACAGTTAACAACGGTCAACATTGCAGAGTCAGCAATGGCTCAGATATAACCTATTGTGGTCCTGGTGTTTGAAGCAGCAAGACCAACATCTGTTCAGATGCACCATAACACAGCACCCCCCCTACATTTTCTCTTCAATGGCAGCATCCATGCCATGCCTTTCTGCACCCTACCCATACCTCCATGCCCCAGCGTGACTTTACATTCAGGAAAACATCATAGAGAGCATCGATTTCAGCCTCTGCGTGTGTAGGTGCCGTGTGCAGTGGTATCAACATCAGTTCAGGAAGCTCTTGGAGAGTGGAAAAGGAGCAAATAACCACAAAGAATGGAAGAACCAAGCCACACTGGATGCTAAACCCAACCCAACCATGTATGGTTCCAGATCACATCAAATTCTGAAACTAACGTTTTCTCCTGGCTTATTATCACTGAACATAGTTTAAGCAAACCACAGTTCCCTGCCATTTAATGCAATGACAATCTATGGCTTGTTCAAAAAGGAGATGCTTCCAGAGGAGTACACAAGCCTGAAGTTCACTGTGGTTCTTCTATGTATCAAGAAAATATACTTTCTCTTAGGTCTGAACTTGGCCTGAGTGCCTAAAGACACAATCTAATGAATGTTTTGTTGTTCTAAGTGGCGTCACAAAGACAGAGAATAGCATTTAGGGCCCAGACCCTGTGTCTGCCTTGTATTCAGTTTCTCAGGTATGTTACTTTCCCTTTACAATTAGGCAAGCACTCATAGCAGCCATTTCATGATAGTGCCCACTATAGTTTCTCACATTTCCAAATGTGCCCATGGGGATCCAATGTGTATACATGTGTGCCTGTGTGTATAATATTTTTATCCCGCCATTTTCCTTCCAAAGAACACAGCTTACAGAATTCTCAACACAGCTTGTATAACTCTTCCCGCTCTCCATCTTATCCCCACAACAACAACCCTGTGAGGTAGGTTGGGCTGAGAATCTGTGACTGGCCCATAGTACCCAGTCAGCTCCATGGCTGAGCAGGGGCAAGAACCCAGATTGCCTGAGTCCTGATCCTGCATTCTTAACCACTGCATCACACTGGCTCTCACTCCACTGTAACCCTGCTAATCCAAAAGTGCTGGCTCTCCTACAACCCTGCCGAGGAGTAATGGAGGTCATGATTTTCTCCTTTAGAGGCTCAAGCTGTCCCCTCCCACAGCCATCCTGCATCTCCTGGGTACTCACCTTTGTTTGGAACACTGAAGCGGACAATGAAGGGCTCCCGTGCAAAGACATCAGGCCGGTCTGGATGGTTGTCCTCGTATTTATAAGAGTCTATCATCCGAATCCTCTGGTGCCTATGGAAAAGGAAAGGCATGGATAAATGAGGGAGGACCTGCACCTACAACATATGTAGAGGTGTCCAGATTGAGGGTTGGCATTCTTTTATTGATGCGTGATCCATTTTCCATTTGTTTGTACAAGTGGGTCAAGCAAGACGCAGGTGCTGGGGGAACCCACTGCATGTTGAAGCATGAGTCAAATTGTGTTGAGGCTGGGATGCTGTCTAATGTGGTGTGTCGCAATACCAAACTACAGTCTCTCTAGCATGTTTTAAAGAAGCAAAAGGGGGAAGAAGGAACAAGCTGTGAAATGTGTCAGGAGGTGAAGACAAGCAGAAATAGCCTGTCTTCTGGGACGGTGGGAGGGAGAGAGGCGGCAGCTGGTGATTCCTCAGTCAGCAGGGCTGCTGCAGTTTCTCTTTTGCAGTTTATGGGAACTATCTCTGGGGCTGTGCCCCATGCCCAGAATAAGTTTGCCATCATGGAGCACTGTGGATAGCTCCTATAAAGCTGAAAAGGAAGGCTACAATGGATGAGAAGCCTTGCTGAAATAGGAGTCACCTTCACTGTGGTTGTTGTGTTGTCAGTGGAGCCTTCTTTCTCCTGAATGGTTTGGATTTCAGCTCCCAAAGTTGAGGGTCGAAACATCTGGAGGGAATTCTCTAATCTATGTTCAACAGACAGCATATAGGTTTGTAATGTATTATACATCATATGCCTCTGCATAACCAGTTGCTACTGTTTGTAAGAGTTGCTAGATAAAATATCTGGAGGACCACTCCATCTTAGTCCAGCAGGGAAGAGCACAAGCCTTTTTGGATGTTGTTGGCCTCCAAATCTCATCATCCCTAACAATGTGGTCATGTTGGCTGTGGCTAATGGGAGTTGAAATCCAACAATCATCAGTGGCCTAGGTCAAAATAAGAGGCAAGGTAAGGCAAGACTTTACTTAAAGGATCAGTGCACCGTTAACTCACATTGTAACAGAAGAAAATAGTCTTCCTCACTTTCAAATGTGTCAGACAACCTTCCCCATCATGCCCAGCCAGTATGGCTATGGGCACTGTGGGCTGAAAAAATAGGAGCTGTAATCCAATGTATCTTGAAGGCATTTAGAAAGGTAAGGCTGTTTTACTAGTGCCACCCACCAGAGCCAGGTGCAAAAGACATGCATTTGGAATTAAAGAACCAGGTGCCCGGAGTGCTCTCCAAGCCTACAAATTTGTTTTCAGTACCTGACTGAATTGAGCTCACAATCCTGTCACTCAAAAGTCCATTCCTAGCATCCCCAAGCTTTCTTCATTTCAGCAGCCCTCGAGAAAAGTCATTTTGATAGCAATCAGAAACCTTCGACAATCTATTGCAAATCACCCAGAGATCCTGGCAGATCCAGTTCTACCTTCTGGCCACCCATCCTGTTGTGGCTACAAATACAGGCTGTGAGAAATCTCCCATATTTCAGCCACAAACCCACAACTTCAAGCAATGGTATTGAATTAAGTTGTTGGTCATGCATCAAGTGGGAGAAGCAGGAACCAAAATTACAACAAAGGACTGTCTATTAAATAAAATGAAACAAAATGTAATAGGAGGAGGGGGTTTAAAATCCTTTAAAAGTGTAACATATCGTATGGACCACCCAGCCTTTAAGATTCAATTCTTCTTATGCCTGGTCACACATACGGAGGAGGGAGGTAGTAACACTAACCACTTACAATATTTTCAAAGATACTGTATCTGAGATAATGTACTGAAATGCTTTGAACAGTATAGCATTCTACATAAATACTGAGGAAAGGGAAATAAGGACTGAGAAGAGAAATGAGACTATTTCACCAGCCATGCTGAAAAGCTATTTTATTTCTCTTCTTCCCCTTTCATTCCCTTTACCTTTGTTATAATCACTCTTTCCTTTCCGTCAGATGAGAAAAATATTCCAGGCATGCAGTTCTTTTTAAAACTTTATTGCAATGAAGGGAACAGAAAGGAATGGTTTCCTTTCCATTTTCCTATTCCCCTGAGCACATGTTCACACACCCCTTTTAAAGCGGCTTGTTCCCTCCTCCTTTTCCCTAATTGGCTAATAGGGTACTGAGAGGTTACACTCTTTCCGCCCACCTACTCCACGCTGCCCCAACACTGGCCCTTCTTCCCAATCCAGCCCTGCCCCTGGTGGGCTACAAGAGGCTCATTTTGTTCTGCCCAGCTTGTCAATAAACAATCAGCAAGTATTTGGCCCTCCTGCCTATGTGCCTGTTTCCCCATACCTTGTGCTAACTGATTTTGGCCCCTCCCCTCCTTTGGGCTAAGTAATTTTCTTTGTTACCTTTTCAAATCTCTTTACTCCCATGTTTCAAATCATCCTTTCACACCTATCACCTTGTGTGTTGTTTCTTTTTAGATTGTAAATCTGCAGGCAAGGACCGTCTTGTTTAAGTGACTATGTGCCTGCTGCTTCAGGAGATTTTTTTCACCAAGAAGCAGGAGAATGTATTTTAAATATACAAGTAATGCATCAATGCCAGTAGTACTAATAAATAAATCACTTTAATAACAAGGGAGAGGCGCTTATATTATCCATTTAATTATCCATACTTACCTGTATACGAACACATAGCGTTCCTGGTAGTTGCCCCGGCCAAGCAGAGGGCTGGTGTGGTAGCTATAGGTGCCAGAGCCACCATCAAACCTAACAGGAGAAGGGAGCTGGATTTAAGGAGAGCATATTTGCAAAACAAGTCATATGTCAGTATAGAAAGGCATCAATTGGCACAGAAGACTGTAAGGTGGCCTTCCCCAGCCAAGAATCCTCCAGATGTTTGGGCTACAACTGCCAGCATCCCTGATGAGAAACTCACACTTATCACCATGTCTAGAATGCCCTTCTCTTGGGAGTCAGTCAGGTGACTCTGGAGAGCCAATCCTGTGTGCTGCCTGAGCTATAAAATGCCTGTTTCCAGTTCTCCCTCAGTATGGGCAGTTTGTCTTTGTGCGAGGGCATTCATTGGTGCTTCTTGCCTCTCTTAGGTCCACCAGAAATATTTGATGGCCTTTGAACACCTACCTCCTCCAGGAGGTGCTTAGACCTCATGGCTATGGAAAGCAACTCCCCTGCCCCCCAGGCTCCTTTATGTCTCATTTACACTGCAATTAACAAGTGTTCCCATCCTATTTCACCACCACCCACAGACATAACTCTGACCTAGCAGCATCATGAGACAAAGTCAAACCACAGGTTTTTGGAGCATTATGGGCAGCAAAGAAGCAACCCACATGGTTGAATCCAATCTGACTGTACTCAGAGCAGACCCACGGGGGTTATATGCCATATTCATCTAACTTAAATGCCATGCAATTCTGTGGATCTACTCTACTCAGATACAACCCCCAGAAATTTGCTGAACTAATTCCTGAGCAGGAAAAAACTCAGATGAATTGTGAGCAAAGTAATTGGGGACAGGGGGTATGTATTTGTGCACCACCTTTCCACCAAGAAAGAAAAAGGGCACTCAGGGTAGCTTATAATCATAACTAAAACTTGATTAAAACAGTAATAAAACAAATGCATGAAAAGACAAAATCACGACAATAACAAAACAAAACACTTGTCCTTCTGGTTTTTCCACTGTGTACATGAAATTATCTGGGCTAGCCCTACTTTCCTTATCCACACTGTTCAACTTCTCTCTTGTTCACCTCTTTCCCATTTCATATTCTTTCCAGAGAACAGTAAAGCTTTCATAGAGCCACTTTTGATTATGAGAAAGGCATATAAAAACATTAAAAAAAAACAAGTCAGTCATCCTTTAGTCCACATTTCCATCAACTAGTTATTATTGTGTTTGTCCTGTCAGACTCACCGATTCAAAGCGTCCACCAAGGCAGGAATTGCCTTTTCTTTTACATCCATCACCTCTTGCAGGACAGAGATATCATAACGAGCCAGGATCTGTGGGGCATGCCAGAAGGGGATGGGGCAGAAAGGAGCACATGAGTCCATTATAAATTTGGGCTAATTTCTTTTTCTCTTTAGATTTACCTCAGCACCCCTTTTGCCTACCTGCCCTGACTAAGCTGCTAGTGATAGATGATGGCTCAGGTCACAGATAAGAAGTTAGCATGGGTGAATTTCTTTGTGGGACTTCTTGGCATGGTGATGGCTGCATACTGAATATTCAGGATGCATCTGTAGCTTCTTATTGTGTGCAAACCGAGCAAGTGTGGTTTGTTAGAGGAGTTCTGGGTGACTTATCAACCACCTCAACAGCAACCCACCCTCATGCAACAGCACCTGCATCATATGCTTGCCATGGCTTAAATGTTCAAAATTGCAGCCACCTCCACAAGAAGCCCCAAGGAGAAATTTGTGTATGCCAACTTCTTGGTATATGCAAACCTGGTCAACGGAAGCATATCCCAAATGGTCTTTAAAATGCAGGTTGTGCTAAGTAGCTGAAAAGCGAGAAGATGGGGACAGGATTTCAAGTACGGAAGGAGTTGAACCACCACTCCCCTACAATTGCTTTTCTCTTTCTGAAAATAAGAGATCAATAACTGGTGGTGTTTGCATGTGAAACTGGGGAAGCAGATTTTGTGAACAGTGAAAGACTTCAGCACTCCTTCCTTCTACCTAGGCAGCTCCTCCCTCCCTCCCTAGGCAACTGTTCAAGGTGGCTCATGTTCTAAGGCACAGGTCTGCCTCTGTAACATTTTGCTGTGCTTAACAAAGAACCTGTTCTAGAATGTATCTTTAGGTCTAGTCTGCAGCAACAGCAAAACATATGCCAGGACTCTTCCTCAGCAATATTCTTCATACTTCAGGTGGGGGTCTGAAATGTACTACAGATGAACCTTTGTACTGTTACCACAAAACGTAACATCTCCCTGCAGAGAGGAAACTAGATGTTATGGGTATAGTTCTCACAAGCAGTAAACTTGTACCTGGACTGTACTACTTTAGACCGAACACTCCTCCGGGGAGAGAGGGAGAGGGAGAGGGAGAGGGAGAGGGAGAGAGAGAGAGAGAGAGAGAGAGAGAGCGCGAGCTGACATTTTCTATGTGCTGGAATTGTTTTTCTATGAAGGTGCACTGCATCTTGTAAACCCTCATCTACCATCAGAAAGTGGTATAATCCAGACATGGATTGACCACCTCACTGAGAACATGAAGGGACAACAGATCTTATCCCAGCCTTCTCCATGTTATGCAGTTTTCATATGATTAAGGATTTTTTTCCACAGGGGCAGTATTTTGATAAAGAACCCCTGTCTCCACAGTCTAAAAAGGCACCATTTAGGCCAACTCTGAGGTACATCTGTATTCTGGATAGAGCTGGATATGTATTGAACATATAAAAATGAATTTTTGAAAGCTGTTTAAATTATTTGCAAATGTAACAAGTTTTCTTGCATTTGCTTATTTTGCATTGCTTATTTGTTTCTCCCCAAATATTTACCCATGTATTTTCATGCTTACTGCTGCACTCATACAGACTAGAAACTTGCTTTTAAAACACAGTATTCCTCTGAATACTGGATTCTGCACCCAATACTTGCTACAGAATACACGAAGTCCTGGTCCTATGAAAACGTTGTAATGACATTCAGAGAAAGAGAGAGAGGCTGAACTGGATCCTGCAGCTGAGAGCTACTTCTTCTAACCAGTTCCCTCCCTTCCATGGTTGCTGCTACATCTGCCCAGGTTGCATCTTGATGCCCCACCTTGACAAGCGTGTCTACGACGCTGGCTTTCTCTGTCTTTCCTTCGGCAAAGCGCTGCATGTTGAAGGCACAAATCTTCAAGGGGGCTCCAGCTGGGCATAACAGAAAGAGGAGCAAGGTGGGCCGCCAGAAGCACAAGGGTCCCATCTTGACGAATTCAGCCTGGCTCCTTCTTCTATAGATAGATTCTGTGTGAAACCATGGATGAGACAAAGATGGAAAAGCAGAGTGACCTGGAAATTGGTGGTGAGACCTGTGCACTCCATAGACATGCCGGTCAGAGGGCCGTGGGATCAGTATTGTGTCCACAAAAAAGCCACACGTAAACAACAGTTGCCCATATTCAGGTTTTCTCTTTTATTTGGCTGCAGATCTGACTATGCTAAAGATAAAAGTACTAATAAATAAAGGAGAACACAAATGAAAGAGCCAAAGGCTGCAGCAAAAAGCATGACACCTAAGGCTTCCTGGGTCAGCAGAACACTAGACAAAGCATGGTTCAAGCCTGGTCATTGACATCAGCAGCTGGTCATTGACATTCAGACAACAGGATAATCAACATTCAAGGGTTACGTGTGGGATACCGCTGAAGTGTATGTTGTTTTTGAAACATGGTTTATTTTGTTGTCTGAACCAAGCTGCACTAACAAGCTATGACTTGTTAACCACAAACAATTCATGGTTTGTTGTTAGATTGCAAGCTAAGGTTGTTCACCATGGTTTGTCATCACGACTGGGTTTAGAAACACAATAACCCGTGTTTCAAACCGCAGTTAAACAACAACAAACACACAACCCTCAAGAGTGAGTTATTGTGTAATCTGAACCCAATCAGTAGCAAGTTTCCTCTCAGAAAGAACAGCAACTTCCAGGGCTGGCCCTACTGCTGGGCAGAGTAAGGCAGCTGCTCAGACCACAGATTCAGGGAACAGGAGGAAAGTGCCTATCATTTCCTTTCAGCCCCCTAAGCCAGCCTGCTGCCCTCAGGCTTCTTTCACCAGTGCTGAAGTGAGATGGCACCAGTCTGCATGTTATGGCTGGGTCTTCTTTATTGCTGTGTTGTCACATCACCAAATTCTGGCAGCACACTGTTGCTTATTTTCCTGAAAGCAGGGGAAATAATACTAGTGGCCCAGTGCTGCTTGGTTCTACAGCAGCCAGACAAGCCTGCCATGGTCCACTATCAGGGTAGGGTTGCCACCAGAAGGTACTTGGTCTTGGAACCTCTCAGTACTGGTCCTTCTTGCTGGACTGAAGGGATCAACTGTCCCTAGGCTGATTGTGACTGTGAAACTGTTGGTACATTTTTATTTTCTGTTGCAATCCTGAGGTCTAGAAACTTGGGGTTTGGGTCTGGGAAACCTGGAGGGACAACACTGCTGTGTAAGCTTCCCATTAAATGGAGGCTGAAATCTTTTGCATCCTTGTTGTTGTTGTTAGTCGCGAAGTCATGTCCAACCCATCGCGACCCCATGGACAACATTCCTCCAGGCCTTCCTGTCCTCCACCATCCCCCAGAGTCCACTTAAGTTCATACCAACTGCTTCAGTGACTCTATCCAGCCACCTCATCCTCTGCCATCCCCTTCTTTTGCCATCTATTGTTTGCAGCATTAGGCTCTTCTCCAGGGAGTCCTTCCTTCTCATTAGGTGGCCAAAGTATTTGAGTTTCATCTTCAGTATCTGGCCTTCTAAAGAGCAGCCAGGGTTGATCTCCTCTAGGACTGACTGGTTTGATCGCCTTGCGGTCCAGGGGACTCGCAGGAGTCTCCTCCAGCACCACAATTCAAAAGCCTCAATTCTTCGGCGCTCAGCCTTCCTTATGATCCAGCTTTCACAGCCATACATTGCAACTGGGAAAACCATAGCCTTGACTATACGCACTTTTGTTGGCTGGGTGATGTCTCTGCTTTTTAGTATGCTGTCTAGATTTGCCATAGCTTTCCTCCCCAGGAGCAAGCATCTTTTAACTTCTTGGCTGCAGTACCCATCTGCGGTGATCTTAGAGCCCAGGAAAATAAAATCTGTCACTACCTCCATTTCTTCCCCATCTATTTGCCAGGAAGTGAGAGGACCGGATGCCATGATCTTAAGTTTTCTTAATGTTGAGTTTCAAGCCAACTTTTGCACTCTCCTCCTTCACCCGCATCAAGAGGCTCTTTAGTTCCTCTTCATTTTCTGCCATGAGAGTGGTATTATCTGCATATCTGAGGTTGTTGATATTTCTCCCAGCAATCTTAATTCCAACTGGTGATTCATCTAGGCCCGCCTTTCTCATGATGTGCTCTGCATATAAGTTAAATAGGCAGGGAGACAGTATACAGCCTTGCTGAACTCCTTTCTCAATTTTGAACCAATCAGTGGTTCCGTGTCCAGTTCTAACTGTTGCTTCTTGACCCACATATAGGTTTCTCAAGAGACAAATAAGATGGTCAGGTACTCCCATCTCTTTAACAACTTGCCACAATTTGTTGTGATTCACACAATCAAAGGCTTTAGCGTAATCAATGAAGCAGGAGTAGATGTTTTTCTGGAACTCCCTAGCTTTCTCCATGATCCAGTGTATGTTGGCAATTTGATCTCTAGTTCCTCTGCCTCTTCGAAATCCTGCCTGTACTTCTGGTAGTTCTCGGTCCACATACTGCTGGAGCCTAGCTTGTAGGATTTTGAGCATAAATTTGCTAGCATGTGAAATGAGTGCAATGGTGCGGTAGTTTGAACATTCTTTGGCATTGCCCTTCTTTGGGATTGGAATGTAAACTGACCTTTTCCAATCCTGTGGCCACTGTTGAGTTTTCCAAATTTGCTGGCCTTTTGAGTGTAGCACTTTTACTGCATCATCTTTTAAGATTTTGAATAGCTCAGCTGGAATACTGTCACCTCCACTAGCTCAGACTTCCTAAGGCCCATTTGACTTCACATTTCAGGATGTCTGCCTCAAGGTCAGTGACCACCCCATCGTGGTTATCAGGGATGTATCTTGTATATCTCGTATAGTTCTTCTGTGTAATCTTGCCACCTCTTCTTAATCTCTTCTGCCTCTGTTAGGTCCCTGCCATTTTGGTCCTTTATCATGCCCATCTTTGTATGAAACATTCCCTTCATATCTCCAGTTTTCTTGAAGAGATCTCTGGTCCTCCCTATTCTATTGTTTTCTTCTATTTCTTTGCACTGTTCATTTAAGAAGGCATTCTTATCTCTTCTAGCTATTCTCTGGAATTCTGCATTCAATTGGGTGTATCTTTCTCTTTCTCCCTTTCGCTTCCCTTCATTCTCCCTTTCGCTTCCCTTCTTTCCTCAGCTATTTGTAAAGCTTCCTCAGACAGCCATTTTACTTTCTTGCATTTCTTTTACTTTGGAATGGCTTTAGTTGCTACCTCTTGTACAATGTTGTGAACCTCCGTCCATAGTTCTTCAGGCACTCTGTCTATCAGATCTAATTCCTTAAATCTATTTGTCACCTCTACTGTATATTCATCAGGGATATGGATTAGGTCATACCTGAGTGGCCTAGTGCTTTTCCCTACTTTCTTCAATTCAAGCCTAAATTTTGCAACAAGAAGTTCATGATCTGAGCCACAGTCAGCTCCTGGTCTAGTTTTTACTGACTGTATAGAGCTTCTCCATCTTTGGCTGCAGAGCACATAGTCAGTCTGATTTCTGTGTTGACTGTCTGGTAGATTGTCTCTTGGGTTGTTGGAAAAGAGTGTTTGCTATGACCATCGTATTCTCTTGACAAAATTGTACCAGTCTGTGCCCTGCTTCATTTTGTACTCCAAGGCCAAACTTGCCTGTTATTTCTGTAATCTTTTGGCTTCTTACTTTAGCATCCAATCCCCCATGATGATAAGGACATCATTTTTTGGTGTTAATTCTAGAAGGTGTTGTCTGGTCAACTTCAGCCTCTTCAGCACCAGTGGTTGCAGCATAGACTTGGACTATTGTGATGTTGAATGGTTTTTCTTGGATTCAAACTGAGATCATTCTGTCATTTTGGAGATTGTATCCCAGTACTGCTTTTCCTACTCTTTTATTGACTATGAAGGCTACTCCATTTCCTCTGAAGGATTCTTGCCCGCAGTAGTATACCTGATGGTCATCTGAATTAAATTCACCCATTCCTGTCCATTTTAGTTCACTGATTCCTAAGAGGTCGATGTTCAGTCTTGTCATCTCTTGTTTGACCACATCCAGCTTGCCTTGATTCATGGATCTTACATTCCAGGTTCCTATGGAGTATAGATCTTTGCAGCATCAGACTTTCCTTTCACCACCAGATATATGTGCAACTGAGTGTCCTTTCGGCTTTGACCCAGTCGCTTCATTCTTTCTGGCGCTACTAGTACTAACCCTCCGCTCTTCCCCAGTAGCATATTGGTCACCTTCTGACCTGAGGGGCTCATCTTCCGGCGTCATATCTTTTTGCCTTTTGGTACTGTCCATGGGGTTTTCATGGCAAGGGTACTGGAGTGGGTTGCCATTTCCTTCTCCAGTGGATCACGTTTTGTCAGAGCTCTCTGCTATGACCTGCCCGTCTTGGGAGGCCCTGCATGGCATAGCTCATAGCTTCATTGAGCTACACAAGCCCCTTCACCACAACAAGGCAGTGATCCATGAAGGATCACTTACCCAGAATCTGCATCCTTACCCAGAAATAAGACCAGCTGAACTCAATGGGAAGCATAAGCTCCTGCTGTAGGCAGAGCAAAACTGAAGTATCTTTCTACAGAAACTGCATTTCACGATTGCGCCAGAAACCCTCCCTCTTATGATTATTGTATTATACAGTATTGGCAACACAGTCCCCAACCTGTTTTATTTCAGTTTCAATTCACAGCCATTAAGAAAACGTTCGGAAGCTGCTGTGTCGAAAGTAAGACCAGACGGCCACCTGTTTTGACAGCTCCGCCCTTTTGCTCAGCACTTCATGGAGCCTAAGGATACTTGCCAACGTCTATTGATAGACCAGCCTTCCAGCCTCGTTGAAATCTCTGTAACAGCTCGTGACTAAACATATCTACCTAGAAGTAATCCTGGTCGATTTCAGGAAGACTTATGCCCCGATCCCTTAAGAGTGTGGAGTTCGAGAATAAGGCTGACGGTCGCTTTGCAGGCAGCAAATATTTTCCAGGAAGCACGAAGCATAAAGTGCTTAGGACGATTATTCAACCCACTAGCTGGGTGGGTGAAATGGGCCTGATCCTGCGGGACTCCATGGGGGTCCAGCTTCCCTCGCAGCAGGAACACTCGGAGGTCGATACCTAAACTCAGGGTGGATTCCCGCGAGTGAGGATCGCTTGCCACACAGGTGGGAAGGAAACGGACGCTGTGGCGGCTGCTCTGGCTGTCCCTTTCCCTTCCCGACAACCTTCGGCCGTTCTTGTCCAAGCCCCCCACCCCGTCCCCCGCTCGCCTCTCTCCCAGCACTCACTCGCATCGCGATCGGAAAAAGACGAGGCGCATTTCTTGCTGTTCCTCCCTCGCCGCAGCGGCAGCAGGCAGGGCGGGCTCGCTCGCAGAATCCAAGCCCATATCCAGGCAAGGGAGGGGAGCTGCCGCCGGCCCGCCCCTGCCGCCCGCAGCCCGGCAAGGGCGGCAGGCAGGCAGGCAGGACGCGGCGGGGCTCAGCCTTGGCCAGCGAGGCCGCGGGAAAGAGAAGCCCCTGCTGGGGGTTTACGCGAGCATGTGCAGAGAGCACCCGGGGCATGACTGAAGAAGCACTGCCAGCTTGCCAGTCTGCTGCCTACCACCTCCACCAGGCCCCGGTGTCAGCCCGAGCACAGCCCGAGTCCTACTAAGCCAGCACGTCTGGCCATGTTCAGTTGGAAGGAAACTGAGCGCTGAAACCCGGTGTCAAAGTAGCTCTTCCCGCCTTACAAAATATCATCTTCCTACATAGCAACGTGCAAGAAAGCTGCATGTAGGATTGGTATATCCAGGGCCTGCTGTACCATTAGGTAGTGAAAGTTGAGGCAGAACAGTTTGGCTGTCCTGAAAGGGCACCAACCTGGCATTTAATTTATTACTGTAGTATTTTTACCTCCAGGAATGGGGAGGCAGGATTTTCTGCCTCTTGTGCAAAAATCAGTTAGTTGGTCTGGGTTCCTTAGGGGGCAATGTGAGGACAAGGAGCATCATTCAGTCTCCCACTTCCAACAGCAAAATGTCACCCAGATCACATACAAAACCCCAGCATCCATTATATCAAAAATTGTGAACAGCAAACTTAAATGTTGTAGATGCAATACAGCACAGACATGGTTGAACCCAATAGGTTTAATGTGCTTAATACTGTCCCGGACAGTGAATGTTTATGTTTACTCTTATGCCTGTTCACACCTCACTGTGGAGTCCTATACATCCTTACTCAGGACTCCTATAAAGTTCAATAGGACTTACTCCCAGGTGTGTATGGTAGAGGTGTGGAACCTGAGGTCTGCCAGATGCTATTGGACTCCAACTTTCATTTTCCTGTCTATTGGCCGTTCTCCCTGGGGCTGTTGGAACAGCAGCCCAGCAACATCAGGAAAACCACCGGTTCTCCTGCCAGTAGTAGAGAGGATGCAGCCTCAAAGAACTAATGAATATGCATATATTTATATGTACACACGCATAAAAGAGAAGCAGAACGTTTTTGTGCCTTCAGCTGGCGCTATTTGGACGCACAAGGTTCCTAGCCTAAAAAACTTGGCTTGATTCATTGTCGCGTTTATTTTTGTTTTAATGCTTACATTTTATTTTTTGAATGTATAATACAGAACTCAGAGAATGTCGGCGATATAAAGGTGCAATCCTGTGCATATTTATACAGCGGGAGGAAAGCCCTATACAGCCTAAATATTGCTCATTCTAACTTATTCTTAATGCTGAAAGAATAAGCATTATTCTTATTCTAACCATTTATCTAGAGTCACACGGTATCTCAGGCTGTATTAAAACAGAATCATTCCGAAAACTTGACTTTCCGCAATGTAACTTCCCGACCCGAAGAGGTTTTGCCATAGTGATGTGAACGGATAGAGCGACGCCGCTCGCAGTCTTCACTTTTTTTTTACCGGAAGTTCAGTCCCCGCGTCCCTCTACCCTTTTGCTACATCCACGGGCTTGCCCGAAGATGCGTCATTCGGGAGCCCTCGCAGCGGCTCCGGGTCGTGATTCCGTGAGAGCGCTTCGCGGTCCGCTTTCTTTCTTCCAGCCCACCCAGTGCCTTAAAATATGCCTGTGTGGGCAGAGAGGCTGAAAAAGTGGGGCTCCCTTTTCGGCTGATAAGTGGATAGCTGCTATTTTTCCACCGCAGAAGGCGCTTGAGAGCAGCCGCCTTTGACGGCAGCAGCGAGGAAGAAGAGGTGAGTGGGCTGAAAGGGATGAGCGAAAGGGATGAAGTGGGACAGGGAGCGCAAGTGTCCGACTAGGGAAGGAGGAAAAGAAATTGGGTGATAGATCGATTCGGCATCTTTTTTCCCCTCCTGCTGTGTGCATGGGATTTGGAGGCCTGTAACGTGTAGCAGCAGGAAGTTCAATAGGTACCATATTCCCCCACATGAAGATGGGGGATGCTGCACCTGTTGAATCTTTCACATTTGTTTCAGTAGGTAGGAGGCCTTGCAGAGGCAATGTAGTAACCAACAGAAGTTGAGCTCTGGGGATGGCAAAGCAGACGGGTTATGTTAGCATAGGATGCTTATCCCTTGTGATTCAATATAGCGATATATTTGGTGACACTGTGAAGTGATGAGATGTGTTTGGGAATAACTAGGGTAGGGTGTGAGGCTTGCCTGTAGGGAGGGGAGCAAGTGGCAGCTGTATGCTGCCCCCAGTTCCCTTCTGTCATCTTAACACCTAGGAGGAAGCACTTGGCTGATGGTAAAAGTGGCAAGCAGGGCAGCAGAGGCATGCAGAGATCAGGTGTGCAGAAAAGGATTGGGTTGCCTGTGGTCAGCATTGCTGGAACTAAGTAAAACAGCCAGTCTCTGCATGCTTCTGCTTCTCTCCCACCCCCCAATTTGACTTGGCAGAGAGATTGTGAACATTAAAGGTGACTGCTGGCAAAATTCCAAGTTCAATTCTTGGACAAATAGCTTCTGCTCAAAAATCTCTCATGCTGAAAATCCACTGACAGCTGCTCTCCAGTGCCAAGCATCTCCAAATGTATCTTCTCCCCTGCCCCCAACTATTCTATAGCTAGATGTGCTTTTCTGTGCTAAATCACAGGCACTGTAATGGTGTTCTTCTGCTTCATTTATTGCCTTAACCAAACCTCTGAGCAAGTTTATGTTTGGTTTCACCATCCTGAAAACGTGTTTGATTGCTCCAACCTGATGATGATAACAACAACCCTAATGTACCTTGTCATTATTTTAATAATAGACAATAAATTACCTTGATCCTTGTACTCAGTGTGGCTGTCCAATTCCCAGCTGCTACCTAAAAAATTAGCTAAATCAATTATTATTAATTCCATTTCTATACTGCCTAGTAGCTAAAGTTCTTTAGGAGGTTCACAGATTAATTTGGTCATTCACAGGGGTGTGTATTTAAGCTCCCAGGTTGAAGGACCAGTCTAAAAAAGAACAGGTGAATCGGGTATGATGGGGGTTAGGGGGCTCCCCAAAAATATTTCCTAGTTCTCCTTTATGTTTATTAGCAAAAATTCTTGCTTGTTTGCTTATTAATGGTCTTTGTTACCCTTCCATTTCCCAAACTAGTTTTTCTGAGGCCAGGATGGATCAAGGCAACTGAAGTGATTAGGTAATCATTTAGTTACAGGTGGAATGAAAAGCAGCAGTTTCAACATGGCATATGTTTTATGTCATATAGTATTGCACCATATGCATGGGTGACTGTAGCCCCTTCAGTTATACTGTATAGTCCACTTAATTGTTGTGGTGATTGACTTAATTCAAGAAGAGGAAAAGTGATACTTGTTATCTTATCTATGGAGAGGGGAGGTACCAAAAAAGAGCAATTGTGATGTCTGACTTTCTGGTTCTGGCCTTATGCTATGTGGGTGCACTGGCTCCTGGCAGAAATATAGGGCAATCTTTTTTTTTTTCTTTCTTCATACTGCAACAGCCCTTACAGACAGGTGAGACTCACGGGGTGTGGTGCTGGCTGCAAGTTCAAGCAGATCTCTTGTGGGGGGGGGGGGATGGCTGTAGCACAGAGTACTTTGAGCTAAGAGTCATGGGAACAGCACAGCTAAAGGCACTTTGCTGTTTCCTCTCTGGCAGGGACAGCTGACATTGGTGCCTCAAGAGGATTGCCAGGGATGGCAAGATGCCCCTTGAGGTGAAATGGCCCTTTCCCCGGGCCCCACATCTGCCCTGGAATTTGGCCAGCAGGCTGGTCATGGGATTGGTGGGCACCTACAGCTGCTTCTGGACCAGTGAGTATGTGCAGCCTCCACTCCCTGCAAGGCTGGCGCTCGAGTTCAAGAACACGCTGGGAGCCAGAGGCCCAGAGGGGCTTCCCTTGAGCCAGCTGCATTACCATGCAGTTGGGTGACTGGAGCAAAGTGGCTGGGATGGGTGCTGCTTTCAGGGCACAGGACGACACAAGAAGATCTCTCCCTTCTTTGAGCAGCAAAATTGGGAGAGAGAAGCTCTTGGAATCAGGACTAGATTAGCAAGGACAATGGAAATAGGGCAAAAAGGGATCTTGAGAGGGGTCTAGCAACATGTCCCACTGGATCATGTTCCTGTCTTCTGTGCCACTTCACAGGCTGAGAAGTCTTGTCCGAGGGCCACCAAAGCCCTGGAGCGAGGTCTGGGATAAGCCTTGGCCTTCGGAAGCCCTTTCCCCCCATTTTCTCCCCTACCTGCCTACCTTCCCTTCTGCAGTGAGAACTGGTGCAGGCATTCCTTGCCAAGCTACTCTCTCTGCTCCTCTGCCCCACCCCCCACTGCCAAATCTGGACGTATTAATAATGACCTACTCTAAAGAATTGTTTAAAGAGGTTTAATAGGATAATGTGCTTGTGGGCTTCCCATAGGCAGCTGGTTGGCCGCTGCATACTCTTCTTACATAGCACAGTGACAGAGCACAGACTTTGCATGCAGCAGGTCCCAGATTCTATCCCGGCATCTCCAAGCAGGGCTGGGAAAGCCACCTGCCTGAAAACTGGGAGAGTGGCAGCCGGGCAACATTACTATCTACTGGTGATCTGATGCAGTAGAGGGCAGCTTGGGAGGTAGATGTAGACTTGCAAATTGCTTCAAATTCTCCAGAGTTCCTTTTGAATGCTAAGTATTCTCCTGAATGGAAGCACTGGGATTCTAGACAGATTCCATCTCTCTTAGGAACTCATCTTCTCAGTTCCTGTTCCGATTACCAAGCTCTCAACTTGCTGTCCTCCCTTCAGGGTATATGAATCAGCTGAATGTCCATAACGAAGAAGTACTATATGAGCTAATTGAGAAGCGCCAGCCAGGCACCCCGCTCCTCACTGTCTGCAACCACCAGTCCTGCATGGATGATCCGCACCTGTGGGGTATGGTACTGGAAAGAAAGTGCTGCCACCTTGTGGATAGGAAGGGGTTTGCACTTGTCTTCCCTTTGATTGGTTAGGCCAATTGCCTTCCTGGATTTTGGAGCCCAGTGGACTGTTAGCCCTCCACAGAGCTTTAGCTTTGGGCAGTACAGAAATTAAAGAAATAAGATGCTTCCCCACCACTTAGGAATTCTATCACAGAAGCTTTATTCGCTATTATTTAGGGCTAGAAAGGTAAGCCCTAAGGCTGACTTCTGTGTTTGCAGCACTTTTTCTTGTACACACAGAAGGTTGGCAGTGATTTGGTTTGGATTGTTCCCATTGTTAAGGCCACTGTTTCTTCTGCAGGTATCCTGAAATTACGACATGTCTGGAATTTGCAGAAGATGCGCTGGTAAGAATGGGAAGGGGCAGCTGTTCCTAATAAAATAGAAAAGGGACTCCTTTAAGTTCTTAGATCTCTGACACACTGCCCATCATATCCATTCTGGGTTCCTAGGATTTCTAAGAGTACAAGTGAAATTTTGACTGACCATGTTTATGACTCTCTCTCTGCTCTTCAAGGACCCCAACAGCTGCAGACATCTGTTTCACCAAGGAGCTACATTCTCGTTTCTTTAGCCTTGGGCGATGTGTCCCTATCTGTCGAGGTAAGCAGATGGCTTGCTTGGTAGATGCAGGTAGCCAGGGCAAGCAACCCCTTGGGTAAAAATAGAATGGCTGTCTACATAAGACCAGGACCATGGGTAGTGGCATCCAAATCTGGACCTGAGAAGTAGGATTTCCTCAATGTCCTTTTCTCTGCCTCAGTTTTCCATCTGCCATTTGTCACATGAGGAAAATAGCAGTCTTGACTTTGAAGAGAAAGAGTGTCAGTCACTCTGCAAAAAAAAGAAAAGAGTGACTTACAGGCAAAAATGTGGCTGTGATTTAATCTTCAGGATGGTCAGGTTGGAGCAGTCTGAGGGCTTAGGAATGCACAGTGTGGGAAAAGTGCTGGCCCTTCATTTAGGACGGAGCCTTCACTGACCCGTCTGTTCTCTTTGCAGGAGACGGTGTCTATCAGAAAGGCATGGACTACATACTTGAGAAGCTCAACCATGGAGACTGGGTACATGTGTTCCCAGAAGGTAAGTAATACCTGGCCGTCTGAACATGTTTGGGTGCAGCCTTCCTCCAGAGGTGCTTCTGAGGGCTTCTTCCTGTGCTCCTACTTGTCCTGAATTTCTTCCATCTTCCTCTTTCAGGCAAGGTGAACATGACTCAAGAGTTCATGCGCTTCAAATGGGGTAAGTACCTTTTGGAGGAGGAGGAGGAAGAAGAGAGCATTGGGGCAATTTGTCTGTTCTGACTTTCCTTCCTCTTATTTCTTTCAGGTATTGGACGCCTTCTGGCTGAGTGCCACCTGCATCCCATTATTCTGCCCCTCTGGCATGTAGGTGAGACCTGAATCAGACGAGTGGGAGAAGAAAGGAACACGGTGTAATTGGCAGACCATTGGTGGTGGATGTGCATTAGGATTGCTGGATTCTGTGTTCAGGATGCCTGCTCCTTTCAGATTCTTTCACAGCTGTGTGGAAAAGGATAATTTTGGCAGGGGCCACTTCTTCTTGCCAAAACAGTGGCTTTGGAAACCAAGGAGCCACCCAAAGAGAGCTTACACTCTGTCATGCCTCCACTGGGAAAGTAGGACTCCCTGACAAGTCTGTTTTCTTAGGCCCCAGCTCTGCTCAGGCCTATCCCATGGCCCCCATCTATCTTTTTAACTCAGGTCAGTGCGGCCTCCCCCAAATTCTGCTGGGGATGATGGGATTTGTAGTCCAGCACAACAGGCAGGAGCTAGCGGAAGGCCAGTTTAACCAGGAAAGTTACAGACCACCTCTTCTGGTTCTAGGATGATGATTTTGGTGTCACTTTCATTCTGTGCAGCAGAAAGAGTTCATTGTAAGCACCAGTGTTCCTCTCAGCATGGATGTAGGGTGGGGGCAGAGATGTTCCCCATTACCCCTCTGTTGAATATGACATGTTAACATCAGTGAAGAGCTTCTGAGAAGCTTCTTTGCTGTCATTGGAACATGAAAATGTGCATATGTGCAACCAACTCCTGCAATCAGCACAAGAAGATCACACAGACACACTAGGACTCAAGCTCTTCTCTCAGCCCCTGCCAAAATTATTCCCTCTCTAACTTTTGAAAACACTGCTGATCTCTTTGCAAGGGGTGGACTAGGATCAAGCATGGTTGTTTTATGTTGTCTTCCACTCTCCCTAGGAATGAACGACGTCCTCCCCAATGCACCCCCTTATGTGCCCCGCATTGGACAGGTGAGTGTTTTCAGATGTGCAGAAGGAGGTGCTACTAGCATTGCAGAAAGGAGTGGCCAGGTCGACTCCATGCAGCAAAGGACCCAATTACTTTTAAAGGGAAGAGATTTTGCATTCCATTTGCTAACGCTCTTTTCCTCATTACAGAAAATCACTGTGTTAATTGGGAAGCCATTCAGTGCTCGGCCCTTGGTAGAGCGGCTGCGGGCAGAGAACAAGTCAGCGGTGAGTGTGGAGGAGGAGCACTAGGTGTCCGCCTGCTTTGTTAAGCGCTTGAAGCACTGCAGGGCTTGGGAGTCTTGAGTTGGATAAACATTCAGGCCATGTACCTTGCAGCAGCCTCCAACAGTTGGAGAGCCAAATTCCATTTCAGATAAGTTCCTGGTTCCAAAAACACCCCCAGCCTAACATATTGTACCTTAAAGATTTAATTGCCATAAAGTAAGTCTCAGAAGAGGCATTTCATCCTTTTTGGAGTGGTAATTAACTGCACAGAAGCTGCAATGCCATCAGCAAATTGATGGAAGGGAAGGGGCATGACCATCTGAGGACCCCAAAGAGGGCCAGATTTAGCTCCTGGGTCTGAGGCTCCCTGCCCTTGCTCTGCAGCAAATGGCTCTGGCAAAGCAGGGACTTTTGCTGAGATAGGTAACTGTCAGATTTCCCCCACTGGATGAAGATTGTGTGTCCAACCTTTTCCCTGTGCTGGCCACTCCATTTTTCTGAGAAGTGGAACTGTTTGCCCTCTATTGGGAACCTACAGCCATGTTCTTAGATGGGGAAAGATTGTAAGAATAAGACTTACCTGTAAGAGAAGCTGAAGAGTGTCTTTGCATGGGAAGATAATGAGTTCAGGCTGGAATGGATGGGAACTGGGGAAATAAAAATTTTGTCTACTTTCCTTTGTGAATTAGTAAAAATCACTATTTGTGGGTCAAAATTATGTTCCGGCATAAACCCAGGTCCATTCATAGAGCTATTTCTGTCAATGGGTAGATTTGTGTGTCATGCTAATCCACCCTATGCTATGATAGGCTAGTTTGCTAGACAGGATAATATGGACATATAATATAGATGAAATCCATATATTGCCCTGTCCTAAGTATCCTATTTAGCCTTACCTAAATTCTTATTTTCAGCTGTCAAAATCTAGTATTACAGGTGAACGCCAAGTGTTCCTGGAAACCCAGGATCTTAGTGACAGGTAGAAAATTTGGAAAGGACAGTCAAACTCTGAAGATCCTGCTGTAAAGAGGAAATGTTACCTACCCCCTTTCAAAAGCAAAGATCACTTGTACCTTTGCTTTACTGAACAGCTTGCCCTTTGATAGCTGTCATGTTGAAGCAAAGTAAACTCACAATAATTTGGAGGCTTCTCTGGGTCAGAAGCCAGTATCGGTACCTGCTGCACTTTAACAGTAAGTATGCCCCAGGATATTGAGCAGTCGGGCTTCCCATTTCCAGTCAAATGGAACTGTGTGCCTTTGCAGTTGCACAGGTCCAAACAAAAGAAGTGTGTATATTTAGGGTGCATTTTTATTTTACGAGGCAAATCGTGACAGCCATTCCAGTGTGCCACATGCATACTCTGTCACTGCTATCAATTCAGAGCTTGCTGTTAGTGCTCTCTGGGGGAGGCTAAATGGAGAAAAAGGCTGTGACAAGCAAAAAGGAGGCTTGCAATTACTGCAGGATGCACTGAATCAATGACAGTTGCCCCAAGGTGCCTCCTGGTTGCTCATGGAATGGTTGTCACTGGCAGTGGCTTGGAAGAGCTTGGCAAGAATAGCAAGGGACTGTTGCCACTCTTGCTGAACGCCTCGCTTCCTGCTTCCTGCAACCCACAGTAGGTTTAGATTCCTGGGTTCAGATGGCACAACAATCTGTTGTAGACCGAACATCCCTTAAAAAGCCCTTGAATTGTCAGGGTGGGGTTTTTTTTGGGGGGGGGACACAAAAAACAAGCTATCCTTTGTAAGTGGTCTGTGTTTGCATAATGCATCAACCCACCATAGCTAGTTAGTTACCCAGTGGATTGCTGGGTAGTCTTTTTATGGTTTCGTTGTTTTAAATTAAGTGTGTGTGTATCTTTTTAAACCTTTGTTTAACTTTTGTTAACTGCCTGGACAGCCTTGGCTGCTGGGCGGTAAAAAATGAACAAACAAGCAAATATATACATGTGAACCAGGCCAATAGACTTCTGTGGACTGGAGGTGGGGCAGAGTTCTTGCATTGCCGCCCTCTTTCTTGCCATACTACACATCCTCGCGTAGGCACCTCTCCAGCACTGGTTGCCCAGGCTTGCTGACCACGGCCATTTCTCCCTGCAGATGGAGATGCGCAAAGCATTGACTGACTTCATTCAGGAAGAGATCCAGATGCTGAAGGAGCAGGCCGAGAGACTGCATCAGACTTTCAAGCTGCAAGGCTAGCCATAGCGCTAGGATGAGCACAGGAGGCCCTTCCACTGAAGTGTGGATTGTGGAATCCTGAGCACGATAGGAAGGGCGGACCCTGCACGAACTACCTCTGTCCTTCACTTTGGCGTGAAATGTTCCCACACCTGCTGCCTGTGCCACAAGCGGACTGGTGGTGCATACAGAGGATTGGATGCAAGTTGCTGAGCCGTGTCTTGTGCCTGTCTCCTGAACAGTGGGTCTCAGAACTGCTGTTGTATGCAGGCATTCCTGTTGCCAGAAACCCGAGGTGCTGCTGGGGCTTCCAGTTAGTGGATGTTGACGATGCATGCACAGGAGCAGAGAGAGGAGTTGTGGTGGGGAGAGGAGTAAGGCAAGCTGTATCCCTCCTTGCAGTGATCCTGCTCTGCACCAGCTTCCCTTGTTCAGTGCAGTGGGGGCTGGAGGAAATAGGTGATGGGTTCTGCAAGTTTCTCCCCTTTTGTAGAATATTGGTCTGTAGGTGACTTTTATACTTGGCCTTTTTCCAGTAAATTATTCCAAACCGTGCTGCAGCCTGTCCTGAGTTCTATGGTGACATGGTGAGAAGGAAGGGTTAGGACTGAGGATGGCTTTCTGTACACATTTGGGCTCTGTGCAGAGAAGTACATGTGCAAAAGGGGCAACACACCCCTTTTTCGGCAACACACCTCTGTTGATGGAAAAGGCCCTCTCTCTTCCAGTCAGTTGAGAAGACATGGTGTTGAAAAGGAGACAGGTCACCCTGTACTTTACCTCTGCATCTCTCCACACCAGAAGAAGCTGAACACCACACAGAGAACATTCCCAATGTGAAGTTGCTTGAATTACAACTGTTAGAGGCTGATGGAAGGTTGTTCTGAAAATGTCACCCAGGTTGGCCATGGCCTTTCCTATATTCAGGAAGTGATGAGAATGGCCTGCCATAATTCTTGCTCAAAGCAGTCGTGCTAGGTGGATGGCATCCTAACCAAAAGTCCTGCCGAGTGAGATTGCCCTTTTAAGGGATAGAGTTAAGGTGACTTTAAGGGTGGTAGAATGAGAAATAGACAGAAATGGACCGTGGTGTTGTGCAAGCCTCAGTGGAATGATTTGGTTTTGTTTTGCAGTATGCTAAAATTAGCAAACTGCATACTGGGAAAAGTAAGTCTTTAGTGTTTTATTGAAGATCAGCAAAGGTCACATTTCATGGAGGAGTACATTTCAAAAATAAGAGGCCACTGAAGGAAAGGCTCTGTTTGTTTCTCTCACTGGTTGACCAGACAGCAGAGCCTCAGAAGCTGATCAGAAAGGTTAGGCAGATGCAGGTTCATAATGGTAGAAGTGGTCCTTCAGAAGGCCTAGTTTCAAGCCATTACAAGCTTTAAAAGCTAATACTAGCACCTTTAGCTGGGCCTGGAAAGGAATAGGCAGTCAGTATAACTGATGCAGAATGGATGGAACGTGACCGACATTCCAAACTACCACAAGCATTCTAGCTGCTGCATCACGCACCAGCTATAGGCATCTTTAAGAGCAGCACACTCTTATCAATTAGCTATGCCTGTGCCGTCCTCATCCTAAGCATGATTTCCCTAGAGTAATGAATGCTATGAGGACAAAAGTGAACACAAATGCTGAGCAGCTAACCTTAAATAAATAGTTCACTTAGCTACTAAAAGAAACGGAGGTGATGACAGAAAACACTCTGTAATAAAGGTAAATGTACATCAATAATTATAGGGAATAATTCTATATTAGAAAACTACAAAGAAGGCTGTTGCTCAATATGTCATTACAAATCTTTTAGGTACAACACTCTTAAAATGGTAAAATGTGTTAGTCCAAAAGAAATTCCAAGATGAATGTGCGATCATATGCACGTTTAGACAGAAAAAACTTCAATGTCCCTGGGACTTGTTTAGACAGAAAAATTTCCTCCATGCAGGATTGCTCCCTTAGACTTTTGTGTGCTCTAGGTTTCCTCCTCAGGCTAGATGTTCTGGTCAGAAAAATAGTTACCTGCCATCTGCACAGCAATACTAGGCTTCCCACCCCTAGCTCTGTTACTGTACATGTCTAGCTCACTGTTCCTGCAATTAAGAGTTGTGGCCTCAGTTAAGAGGAGACCCATGAAGCATACATGAAAATAGCCAATAGTCTTAGCACAGCTATTGAGTATATCCAGAGAGCTTATGGGGCAGATGGTCTTTTTTCCCCCAAACTGCGACACACCCTTTTATTTTTGCAACAAAGCTGAAAGGTAGGTTAAGCTGGTGACTGGCTGAAGGTCACCTACTGAGCATTATAGATGCAGGGTATTCCAAAGTTATGTCTAAGATCTTAGGAAGATGCTGAAACCACTGAATTCACATCTATCTTCTGCATACTGCAAGTCCTTCCTGGAAGAATATGCACCCTGGCTAAGATTAACATCCAGCAACGGAAAACACTACCCACTAAACACTCATACCTTCTTCCAGCCACAAAATCTCCTTTCCTGGCAAAACTCATGACTAGCGATGACACAGTGAATTCTCATGATCACAAAATTCCACGGCTTCTAGCAGCGGTGCTCGGGCCTAGGGCATAAATCCAATACACTCCGACTCTGAGTAAGCTTGATCAAACAGCGAGACTTCTACTCATATAAACATGTAATAGGCAGCCCCTTTCGATTTTATGAAATTCCGGGAAAGAATCTCTGATGAAAGAGGAAGGCAAGCTGAGCCAAGCTGAAGGAGGTTTTGATTGGTTCGTACTGTCTCTGCCTCGTGTGCTCATAGGCTGCCTTGCCCAGCCCGCGAGCTGCTTGTTTTCCTTCTAGCATTTTGATTGGCTGCGGCGCGCCGGGAATGCAGGGAGAACGGGAGCTTTGCGGAAAGAGCAGGAAGGAAGATGGCGTTGCAAGAGGTAGCGGCTATTTCGCTGCTGGGCCTTTGGTTGGTGGCCGCGCAGACAGGGCAGGTGCCCTTGCTGGCTTGGTCAAGTCACAGGTATGAAAGGCGTGGGCTGCCCTGTGGGGGTTTGAGACAAGACATTCTCGGGAGGTGGAGCTTGGCGATGACCCCCAAGGCAGATGTTCACGATTGCTTAGCACGGAAGATTGACTGCTTATTCGCACGGTGCTGTTTCAGGGGCTTTACTGGTATAACTACATTGTAGAGCATGAATGCGGGCGACATGGATTTTGCAAGCCTGTTTAGATACGTAATAGAGATAGGGAAGTGATTAACTACAACTCTTTTCGCTTGTGAGTCCCCGTCGGATAATGTGTGAAACACGCCCCTGTAATAATCGCAGATGAAAGTGAACTTCTGACTTATGAATTTCAGTGGAGCGGGGACAACTAATTTGCATTTTTTGATAAGTAAAGCGAGAGCTGCAGTCATTCATTCTGGGTATTGTGTTGTAAGCCGCCCCAAGGCTTCGGCAAGGGGCGGCATAGAAATGTTATAATAATAATAATAATAATAATAATAAAATAATAATAATAATAATAATAATGTTCTTTGTTTCTGAGGCTTGAGTGATCTGGGCAGCTGGGAATTTGGGGTGGAGGAAAGAATTTATATTTACAGTTTACATTTCTGTTTTTATAAAGAGGGTGGTTCTGGACCTCCTGACAGGTTGGTGCATGGTTTTGCTTTTATCCTGTTTCTGAAAGAGTCTTCTTAGCTCATTTCTTACCAGCCTGGCCACAGGGGCAAGAGAGAAGACAATTCTAGAACTTTCCTCAGCCATGTCTGCTTCTCACTCTCTGGAATGTTTCACACATTAGGTAGTGGCAAAAATGTTCACTGCTGCATGTATGCATAGGCAATGGTTGCAGCTAATCTTGGGTAATGATCTACCTGCCTATGCAAAATATATGTTTGCAAGCATATAGATAGCATATAACAATTGTTAGTGAGCATAATCGTTGTTGTTTACCAAACACATAGTGCAGAAATATGTCCTAAAATAGTGCAGTTGGGAAATCTATAGTTAAAGCAAACAGTAGCATGGTGTATTCTTCTGATGTTGTAGGCATTGCTAAATATACATGGATAGAGGAGGTAAAAATGATACACAGGTGGATATACCTAAGATAATGGTGAAATTCCACCTTCAAAGAAAGTAGCATTTGTTAATTATGTTGTGCATCATTGATGGCATAGAAGCTACCCACACTTCCACAATTGGTGAATGAGGTATTAATTCTCATGTGATGGGTATGCTTTTCCAAACTAGTCATTCATGTTGCAATCCCTGGGGAGATGTCCCTTGACGCTGGAGGGACAGAAAGGAGGTATGTGAGGAAAGGCTGTTGATGTACAAGATAACAGTAAAACACAATTTTAAACACCAATACAGAGATTTATCAATTGTTTTAAAATCTAGTTGGTATAAGAGGTAAGTCTGCAACTGCCAATAAACTACCTTATTATGAGAAGGAAGCAAAAGTGGGTTTCTCCAAATCAAGCAATTTTTCTCTGTGAAGACGGGGTCTAAAAACATCATTTGAAATGTTGAGGAAAATAAAGCACTTAAACAATGAAGGAAATTTCCATTGACTCACTGCCACATGGGTATATTCTGGAGTTGTTATGGCAGCGGTCTGGTGGTCCCTCACAGCATTTGGGAGGGCCATAAAACACTGGATTCCTAGATCCAAGGTTGGAAACAGTACGGTGCCTTCAGAACTGGGAATCTGTGTTTTCTTCCCCTTGCAGACAGTGTTGAAAGGAACATGACCCTGGAGAGTGCAGAAAGGGGGCATTTTGATGTGAGTAGAGAAGACTGGAGATGTCAGAATATAAGCTATCCTTGAGCCTCACCAGCTTTCTTGCTTCCCTTCTTAAGAACCACAGCTAGGTGGGGGAAAGGCCTGTCTAGCAAAACTACGGGAATGAGGACAAGGAGGCCAAAATCACCTCACTTCTCCTCTGACTCTCCATAGAATGAGCATAGGCCTCAGTGCTTGGGGGCTCCTATTCATTGCAGTAAGATCATGCAAAAACAAGCAAAAGTGATGGACATCAGTTGCAGTTCAAGACATCAGCCTTGAATCTGGTTAGGAGATTTTGGAGGGTAGGACTGGAGACCAGTTTCAGGTAGTTCTTGCATTCAAATTTGGTTTTACATCTTGTATGCTAGTAAAAACAGTGTTTGAAGGTGGTTAAAAATGGTGGGGGTAGTTGAATTATTGTCCCAACTAGATAGGTGTGGGAATGTTTTCTGTGTTCTGAGGATGTTAAGGGACAAAACTGTTTTTGGTGTGTGTGAAAAAAGAAGGGTTGGTATTCTTAACCACCTTCCCCTGTTTTGGGAATAAAGTACTGGTTTTGGAGATGGTTTTGCACTATCTTGTTCTTTCTTATAGCTATTTACTTTGCTGTCATTTTACAAGAGGGTGATTGCTCAGTGAGTATGTGGTTGAACCTGGTCTGTATGTGATACAGGTCTCTGGAGCCTATGTTGATCTTGTGGGTAGCTGTCTATTAAGCACAAATTTTTACTGGGATTTTCTTCCATTTCTTTTGTATTGCACAAAATTTTGTTTACCTTTTGGCCAGAAGGACCATCCAGGTGTCTCATAAAAGATAATACATACCCAATAGCAAAACAGTGGAATAAAACACAACTTAAAATTTAGAACAGCAACATATTTAAAACTAAAATCCTAAAACTTAGATACCTCATTCTTCATGCTTAAAGGTCATATCTGATCTCCCATATGCAAAGGGACAGTAGTGTATTGAAAACTTTTGTTTTTGCAATTTGGAATAAAAATTAAATGTTTGTGTATAGCATTACAATGTTATTCGAGTGACTTTATTACAATGAATCCATATATACGATTTACCCCTGTATGTTTTATCTATAGCAAAACAATTATTATAGAAGATAATTATGCAGAAACCAATGAAGATATCCTAGATATCAATGTATTTGTCCATTCATAAATTACACCTGAAACACATGATCAGAATAAAAAGCTTCAAGTCCTTAACTCACTATGTTATTGAAGGGGGCCATATGTTCTTCCAGTGTTGTAATATTAGTCTTTTAGCTGTCAAAGGGGCACAGAATACATCTCAAGAGACAGGTAAATAGTTAAGAAAAATGTATATCCTTAAATAATAATAACATCATGAATATCCAGAAATATTAACGAATTTTCCATCACAAAATGTATTCAGATTATTACTTCTTCCCCAAAAGAAGCAATTGTTAGGGATTGCCAAAAGATAAGAGCAAAAGATGTAATGTAGATTATTGAAAAGATGTTGTGATGTCCAGTGTATTGAAATGCCAACTTTTGCTGAATTAAACATAACTAAATTAAGCATTAACCTTTATGTAAGCCGTCCTGAGGCTTTTGCAATAGGATGGCATATAAATATCATAAATAAACAAATAACCTTTCTGAAATAGATGTTAACAAAGCAGTCCATTGATTGGGCAAAATAGGATACTCCATTGTTCCATGCTTGGTTACCCTGTGCATATTTTTTCACCTACAGTAGATAAATATACATGGATTGTGGATTGGTATAGCAGTTTGATCTCAGTCGATACTTGCAATAACAAAGGGGGGGCTGAAGTTATAAAGGTGGTGGGGCCAAACAGATTCCAACAGATGCTTCAGTTCCATGCATTGCCTTTCAGCTGGAGCTGGCAGATCATATTTAGCATGCGAAACAGAGAATGGCAGGAAGTTATCACCAGGACCTAAAGCTGATGCAGAATAAAAATTGCCAGTCTGTCCCAGTCCACTAGAAAAAAGAAACATTTTCTGGGCAATTTTAAAGTCTGGGTTTTCTCATACAGTTTATTTTGCTAAATCAAACTGCAGCTGATGTGAAACCACACCTCTAATATGTGCATAAGAACTTAAGAGTCATACTGAATTAAACCAAAGTCCTCTCCAGTCCAGCATTCTGTTCACACTGTGGCCAACGGTTGCACCGGTGATACTGTGAGACATACTACCTCTGATGCTGGAGGTAGCAGTGGATAGTCTTATCCTCCAAGGTAGCTCTGCTCCCTGTGTCACACTTGCCTGGGAAATCTCAGAAGAAGCTTGTGAGGAATGTACATAGCTCATCCGTGGTGCTCTATCCCCTCAGCAGTGGCATCTTTTACCCCCATGGAAGAGGAAGGAAGATATCCTTATCCTTTCAGATATTCTAGCATAAATATCTGGGCCTGGGTGGCCTCTCTTTTCCTCCTCCTGGCCCTTTTCTGCCATCTCCCTTCTGTAATCACAGGTCCTTATGGTCCCCCTTGGCAGTCCCGCATGAGGGGCATGTGGTGACAGAAACTCAGCTTGCAGCTCTGCTGGACTCAGCACTAGACAGCGGACCTCACAATGTCCTGCTCTTCCTTCAGGAGAAAGTGAGTATTTCTTTCTCTGCTCCCTGGTGGAAATCTTAGGCTGAGAACACGTGTTAGACTTCATATGTAAGCCAGGTTTGGTGAATTCCTTTCCCTTAAAGAATTCTAGGATGAGATTTCCTTCAGAGAATCCTAGTCCCAGTCGGGTGGCCATTACAATTTACTGGCTTGCCAATTTTATTTATTTTACTAAGAATCTATAGAGTGGGGATATTGAGCTTCTTTCAGCTTAAGGGCTGAATTCAGTTTCTGCAAAGTTCTTGGGAGGACCATATTTCAGTGGTGGGCAAGCTCAAAGGCAAAATGTGTTGGCCCCAAAATATGACTCATGTCAGTCTATTTTAGCTTAAAATTCTTGCCAGTAACTAAACCTTAGAAGGGGCATGTCCACCAGAAATCCACCAAACAGTTGGTGGTTGAGGGAAAGGCACACCCAAGGGCCTGATTCTTTCCCCTATGCCACTTAAGTAGTCCTGACAGTTTTGTTCAGACTCATTAATACCCTCTTCCCAGCATATTCTTTGACAATAGAATAATTTTCTGGAAGGAACTTCTTTTAAACCATCTAATGCTATCATTGCGTTGGCTGTTTGAGGACTGTTTCCTGTTCCTTTTGTGGATCAGCAGAAAGAGGAACTTCCCAGTTTTTCAGAATATACACAGGAGGAAAGGAGAAGAAGCCTCTTTGCCTTGATCATGTGAGCTGGGCTCCCTGTAATTTCTTGTTTATCACTTCCTCATTCTGTTGAACATGTGTTCCTTCTGCAAATTGAAACTAATTTTATGACAGTGCCAGTGGACTGTTGCTGCTGCTGTTCTGTTTGCATCAACTATTTGCTAACATGCTGGGAAAAGACTTGGACTGGAAGTTGTGGGGGAGCCATTTTGCCCCTAATCTGGAGAGCCGGTAGGGCACCCTACACCTGTTTTATCTCTTTCTTTGGAACAAAAATCAAGGCTGCTTTTGGATGCTTGAATTGGAAAGAAATGTTTGAACTGCAAAGCAGAAATGTCATGGTTAATATTTAAAACGCTGCTTTTGTCTTCTCTCCCAGCTCAGCATCGAGGATTTTACAGCCTATGGTGGGGTTTTTGGGAACAAGCCAGACAGTGCCTTCCCCAACCTGGAGGTGAGTGAGGAATGGTGAGCTGTATTTTGGGCTGAGTCACTGATTTCTCTCCTCACCCTGCCCCACTGCTGTGCATGATGGCACTTGGAGCAGGCCTCTGCCTTCTAGCAGGCTGTGAAGCGTGTACATAAAAAAGAGGAACTTACCATAACTGGGTGTTCACCTTCCTGTTCAGTCTACTCGAGCTCTTTTTCCATGCTGCTTCTTTCAGAACTGGGACAGCTTAACCTTCCTTTTTAACTGGTTAATCATCACAGGATCTAAGAGGGAAGAACTAACTCAAGCTTAGGTTATTGTTGTAGATGTGGAGTAGGACTTGCCTCTTCCCCGCCCCCCACCCAGACTGAAGGGGCATGCAGCAGACAGCATGTTGGACCAGGGCCTGAGAGGCTGGGTTCAAATTCTCACATAGCCATAGAGCTCTCCCTTCCTCCCTCTCAGGCTAGCCTTCCACACAAGGATTATTGTAAGGAGAACTGGGTGTGGGAGAGCCTTGCAAACAGCCCTGAGCTGCTTGGAGGAACAACTGAGTAAAATTTTGTTTCCAGCTACAGTGTTCAAAAGCTTTCGTTGATTTTATATCCTGGGTGATCAGTAAGGCCTTTCCATGTTGGTGAAAGTCTGACAAAGGGCTATCTGCACTTTGCTTAGTTACTGTAGCTGTTTTTTTCATTTGTACCATACCAGCCTCTTCCATACTAAATCATGAATTAATGCAAGAAGAACTTGTTTCTGAGATTTTCTGGGCATGAGTTCTCCAAGCAATCCAGGGTGTGTAAGACAAACAAAATCCTGACACGTATTTCTTTAGGAAAGGAAAATACAAATTAAGCTATAAAAGAGATACATACTACAAAGTGTTTCAGTTTTTATTGTTTTTATTGATCTTTCATTGTTTTAATATTGGCTTTCTAGGATATTACTTGCATAGTCCCTAAAGACTGCTAGAGGGGTTATAGAGTTTTTCACATTCTTGATTTCATAGCAGGGAATCAGAGCTCTGACACCACCACTTTTGGAAAGAACCAGGCTTGCTCTTCTCCAAGGTCAGGAAAATTGTCTTGGAGAGGGATAAAAAAGGTGGGGAGGGGAGGGGAGCAGCTGGGATACAAGCTGTACTGCTGCTTTTCCATGCTCCTTTCCTCCTGTGACATTCCAGAAAGATGATCAAAAAAAGTCTGTCTAATAAAAATGCAGAACAAGAGGTGTGGCAGCGAAAGCAGTCTCCTCTTGCACTTTGGTTGCTCGGCATTGGATGTCCATAAGCCTCTGAGTTCAGAAGCTTCTGGGCAGGCCAGTAGGACTGTGCTCTAAGAGTTTAAAAATAGAATAAATAAATGTATTCAATATATAGGCTATGTAGAAGACGCAGCATTGTTTAATCCTGTAAAAGTGTATAGAAAATGACCCAGCTCCCAACTTCAGGGAAGTTCTCTGTAGAGATGGAAATGACTCTGTGTTGTGTGCAGTTCCATCCTTGAAGGGAGTGAGACAGGCAACTAAGCATCTATCCCTTCCCACAGAACTTTGATCCAGCAGCTCTTGATTGTTGTGCTGGCTATTAATAGTGAAACTGGGGAATTCATTACAAGATGCAGTGATGGTCACTAGCCTGGAGAACTTTAAAAGGGATTAGACAATTTCATGGAGGGTAAGGCTGTTGGTAGCTACTAGATCTGGTGGCTACTGTATATTCCGGTGTATAAGACAACCCTTGAAACCAGAAATAGTGAGGCAAAAATTGAGAATTGTCTTATACTCCAGGTGAATAAACGGTCATCATACTGTAGGACTCTTGTATCCACAGGGGATAGGTTCTGAGCTCTCTGGCAGATGCCTGAAACCTCAGGACCCCTGTGAAAGTAGAAAAACTGCAGACACAGTATCTCTAGCAATTCTGTTTGGGGACACCATGCTCTTTGTCTCAGCACTAGGCAGCCTCATGTGTATTGTCTCTCAGTGGATGCAAAGACTATAGAAATTTTCACATTTTTTACTAGAGATATACCTGTATATAACAGCATATAAGATATTCCTTGAAACCAGAAATAGTGAAGCAAAAATTGGGAGTTGTTTGGTACATGACAAACACCAGAAAAACAGCCCAAAATATTGATCCCGTCTTATTGTTGTAAGCCGCCCCGAGGCTTCGGCGAATGGGGCGGCATAAAAATGTTTTAATAAAAAATAATAATAAAAAAAATGCCAATGTATAAGGTGACTCACATATATGGTGTATGCTTCCTTCTGGATCAAAGGCAGTATGCCTGTGTATGCCACTTGCTGGGAAATACAAGCAGGAGGGTGCTTCGGCATGCATGTCCTGATGGTGGGTGTCCCATAGGCTGCTGGCTGGATTAGGTGGGCCCTTGGTCTGACCCAGCAAGGCTCTTCTTGTGTTTTCAGGAGTACATCTATGCTGGAATGCCAGCAGTAGTTGCACCAAAACCCTGTACTATCAGTGCCTCTTCTCTGAAGTACCCTTCTCTCTCTTCCTTGTCGTCCTGTGTTCTGTTTTATTGCTGTTGCTGGGAGAAGTACCTATTCTGTTAGGATGCTTCCAGATGACAAAGGAAAAGCAACTGTGTGTGTGTGCATGCATACATACTTCCAGGCACAGCCTAGTTTGCTCTGGATAGCTTAACCTCTTTATTCAAGTATAAGGAAGGTGGAAGTGTGTGTGTGTTTGATAGTCCCAATCTTACTAATGGAATGCAGGCATAATCCTATATCTCCACTGCAGCTTTATGTGGTGTCAGTGTTGCATTCCTTTATGTTTGCAACCATACAGAACTCTAGATGCCTTGAGAGGTATTAGAAACATAGAAACAGAGCGAGTCAGAAGGGGTCTCCTGGGCCATCTAGTCTGACCCCCGGCTCCAGCCGGCTCCGCTCATGACATGCCCACCATGTGCATGTCCAGCCTATCTTTGAACACCCTCACTGATGGGGCCTCAACCACCTCCCGTGGAAGCCCATTCCACACCCTCGGGGTCCTAACTGTCAGGAAGTGCTTCCTGGCATCCAAATGGAACCTGGGTTCCCTGAGCTTTGCTCCGTTGGAGCGCATCCTGCCTTCCTCTGCAGGGGAGAACAGGTCTCTACCCATCTCCATGTGACATCCCCTCACGTACCTGTATGTCGCCAACATATCCCCTCTGAGTCTCCTCTTCTCCAGGCTGAAGAGACCCAGTTCCCTCAGTCTCGCCTCACACAGCATCCCCTGCAAACCGGCCACCAACCTTGTGGCCCTACGCTGCACTGACTCCAACCTGGCTATATCCTTTCTATAATGAGAGGCCCAAAACTGAACACAATGCTCCAGTTGCGGACGTACCAGAGTCATATAGAGTGGTAGTAATACCTCTCTCGATCTAGAAGGCACACTTCTGGCTATGCAACCAAGGGTGATGTTCGCCCTCTTGACCACTGCATCACACTGCTGACTCATGTTTAGCCTGGAGTCAACCAGTACCCCTTTCACAAGTGCTGCTCTCCAGCTACTTGTCACCTAACCTGTACTTATGACAGCTATTCCTATGCCCCAAGTGCAAGACCTTGCACTTATCCACATTGAACGCCATCCTGTTGTCTCCTGCCCACTTCCATAGTCTGTCCAGATCAGTTGTGGCCACTGCTCCAGTTTTAGTATTGTCTGTGAATTTGATCAGCAGACTGTTCACCCCTTCTTCCATGTCATTTATGAAAAGATTAAACAGGATTGGCCCCAGGACAGAGCCCTGGGGGACCCCGCTTTTCACTGGCCGCCATCCTGATGATTCCCCACTAATGGTTACCTTCTGCTTTTGGTCAGTCAACCATGCCCTAATCCACTGGACAGTGCTTTGGTGAATCCCAAAACTCCTCAGTTTCTCCCATTGTAACTCTTCCCTGCACAACCTAATTGTTCATCAGATGTCACTCCTTTTCACTAGGTTGGTCTTTTCCAACCTGTTGCCCTCTGGATATGTTGCCCTACAGCTCCCATAATCCCCCAGCTAGTGATTAATGGAAGTTGTAGTCCCAACACATTTGGGAGGGCACTAGGGTGAGAAGCTGTGATAGCTTTCAGATGAGAAAATGCTTGATTAGGAAACCACAGTACATGGAGTGAGTATTACACATTGGTGATAGAGAATCACTTGGAGTCTCTGGCATTAACAGATCTGGAGGGTGAAGAGGGCTACTGAAAGTCAGAAATCGATAGCTCTGTATGATGAGCAGGTGGGGTTGGGAGCAGGGAAGTTCAGAGCTGTGATGGGAGCTGAGGAGCAGCCCTGGAGGCCTCGTTATATGCCATGGGTATTGAAACACCTCTGGGGCCATGGTTCTGACTCTCCCTGCCTTCCCAACAGAATGCACTAGGGGCTGCTTCCTCTTCCTTGGTTCTTCCTTCTGTGGACTGGTTTGCAGCCAGTGCTGTCCCAGCCTTTCTGAAAGCCAAGCTGGGCATATCACCTCTCCATGTGGACCAGAACACCCTCCAGGAACTGCGGCTCAATGCCACCCTACCTGCCCTGCTGTTGATACGGCTGCCATATACCACCGGGTATGTAACCAACGTAGCAGCATCTTTCTCATATTGCCAAAGCCGATTATGCCCTTGGCTGCATCCGTGTGTCTGCACAGTTGACTAGCAAGCACAGAATATGCCTATTGTGTACTGAATTTAGCATCCGGGTAGCATATGGTCCTTCAGAAGAGCATGCTTCTGACTCTCATGGTTGTTGAAATTGAATTTGAAGCTTGTGTGCAATCAGTTCCCAAAAACGCAGCTTCTCTGACCTGTTTCTTCAGAGCCTTCAAACTCCTGTATCCAGTCTTCCTGTGTCTTGCCATGTGTCCTTTCTGCCTTTTCCAGTAGGGGTGAAGAACCTTGGGCTCAGGGACCAAATCTGATCTTTCCCAAATGGCCACACCCTATTTCTCCCAAGCACTAATAATTTGCAGGTTTCCTTGCTTTTTCTGTAGTTTGCCCCCATTCTAAAGAGCTGACATGCCTGCCCCAAGGCTCGATTACTGACAATGAGAGCTTTAAGTTCAGACATGCTGTTTGGCGCTGCTCACTACTAGAATAGAGTCCCCAAGAGCCCTTCCAATATTAAATTCATCCCTTGGACTGAAAGAGGCTCAACTGTTTAATGCTCTCCAGTGTATTTGGCGGCATCCTTCCCTTTCTGCCTCAAAGCTGCCCCTTTCCAAACAGGCTAGAGTTCCCTTAGCACAACCTTCCTCAGCCTGGCAACCCAAGACATGTTAGACTTCAATTCCCATAGATTAATACGGCTGGTTTGGGATTCTGGAAGGTGTTTTCCAATATGTCCAGAGGTCATCAGGTTGGGGAAGGACTATGCTAGTATTTCAAGTAACTATCATTGGTCTGAAGCTCTGGCTGATCAATGATAGTTAGCCAGGGCTTGGACTTCCTTTGTCCTGGGCACTGAGAGGCCGTGTGATCCTAAATGCCAGTGTCCCAAGCCTTCCTGTCCAGCTAGAGAGGCACTGATATTTTGATGCAGACTCTTCATGTCCAAGAGGGAGTTGTTAACCAAGCAAATTTCCTTCTCTCTCTCTCTCTTTTCCCCCTACTCTAGCTCTAGTCTCATGGCCCCAAAAGAAGTTCTGACCAGCAACGGTGAGCAAAAGTGTGGTGCCTCAAGCCCAGTGGGGAAAGAACAGCCTCTTTATGCTGGGCGCATTGGTTTGAATTTTCACCTGCTGAGGGAGACTACTCTTGGGCCTGTCTAAAGGGTCAGCTTGAACTAAATTAGTTGGGTTGGTGTTACACTGCCTCAAGGGTTGACCTTGTATCCAGCATCTGGATCAGTGCTTGTTGGCTGGCCATGTAACTTCCTCAGAGGTGCCTGATGGCAACTTCCAGCATGGATGTGGCTTGTGATCCAACAGGTTGGGAAAGGCTGAAGGACACCAAGGTGGGGGAGACCACATTAATACATGCCAACAAACAGTACCAGTTGGATGTCCTCTCAGAAGGGGCAGAAGTGATATATGAAAGCAAGCAAGGATGTTGAATGTGAAGTAGAAAGACCAGGAGCCGGTTGGCAACCTGGACCAAACTCTGAACAGATGAGTGGCACAGTGTGTGGCAGGAATCCATTCATGGGCTTGTATTGTCATTGGTCAGCGGCTGCAGGTCAACTTTCCCCTACATAATACTCACCAGGGATGCTAGATTGTAGTTGCATCATTCCTAGCCGGTGTGGCCATTGGAGTTGCTAGCTGACAATGATGGGGTTGCAGCCCAAAAGCCCTGGGGGGCACCACATTGGGAAAGTCTGCTGAAGCTTTTCAGCTGGGATACTCTCTGGGTTTTTTCCAGCCCTTTCTCTAACAAGGTTTTTCCATATGTGCAGATGAGATCCTGGGACAAGTTTTGAGTGCCCTTCAATCAGAGGATGTCCCATATACAGCCATTCTGACTGCTCTGCAGCCTTCACGGGTACAAAGACCTCCTGATTCTTCACTGGTTTTTTGGATTTCCCCCATTCCTAGGAATATTTCATTTGTTCAGCTTTTACCTTGCCATTTAGCCCCCAGGAACTAGCTTCTGAAGTTGCTTTGTGAGATGAACACATTATACAGCTGCCTTTCCCAAGTTGTTACTCTCCAGAGATGTCAGACTGCAATTGCCAGGACCTCGGAGATGCTGGGAATTGCAGTCTGACATCTGTGGAGGGCACAGGGTTGGAGACCACATTCAAAACCATTAAAATACAACAAATGAAGGCAAGGGCTCTCAAGACCTATAGCCACTGCTGCTTCATGGGCTCTACCTTTTTTGGCTGCCATGGTAACTTTGGATGGCCACGGTACTTGGAGGCTATCTGAGGCTTCCTGACACTAGAGAAAGAGAGGCCATCCTGGAGGAGGCACTTCATTTTGAAACTCATCTCCTGCCCCCACTGCCCACTTTTGCCTCTATCCTCTGTTAAGGTGATTTTTAAAAACATGTTAGGATATCAACTATGTTACTGTAGTGTTGTTTCCACACTTTTAAACTGCTCAGAGTACTTTGGTTATGGGGCAGCCTATAAAGAGCACACAACTGAAATAAAGCTTCCCCTCTAGGTTGTCCGGGATGTGTCTGATGTGGCCCCTGACAGGCTGGGTCGGCAGCTGCTTCAAGAAAAGACTACGGTTGCTCCTCTTCGTTTTCCTACAACCGGGGACCCATCGATACTCTTCTGGGCCAGTAACTTCTCAGTGGCTATAAACGACACTTGGCACGACCTCACTAACCTCACATTTGGGGATGCTGCTGTTGTCAAGGTGGAGCAGTCACGTTGGAATTACAGTTCTTCTAGGTAAGTTGAAGGCAGGGTATATGAAGTTAGGCTCAGAGGTGTACGATCAACAGCAGGAATGGAGGGAGAGAGCTAGAGGCCATCTGATGAGCTGGGATCTTGGGGGTAGGGGGAGCTTGCGTGCATTTTCACATGTGCTGGGGGGTTGACAGCCAAGCATGCTGAGGTGTAAGTTGTCTGTGAATTCTGCAAAGGAACAACTGGATTCCAGTGCAAATGGATCCAACTACTTGCCTGCCTGCCTGCTCATCTTGGCTTGACAATTTTACATCTGCCAGTCATAATGGGTAGGAGTAAGCCATGTCTCAACCCTCACCATCCTGGCACCCTCCAGTTGTGGTAGACTGTACGTCCCATCATTCTCAGGCAGTTCGTATTTCAGCTTGGTTGGGGATGATGGGGATTATATTTCAACTCATCTGGGGGGCACCAGGTTATAGTTCCTTATCTCTCAAACACTAGCAACACCAACCCTGGGGTCTGATCCTGGAATGCCTGTTCCCCCCTCCCCAAGTTTATCCCTTTCTAAACTTAGGACTAAGAACTTGGTTTCAGCACACACATGCCTCTATAAGCTTGGGTTGATGAACATCAGTGCTTGTTACCTTTAACCTTGTTTTTTCTCCATATCTTAGCTTGGTCCTGGAATATCCAAACGTGGGTGGGCAGCCCTTGAGTATCACGTAAGTGTGATAGGCAAAGCTCTTCAGATTCTGTTCTTACAGCAGCAAATATAACTTTCCAGCAAAGTATGCTTCACCTTTTGAATGTGGGGAAATAAACAGCCAAGTTGGTTCCTGCCTGTGGCAGGTTTGGAATTAAGAACATAGAGGATGGGCTGGGTCAGAGCAAGGGTCCATCTGGTCCACTGTTCCGTTCACACAGGAGCCAGCCATCTGCCAGTGGGAACCCCCAAGCAGGCCCTGACAGCAGCGACACCCTGCTGCCTATGTTCCCCCACATGTACATAGACATGCTGCCTGTGATACGTGAGGCAGGGTGTAGCCCTCGGGACCAGTGTGCTCATTCTGCCCCACTTTGTTTTTTCCTGTTCTTTTTAAACTGTTTAGTTCACTCCACTTTTTCTTTAAAGGTATTTTTGAAAAGGTACACACAATAAATTCTTTAAAGCAGGGCTGAGCTGCGTGCTGCACTCAGACTAAGTTTTCATTTACTCATTCATTCATTGGATTTTTATCCTGCCACATTAGCCAATAAGGCTCCCTGAGCAGATCACAAGGTTATACAATAAAAAGTGATGTTAAAATTAACAAATAATATAACCATAAAATCCAACAATTGAAAGCTAGTGCCATTATAAAACTTAAGAAGACCTCAGATTTATTGAGAGACATGAGAAAAGCCACAGCAGCAAATTATAAAACAAGATGTTAAGATAATTTTAATGAAAATATTGGGAGAATAAAAAGGTCTTTGCCTGGTGATGGAAAGAGTACAGAGAAGGCACCAGGTGAACCTTTCTGGGGAGCTGATTCCACAGTTGAGGAACCACTGCTGAGAAGGCCCTTCTACTTGTAGCCACCCTCTTTATTTCCTGAGGATGTGACCCTCACCCTCAGTTCATACTTCAGGCACTGCATGGGGAGGAAGGAGGACAGGAAAAAAAGAGGTGGGAAAGAGAAAAGGATGGCCCACCCATCTTGTCTCCACCCTGGCTACAGCATGGCCCTGGCCACTGCAAACCGGTGGCCCCTAGCAGCTCACCCATGAAGGAACATGCAAGCCTGGCAGCTTGCTGAGGGAGGAGTTGTAGACTAAAACATCCAAGTAAAGTGGATACACTGTGATGTTATGGGTTAGTCTCGCAGCAATTGTTATAGATCTGCTTAGAAGCATAGCAGCTGGTTTGCTTATCACATACCTTTTTAATTATGCATCTGGGTAACTTTGGGGAGCAAGTACCATTGTGGCCACAGGTTGGAGGAGGTATTGGCATTGGGGGATCAACAAGTCAGTTGAAGAGGCTAATGGATCCTAGCAGTTTCCAGAAGGCTCTGGGGAGCTTCTGGATGGTATGACTGGTGCTCCTGTCGAGGCCCAGTTGCTCTGTGGAAAGCAGAGATGACTCAGGCGATTGACACAATTAAAACACAATGCATCCAAGCACCCTCTTCCCTTGAGCATAGCCTGGCCAGCTCCTTGGCACAGACCTGAGTGCAATGCACTGTACATGCCACTGTAATGCCTTTAAAAACTCCAGAAACTTCAGCTGATCCAAAATAGGTCAGCTAGATTGCTAAAGGAGCTGGTTTACACCATCCCTTTTCTAGTTGCAGCGGGCTGTCAGCTGAAGTCTGGGCCTGATTCAAAGTGCTGGTACTAACATTCAAAACCCTAAACAGCTTGGAGCCAGGTTATCAGGAGGATCCCCTCCTCCTGTATGTATCTAACTGTGCTCCGAGGTCATATTTGGGGGTCCTTCTCCTGGACCCCCTTCCAAAGGAAGTGAGGCTGGTGACTACCAGGAGGAGAGCGGTTTCAGTTGTGGCATCCTGGTTGTGGAATGAGATCCCCAAAGAGGTACACCTGGCGCCTACTTTGTCCTCTTTTTGGAAGATCTTTTATTCTCTCCACATTTTAACAGTTTATTTTTAACTTCATTTTTAATGTTGCATTTAACTCTGTACCACTGCTATGAATCTATGCTGATTCAATTGCAATTGCGACTTTGTTTTAAGATGATTTTATCTTGTGTTGCTTATTTTTTTTCTTAACTTTGTTTAACTGCCTGGAGACACTTGGCCATTGGGCAGTATAAAAATGAGTCCTACGATTGCAAAATGATCCTGGGACAGGGTTTTAAGAGCATAGGCCAGTGAGTTTGTAGTGAAGCGATGGGATTTTAAAGAACTGCTGGAGGTGATCTTCACCAGTTGTTACTTTTCTTCTTATCTTCTCTCCTGCTAACTCCAGATTCCACATGACAAACACCAGTTACAGAGTGTCTGCACGGTACTGGTTTACCCTCCACACTGTGGAGCTGGCCAGGCCCTCAGCCCCACCAGCAATCTTCAATGCCACCCAGGTCTCAGCACCCAGCAACTATTCTTTCAGCTGTGCCCATGTCAGCAGCCTGCCAGCCTCAGGGGCCATCTTGGTGCCCAGCAGCAATGCCAGTCACTGGAAAGTGCTGATCACAAATTTTCAGGTATGTTATTGCAGGAGACCATGTAAGCTTACAGTAATGGGTAGGCTCTTGACCAAAGGTCTAGACCAGGGGTCCGCAACGCGCGGCTCCGGAGTCACACGTGGCTCTTGAACCCCTCTGCTGCGGCTCCGTCGCTCAAAACACGCACCGGCACAGCCGCTGATCTGCTTGAAGCTCCACTCAGGAACTCAGCAACTCAGCGCTAGCTAGTTAAGTAAATCAGCTAGTTGCTACATTCCTCTGCTAAGCAAGCTTCCTGCAGGCTCTCATGTTGCACAAAAAGATTGCTGAAAAGATTGTCCCAATGTAAGCTCCTTCATCTGAATGTTAAAAGCTGCACTTGGGACCTGTCACAATTCACAGCACTTGACTGTTAATCTGCTAATCAGTCACTAAACACACCTGTTTACTGAGCCCCCCCCCCCCCAGGCCAACCATGGATAAATCGAAGAAAAGAAAAGTTTCTGAAGAAAACCAAATGTTTGATGATACTTTGGTAGATTCATTTGCTTTTACTGCTGACGAACTTATGGGGTTTGCTGTTTAATGCATGGAGCCCTTTAGCACTGACTTTGACTCTTCAGGAAGCTGTTCTCCTATTCAAAATAAATGAAAGAAGTCCTACTAGTTTATAATGTAAGATTAAAAATAACAGTTTTTAGTGACTGAACAAGAGCTGCAGCTAAATCATAATGAAGATATACATAGCATTAAGGTTAAAAACGATATATGCAGTGTTATCTTCATTTTAGATGTCAAAAGGGCTTTGCGGCTCCCGGTGTTTTCTTTTGTGTGGGAAACAGGTCCCAATGGCTCTGAGTGTTAAAGGTTGCTGACCCCTGAACTATACTATTCAGGAAGACAACCTATCCAACCTTCCTTAAGTAGGTGCTGTCCTTGAGCTGGCCACCTCTTCCACAAGCTCTCTGGGCAGGCTGTTGCTTAGATTCCATGACTGAAGCCTGAGGAGCTGAGCCAAGGGAAACTTTTCCATGTCCCCTTCCTTTTCCAGGCTTTGCAACGGGCAACTGAGCAAGAACTGTGTTTTTCCTCATGCTGTGATGTGGGATGTGTTGGGTTCACATTGAAAGGTAGAGGTTGGGAGGAGGCCAAAATCAGCTCCAGTCTCTAATATATGCACTCCACTCCCTGCAGATCCAGAGCTACAATGTTACAGGCGAAAGGTTCTCCTATGCCAGTGACTGTTCCGGCTTCTTTTCTCCTGGAATCTGGATGGGCTTGCTGACCTCCCTGCTTCTTGTTGCCATTTTCACCTATGGCCTCCATATGGTCATGAGCCTCAAGACCATGGACCGCTTTGATGACCCCAAGGGGCCTACCATCTCTGTGCCCCAGACAGAGTAGCCTCTACCCTACCCTTGGGAGCCTGCTGACCGTGCTGGGCTTCTTCTGTTCATTCCATCCACCATCACATCTCCTCCATCCTTAGCCCGATGCATTAAAACCTTTTTGGTTCCTGTCCTTACTCTATCTTCCTTCTGCTTCTTCCCTCACCCCAGAAGCTGCTTCCCCACTAACTTTCCCTGACTACTTCTTTCTCCTTCTAATCCTTTCTAGCTTCCTCAACCTATACCTTCCATGGAGGCACACTATAAATATGTGGGAGGTGTGGTTTTCCTACTGAATGGAGGTGCATTTCCTGCATGTGTAGCAGTGTTGAGACTAACTGCACTGAAATTTGCCGAGGACAAATCTCTTCAGGGACAGGCTGTCATCCCCCTTCAGTTTCCAGTGGGGTAAAAGCAGTCCCGCCTTGTAATGTGATGTACATTCTCTCTGGGTTCCTTGTGCTGAATGTCTTTTTAACTAGCTCCAGTCCTCAGATCCCTTTATTGCAGTGTTTCTGTTGTATTCTAAGTGGTCCCCCCTCCCCTCCCCTCCCCTCCCCTCCCCTTATTTATTTTTGTGGTTCCTGTGATTAATTCTGTATGCAGTGACTCAGTATTTGGGATTCCATGCTGCTTTTGATGGGAGTGGGAAGGATTCCCTTCCTGTGATCCCCTGCTGTTTCATTAACTTGAAAGACGTGAATAAAAAAGATCAGTCTGTGTAGAGTGTGTGTACAGAATGGGAGAGGTTACACAACAAGAACTCCTTTTTCAAGGGGACCATTTGATTTTTTACCACTCCAATGTGTATTTTAATTTATTAGATTTATATCCCACTTTTCCTTACAACAAACTCAAAGTATCTTGCAGAATTTTTCTCCTCCTGCTCTCCATCTTATCCCCACAACAACAACTTTGTGAAGTAGGTTGGGTTGAAAGTCTGTGACTGGCCCAAAGTCACCTACTTGGCTCCATGGCTGAGCGGGGACTAGAATCCAGATCACTTCAGTCCCAGTCCCATGCTGACACTCTGTCACACTGGTGATTTTGTGAGATAAAATAAGGGAAAATATAAAAAGGTATGTTTTCATACACAGAGACACACATGGCAAAAGTATAAAATGGACTGGCCTTCCATGACATTGTTTTAGATCTGTAATATGTGGGGTTAACCGGCTAGCATTAAAATGCTGTGGGTTGGCTCCAATGTTGTCATTCTGCTCATGAAATGGCTTCCATTAGAAGAACCAGGAGGGGTGTAATTCTGCACTCCACATGCCCTCAGAAACTGCACCAGAGGGCTGAAAGACTTTCCAGAGCAAATTTTTGAGTGACATAAAGGGGAGGAGAGGAAAATCCCATTGTGCTATTAGATTTCAACATTAGATTTAACCTTACGTCTTTAAATGCTGGTGGCAGGTAATACTGCTAGTTGAGAGTGGGAGCCTTAATAAGGGTTCCTAGATTAGCAAAGGAATGACAGCTGGCTATGTCTGTCTTGTGCTTAATTCCCCCCCACCCATTAATACAGTAGACCGGAAGAAAAACCTATGCTTGGGTTTTGTGGCTCTTTTCTATTGTTTTATTAGTTTTGATAAGTAACTTATTTACTACTTTGTTATATTCAATTCCCATAGTCCAAAGTAGCTGAAAATAAGTGGACTTTGCCCTGGTTCCAATTGCTGTGTTTAACATAGATTTGCAGTTTCGTCTGCCTTTTGACCAAACCCATGCTCACACATATGAAACTCTTCCTTGGCTTTGTTTGCCTGTTTGCTTACTTTATTATCTTTACTGAAGTGCAATGGGGCTGATCTGGTTACATTACAAAAGTCTCTAAATTCAAACTATTGTTCTTGAAGACTTCCTTAAACCCAGTGAATCACCATATTTTAAAGACATGGATTGAGATAGACTTCTAGTTTGAATGCAGAATAAGAAGCACCTGTCTACCAACTGCTTGATAACAGTTTTAAGTGCTGGATATTAGGTACTAGCAAATCATATGTTGTGGGCTATTATCTAGCTATTTGGCAATGACTGACAACCTAATAAAGAGGAATTAGAATTGGCCTTGAAAACATCACCATTGTAATGTTACCAGTAAACCCAACTTTTTACACATTGCAATAAATTACTCTAGAAACTGAGTAAATAATTTCAAAGTGACCCATTTAAACTAGAGTTGTGTAGCATCTCTTCATAGGCTGTTCTTCTGACTATATTTAACAACTTAGCTACCTATGTATTTCCAACGTTTTTGTATATATTCAAAAGGATAGCTATTCCAATTAAGATACACTCTTGAGCTTTCTCAGTGGTAGTGTCCACACATAATGGCAAGGCATGCTGCAGTTTGCTGCTTGTTATGTATGAATCCAGGAAGCTTGGTGAAGTATGGTTCCTTTGTTCTGTGAATCCTCCACAGAGAACCGACCATCTATTTTAAGGTATCTGATGCTTAACCATTGCTTGTCATTATGTGTGGCTTCATTAGTAAATGTTCTGCTGCTTCCCTGTTTCTGCCTAGCAACTGCTGAGTTGCTGACAGCAGGGAGCTGATTGGCTGTCTCTGTGCTCTTTTTCTCTACTGGTGTACACTCTAATGCCTGCGGCAGGGCTGTGGGGCAGCAAGATGGGACATTGTGGTGGCAGGGCGCTAGCACGGGAGAAAGGAAGCACTTACAGCAGCATGGACTGTGGGGTTGAGTCACTGGTTGCTGCCCCATGCCAGAGCTGCACTCACTAAGTGCATTGCCCTGGTGCTACACAGGGAAGCTCTGGTCTAGGGAAGCTGCCTTGTTCACCAGCACATGGAAACTGTACAGGGCATCCCCCAAAGTGAGTCTCCCAGGAGCCCATGTCTTCTGCTCCGCCTCCTGTCTTCTGCCTTGCTCCTGCCCTTTCCCTGACAATCCAGAGGACTCCTCCCAAGCCCTGCTGTCCCTGCTCTTGACAACCTGCCAGTGGAGGTTCCCAGGCAGATTCCAGATGAGCACTGACAGGCAAGTCTAGCCAGCAAAGCATGTGCCCTCTGTTCCTAGCACTGGTGCCCTCCACGCAGTGGGCTGCAGGGGGAGGGGGTGGCACTGGTAGCATGTGCAATTCCCGCACATGGGCAGGAGCTTTGAGCGCATGGGTTGTGTAGGCTGCTGGGGAAGAAGGCAGGAGCAGGGATTGATTTCTAGCCATGGAGGCTGATGGGGTACGTGCTGCCATTTGGAGGAAAGATGGAGGTGAGTGAAACCTATTCATGAGTAGTTACCACATGAATGTGTGTACACAGGACAGGAGAGATACCATGGTGCATAACTTGATTTAGCACTAATTGAGAACAGTCTGAGTAAATGAAAGAGGTCCCAAGATCCTGTGTAAGACATGTCAGACTACTGTACACTTAAAATCCAACCCTAGATCAACCTGAAAGCTGTACTATCATTGATGAAAGAGCTGCCTTCCCCAGCGTGTGAGCAATAGTCAACTCCCCCCCCCCAAAAATGTTAATAGCACTGTGTTCTAGAAGAGCAAGGTGGGCAATCTGCAAAAGCCCATTGCAAGCCATCAGTTCAAATGGGAAGAACAGTCAATGAGGTGGGGCATGAGGTGGACAAGGAAGGGCCTGTTAGAAATGGTATTTGCTCACACTTGGCATGCACCATGGACAGAAAAAAGATTTCTCACCTTGTTCTAGAATGAAACTTTACCCCACTAAATAAGAAGTGTGCAGTAACCTCTATTTCCGGGGAAAAGATGGGTAGGATCTTGCTTCCTTTGAAAGTGAGATTTCCCAGGGAGATGACCAGATGAAAAGGACAGGGACCTGTTGCCTGTTTCCATTTGTGTTGATCCAGAAGAATTATTTTTTCTTCAGCACAACAGCTGAAGCTCTTTTACTTATCCCTATGATCTTGTGATTTTAGCTCCCCTGGCCATGCTTCCTCCTATTAACACTGCCAGAAGAACAGTTCACAATTCCGTCTGTCTGTGGGGCATTGCACCTTTGGGCTAAAGGCTCGAACATGCCTTGATATTTGCTTTGAGAAGGTCCTTCTTCCTCACTCCACACACAAAAGAATAATAATTACAAGTTTTCAAAGGAATAGATGGGGGCATAGTTACTGGGGGAAACAGTTGTCCTAGGAGCTATGAAAGAAAACAGCAGCCAGCTGGGCCCTTTAACTGGGCAAGGCTACTGGTTCTGACAAGCTACGCCCAAACTTTATTACCATTGCATACACCATAGGTCAATGTTTAAATGGGTGTACGCTTAATGCTGCCACTCCATGGACTTTTACATCCGACTCCCACTCAACTTCTCAATAGACATCTATTTTGAACACGGGTAAGCTGGCCAACTGCATGCAAGCAAAGAAGCACTCCAGCGATGCTCGTTCCCTCCATGAGCGGGGGAAGGTGGCGACCCCAACAGAGAATTTGAGCCGCACAAAATGGGTCTATTTTTCCTGGCGGACGCATCACTAAACATTATTTTTCTATGTATTTGTTGCAACTGAGAATATTCCAGGGCGACGCGTGATTATTGGAAGGAAATATGTCTTTTTTTTTTTTTTACAACCTAAAAGCAACCAGGAGAAAAGTTGTTTAACCGTGCTGCTACCCCACCCCTCAATAGGACGGATGCCATTTTTTGGTAGAGGCCGGCAGTGCTCTTCTCGTTACCATGGTGAGGAGTGGGGTGGCCTCGGGGTTGGAAAGCTTACCCCACCCCAGCCACTTTTAGGTGATGACAGAGAAGCAGCAGCGCCGGAACTTGTTTTTTCTATTTCGCCCCCCCGTCCGTCCGTCCGTCCGTCCGTCCCGCGTAGGTATCAAATGTGAAAAGAAAGCTGTCACCCATACATTTTTCCTCTTTCCCAGTTATCCCTCCGCGTACAGCCTCACGGCACCTATGGCAAAGGAAAGGATGAGAGGGGAGGCGGGCGGTTCCCCGCGGCGGAGCGATCCCTGTGCCGGGACTAGTTCCCGGCGGAGGAATCTGTTTGGCTTGCTGGTGCTGCGGACCCATCTTGGGTCCGCTCGGGGCGGGGGGAGGCGGCTCTGCAGCCGGCACCATGGACGAGGCCTACGATGTGATCGTGCTGGGCACCGGCCTGACCGTGAGTCCGACGGGGCCACCTGTGCTCCCTTTCCACTCACCCCACACAAACCTTTCCCCGCTTGCAATCTGCTCCGCCTGGCGGTTTTGCCTCCCTTTCTCCCTCCGTCTCCTGCATCCCCGCCCCGTCATCAGCATCCTTGTCATGTCCGGGTGGGGTTGTATTTGCATCGCCCCGCAAGGAATGCCCAGCCCTTTATGATTGCAGCAATGCTGGTCCTAAACAACTGCGGGACAGCGGTAGCCCAAATGCATGTGCGCGCGTATGCTTATTGTGCGCCTTCCTCGTTGCAGCGCCTTGCTTTATCGGCGCCTCCTGTTCCGTATTGTATCTGCCCTCCATCCAGGATTGCAGTTTTTATTCCCAGACGCGCATTCGCCTCCTCCTTGGCCCCATCCTTTCGGCCTCCCAGCAACCTAATGGAAGAAGTGTTTAGTCCCGTTGCAGCAGCTCCTGATGCAACTCGACGCCATCGACTGCTCCCGAAAGTGGGAAACCCTAGGCACCGATTGCATGCACCTTCCGCCTCTTGTTATTCTTCTAAGTGCCCCTCCTCATTTTGGGTTGCCAGCTCATCAGCTGCCTTCTGAGCTGTGCTTCTTACACTGGCTTGAATCATAAACACCAGATTTGTGAGGATGGATGGTTTCTAATGGTAGCCCTATTTAGAGTGGATCCATTAAAGTGAATTGGATTTATTAGACTAACATTGGCTATATCTAAATTGTTTATTTTTCTCCTGTGAAAAAGCATCTCCTCATGATTTCTGCAAATCAACAGACCAGCGTATTTTATGAGTGTATTTTCTGGACAGTTAGTAGTTCTGTTCTATTTACATCTTAGTAAGGGTAGGAAGAGGCAATTACATTTCTGCAGTTCCCATATGCCCACTACCGCAGCCACCCCGATGCAGCTCTTTTACTCTTCACTTCCTTATTCTTCAGTCACAGTGTGAACAGTACATCCCATCAGCGCACAAGGTTGAAGGGTCTGCAGTGTGCAGTGTTTAATGCCATGGCCGGAACATCCCTGCAGCAGGTGCAGATGTGTGTGTTTAACTTATTGCAGGCTCAAGCACTACATCATCTATCCTTTGTACACTGTTCTCCAGATCAGTTCACTTCTTGTACTTTCCACAGTCTGAACTTTGTGTATACAATTTTTATCTGCTCATGGAAATGTGTCTTCTATATATAAAAAACAGAGAGTGAGAGAAAGAAGTATGCATCTCCCTGTGCAAATCCTTGTAGTCTGGGAAGGACATGTTGTTTCTCCATATGAAATCCCTGTTAAGATTTCCACACACACAAACATGCAAGCCCCCTATTTCCCCTTAGCACTTTTGGGTCTTCTTTATCAGCTAGTGTCATTCAAGCTATTTGGCAGGAATGAACTAATGTGCATTTCTCCCAAGGTTAATAACTCACTTGCTGCTCTTTGTCCCTTGGCATGACCATACAAGGAAATGCTAATCAGATCTCAATATATTTCTTTAATCTGTCTTCTTCAGTAATGTGAAAGAGATGCAGCCATAATTGTAGGAGTAATGCTAGGTCCAAAAAAGGCCAAGGAGTCAGACCCTGTATATGCTAATTTACACATGTTCTACAGTCTGTGTATTTGTATGTTTCTAAAGGATCCAATTTCCTAAGAACACCCCTATTAGTAGAAAGGGGTGTATAGATGGGGAGAGGAAGGTATTTTATTTAATTGTTAAAAACTACACAGATAGAATGATTTGGGGGAGCAGCAGGAAGAGGGAAACGTGTGGACGAAAATCCAGGGGGATCAGATGCAACAGAGATTATCTGGACCCCTGAAGCATTATTTCAGCAAGGACCTATGAATGATGGGATGGTGGGGTAGATGGCCTCCCAGAAATGTGGGACTCCAGATGAAATATTCAGGGTTTCAACCCTAATGGGTTTTCTCTTAACACTATTTCTGCCTCTTTTCAGTCAACCCCCTTCCTTTTCTTGTAGTTCCTTGACTCCAAAGTGGAGAAGACCCCTAGTTCTGCCCTGCTTCCGTTATGAATTCCCGTGGGGTACAGTGAGGTCTGATCCATTGCACACGCATATATACTTTGTCATTCTCCTTTTACACTTTTGCGAAGGAGTAAAAACTGGATCTCTCATTTCTTTGGAGCATGGTACCTGGCCTCATACCAAGTCAGACCCATCAGTCTAACCTTCCTCGGCCTGGTGCCCTCCAGATGTGTTGGATTTTAACTCCCATAAGCCTCAGCTGGCATGGCCAATGACCAGGAATTCTGGGAGTTAAAATCCAAAACATCTGGAGGGTACCAGTTTGGGGAACCCTGAATTAATCCATCTAGTTCAGTATTGTAGATTTTGTGTAGGCTGGCAGGGCTCTCCAGTAGTCTTTTCAAACCCTGCTTGAAGTTGTGAGGGATTGAAAATGGGACATTTTGCATGTAAAACTTGTGCTGTGCCACTGAGCTAAACGCCCTTCAGTGTGGAGCCAGCCATTCTGTCTGGTGAAGCAGGAATGGGCAGAACTTATTGAGAAGGCAATAAATCAATCTTCTTTCCTTCTTGACTTACTTTCTTTGAGCTTCACTTCCAAATCCCGGTTTTCCCTACATGCATCCAAGAAGATAGCCCTGGAGAAGCTGTCCATCCTCTTTTGACATGTCCTCGCTTTCCTCACTTCCAGTGCGCTGTCAACAGCAGACAGACTTGCAAATTTGGAGGACATCTTAAATATTCTTTGTTACAGGCTTTCAGTCTGCCCATAGCCTCCTTGCAACATTTTCAGGAGGGAATGTTCTGTACATCTTTCATGTAGATATACTCAAAGGACTGCTTCAAATTGCCATATTAGAGCAGAACTAATAAGAAGTTATTGCCTAGATTCTTCACCGCAAATGATTATCTTCTCTTACAAAAACACTTCTATTTCATGGCTCACCCACTAATATGTGGGTTCTCCTCACTCAAACACCAGTTAATCTTGCTGGAATATATGTTCCTTTCCACAGTCAGTGAGAATTCTTGTGATTTGGCATGTTGTGAAGAATGGAGGAGTAAGCACGTCCCATGGACCTATTAGACAGTGTTTCTGCCTACACTGATAACAAATGACACAATTTCTGCACACATCCCGCCCCAAGAATACCTGTGCCAAAGGGACCGGTGGTCAGAGGATGTCCTGGAGCTGCAACATAAAGCCTGCCCTTGCATTTCATTCAAAATCCCATGTTTGGCACTTCCCTGTGGCTGAATTCCCTGCTGCCCTGGTAACTGAACCAAAATAATTTGGGATGGCTGAAATGGTGCATGAGGGATGCAGGAAGGTTGCATGTTGACCTGTATTTCCCTAGAGCCACCTTTCTCAACATGGTGTCCTCCATACTAAAGCCTAACCTTACTGGCTGGGACTGATGGGAGTTGAAGTCCTAGAACCAATCTCTAGACTCCATTGGGTCTTTATCGCTGAAAACCACTGAGTTGAAATGAATGAGGAGATTCTGCAGATTTGGTTTTGAGGTGGTTACCTTTGGCTCCCATAATAAGGCTGGAGAAGCACCTTGTCACTTTTATTACAACCGTTTTAGGATTAAAATCCCAAGGCACAGTCTGAGGACTTGCTGCTGATTCTGTACACGGAGAAGCCCCTTGCCCTTGAGACCTGTTTCCTCTCCTGTGCCAACCCCCCTCTTTGTAACTGAGCATTCCCACTCTCCACACACTCCATGGGGAAAGAACAGCATCATTCCTGTCCCCCAACCCCATCCCCAACACACATTGTGTGCCTTGTGGCTTGTCTGCTTCCAGGAGTACACCACAAAGGTTCCAATGGACACATTCAATTAAGGTAGAAGAAGTATAATCCTACCCAATTTTTGTCCTAGGAATGTATCCTTTCGGGCATCATGTCTGTGAATGGCAAGAAGGTCTTGCATATGGACCGGAATCCATACTATGGGGGTGAGAGTTCATCAATTACCCCCCTGGAAGAGGTGAGGGACCAGATGCATTTGTGAGTGTGTGTGACTATGCTGGAAGTAAACCTCAGGGGCAATGCACTAGGAATTTCACAGTTCCAACCACTCTTCCATCATGATCTCTGTATCTTTAGACAAGGCATCTCTGTTGTCTTTATAGTACCAGTATATGGGTTACTGGAGTAGTGTATATGAGGCGCACTCAGAGAAACTGCCATATGAAGCTAAGCAGCAGTGATATTCTGCTCTGTAAACTTTCATGTTTCCTAAAATCCTTCTAGGCAAGCATCTGATCATTTTCATGCTGTATTTATTGCATTGGCTGCCTATAAGCTGCCTGCCAGATCTAAGGCACTTGACTACAAAGCCATAAAGAACTTATTTAAAAATTCCCTGATCCCCTTCTGGCCTGCTCAGGATATAACATTTTGGCAGTTCAGTCTGTCTGTTAGAATAGGGCATTTGGTGTCATAGTGCCAAGCGCTGGAATTCTTTTCCACTATAAGCACAGTGTGAATCTGTCTGGGTTTTCAGCACTCCCTGAAAATGTCCCTTTTCTATCTAATATTCTCGGGAAGGTCATCTTGTCTGCAAGACCTGTTTTTTTACATCACTTAGCTATGTCTTGAATAGTTGTGATTCATAAATACTGTGAAAGAAACTGAGGGGAAAAACACAAGCATTTATAGGGGTAGGAAATCTGTGGCCTTCTACATGTTACTGGATGACAATTCCCATCACCCCTTTACCATTGGCCATGCTGCCTATTTCAAGATTTTGGAGACATAGCTTTATTATTTAGGGGAGTGATCCTGTGGCCTTAAGACATTGTCTGAGGAGCCATAGGATTTTTTTTGGGGGGGGGGAGTGGGAGGAATTCCTGACTCCAACTCAGAGCTGGGAATAAAAGCCCCACCCCTCTGCCTTCCCCTTACAGTGGACACAGAAAGAATCATGAGAGCTGTTCTCTGAAGTCAGGAACTCAGCCAGCCTCCTAGATGGTGAAAAGGGGGAGGTTCCAGGAAGAGAGGGAAAGAAATGGAAGCAGCTGGGGTACAGAGTATCCTGAAAGCACTCTACTTCTGTCCCTCTCCAAGATGTTCCCACTAGACAGGTGAAGAAGCCATCTGGCAGCAAGGCAGAGCAAGAGGATGTGGAGGTGAAGATTGCCTCTGTCGCTTCTCCCATTCTGCATTGGATGCTCATGAGCTTCTGAGTTCAGGGGCTTACAGGCATTCTGATAGGATTGCACTTCACAGAGGCCAATGCTTTTTGCCCTGGTATATTATTTATGGCCTTTCTCTGGGTCTTTAAGAAGAAACAAAGGATTAATTTATTATAACATACATAAAATTGCACAAATGCTATAAAATCATGTGCGTTGCAAAGATTGCAAATGTATAATTACATTTCTTTAAAAGCCTTCAGAGAGCTTTTCAGGCTGGTCACATACATTTGAAGATAAGTGGCTGACAGCATAGTGGAAGGCAATCATTTTTGTACACATTGGACTTCTTGAAGAATAAAACTATTTTTCCAGTATTTTGAGACTAATGCTATGTTTTTATACTATTTGAGCAGTTTTATTTCTGACATATTAAATTTACATATGGCTTCTTTATAGCAGCTGAAGAAGGCCATTATTAATATATTGGATCAAACTGTGTTTGGCTTCTTAAAGAACAAAACTATTTTTCAGCATCTTACGAGTAACTCCCACTGTTTGGAATCATTCTGGGTGCTTTCCAGTATTTTCATAATTTTCAGAGATTATAGTCGACAGCATCTGGGAATCACAAGTTCTCTGCCCCTAGCATAATAGTAGTAGCAGTGGTCTTCTGGTGGCTGTGAGAGGGGAAAGCCCCCTCAGATGAAGTGCCTCTGCTTTTTTTTCCCAACAACCTTTCTGTGGCTAATAGCTGAACTTGAGTCTTCTCCTGTATTTTGTTGGCACTGATATGTTGTGTTATGCTGTATTCTGATTGAATTGTCCTTTTTGTGTGTGCATGGTGCACTGTTTTTCCTCAATCCATCAGCTCTACAAGCGTTTTGAGATTGCTGAGGGACCCCCTGAATCCATGGGGCGTGGCCGGGACTGGAATGTGGACCTTATTCCCAAATTCCTCATGGCCAATGGTAAGTCCAGCCCCATTTGGTCTCTACTTGCTGGCCAGAGATGGGATGCATTTTCCTGAAAGAAGGATAAACTGAAGAAAGGGTCTCACTGTAGAAGGTAAGTCCAGACTGCTTCAGGGCAGACGTGTACAATAGTACCAGGAGATGCACTGGTACATCGGCTGGCACTGATGAACGAGTATCCAGACTTGATCCTGGTGCTCTGTCCCTTATGTGCCACAGCTCTGCTTGCACAGTCCAAGCACATTTACCTTGTGAGCTTCTCACTTCCGGTTAGCAGCATCCTGTTTTTTGTCCTGGGTATAATGCACAGGAGGATGGAAGGGCTCCAGGGACCCAAATGAGGCTTACCTTCTCCCCCACAGGCCAACTGGTGAAGATGCTGCTGTATACAGAAGTGACACGTTATCTAGACTTCAAAGTGGTGGAGGGCAGCTTTGTGTACAAGGCAGGAAAGATCTACAAGGTGCCGTCAACAGAGACAGAGGCGCTAGCATCCAGTAAGTGGGGCCTAACTTTACAGTTGTCTATTGCACAGTTATGTAGTTAGGCTTCACAGGTACCTTGATATCCATGTATGTATGATTGTATTTTAAACTGATACCTTGTTTTTTAATTCCTTAATAAGCTGTCCACACACACATCATAAACTAGCTAGAGAAGCATGCCCCAAATCCACATAAAACCATTAAAACTAGCCGTATAACATTGGCATGAGCAAGACCATCTTACTTAATTTAGTTATTAAATGTTTATAAACCTGACCGGTTCACAGCGATTAAAACCATAAAGTATGGTACAGCATGCATTATAAAAGTTTTAAATTACAGTATGACATAGAAGTAAACGTGGAAGTAAATCATAGCAGCAGTGCCATCATTAAAATACAAAACCAGATTGCAAACAAAAAATGAAAGACTAAAAGCATGGGCTAATGGCTAGAGCATTGGACTGGGGCTCAGGAGATTAGGTTGGGGCTCTCAGTGGAGACTTGTGAGGATAAGATGGAGAGAAGGGCTATGTATGGCACCTTGGGTTTTTTGCAAAAGAAAAAAAATATGCAGGCTGTAATAATAATGCTAAGGGAGCATTTTTAAAACTTCTGAAAGCCAAGCCACAGTCCCTCTCCACTGCTCTCCCCGAAATGTGGCGGCACAGTTGACTCTTACACCTGGGAGGGTTTTCTTTTAGAGACCCTCCTGCTGTCAGAGTAGCCCACCACTGTATGACTGGATGAGTCACTAGTGTGGACATGCCTCCTCTGAGGACAGGCAAATTCTTTATCTTTGTCAGGGATGATTGGCTGATCCAAACTGCCCCTGGTGTGGAAGCGCAGCGGAGTCCCCCATCCCCAGAAGAGGCTGCCTGGAAGGAGGCAAGGCCAGAGCTGCAAATTGTGCAGAGATGGATCCATTAGTCTTCTCTGCAGATGGAAACTTGGAGCCTTTGAATTTTTAAATACGTTTTATTTCTTGCAACACACGGTCTACCAATGACTGTCCTTGGGCCCCAATTGCCTGCCTCAATAGCAACAGTTCTGCCACACTTTGTGCATTTGGAGTATGATCAGGTTCTGCAGTCCGGGGGAGTGACTTGGTGGTGGTGTTTTTACATCTTCTTTAAACTCAAAGATACCATGCAAGTGCCCAGTAAATTTCTTCCAGACTTAGGAAAAGAGCATGGGCTCCATCTCTTTCTTCCCCATGAAGATGATTTGCTTATGTTTCACTGCCACACTCTAATAGCGAAGAGCCTTTGAACTGGAGATGCCAGGCATTGAACCCAGGCTTGTGGCTGATCACTGAGCCAGGGCCCCAGTGATTCAGAGTAATTCTCCAACGTGCTGTCTCCAGTCTACCCATCTTCCCTACTCCCCATCCCCCAGATCTCATGGGCATGTTTGAGAAGCGACGTTTCCGCAAGTTCCTGGTGTTTGTGGCAAACTTCGATGAGAATGACTCAAAGACATTGGAAGGGGTGGATCCACATAGCACCACCATGCGCGAGGTCTATCGCCGCTTTGACCTGGGCCAGGATGTCATTGACTTCACAGGACATGCGCTGGCACTCTATCGTACTGATGAGTGAGTGGCTGACTCGAACTCCCTTACTGACGGCATTAGTCCATCTCCCTTCCTGCCTCTTGTGCCAGCTCTTCTAGCAGCCTCTTGCTCTTGGGGATGCATAGGCCACCTGTGGGTAGTTGGGTGTCCTTTCTGAGACTGGCTGCTAGGTGTTGTGGCGGGGAGAAAGACTTGGAAGGAAACTCCTATGAAAAAATTAGGATTCTTTTCAAGGTGATTGGCTACTTGACTTCCCCAGGCAAGCAACATACCTCTGGTCTGCCCCCTAAGAAATTCCTTCTTGCCATGTTCTGCCCCATGTGCTCTTCTCAGTGGGACTGAAGCAGGCTTTTTTCTCTTTCCACAGTTACTTGGATCAGCCCTGCTTGGAGACCATCAACCGCATCAAACTGTACAGTGAATCCCTGGCCCGCTATGGGAAGAGTCCCTACCTCTACCCACTTTACGGTCTGGGTGAGCTCCCCCAGGGCTTTGCCAGGTACTTCCTCTCTCATGGAACCAAGGCATTAGACTTTGTTTCTGTAACTCCTTGGAGGCCACATTTTTCTTAAGATAACCTTTAGGCTATGTATCTAGTAAACTAAGTTCGGTTTGAGAGCCATCACCGAAACTAACTGCTTTTATATTAGGCATAAATCTGGTTGGAATGATTCAAGGATGGAAACGATGGGTGGGGGGAGATCTTGTATATTTTGGACGGACAAATAGCTCTGCTCTTGCAGCCGAGCTGCATGGTGGGTTGGTGGAGAGCAGTTTGGTCAGTGCCTCTAACCCCCTCCTCTCGTCCTCAGGCTTAGTGCGATCTATGGCGGCACCTACATGCTCAACAAGCCAGTGGATGAGATTGTCATGGAAGGTGGCAAGGTGATTGGCGTTAAGTCTGAAGGAGAGGTGAGAACAGGAAGCTGGAGCCCTCACTTCTATGTGGTGGAGAGGCTGGGAAGGGATATTTCAAGCCATGTCTAGAAATTGCTCCTTAGAGCCATGACACTTGGTAGACTCCTTCTAAACCAGGAAGGGCCTAACTTTAGAAGAAGCCTTCTTGTCACAAGAGGCTTGAGTTTCCCTTGTCTTCCTTCACCCAGTGGTCACTCTTTTTCTCCTACTGCCTCATACTAATCCCTCCAGTTCACAAGGGCTGGCAGCAATTGGAATGGGGAATTACCCTTCCACTGCCTAAACCTGTGGCTTGAGAATTTGCCTGGCTCAGCCATATCCTAAGCATGTGCTAAGGGGCAAATTCAGACCCCAAAGCTCCCCAGCTGCAGTCAAGGTAGTCTAACGCAGTAAATAAATGAATGCTTCCAGCCATTTGCTTTTGAGCTCCAGCCTTTATTGCAGCTTTCCCAGCCTGATGCTCTCCAGTGAGCTGGGAATGATGAGAGTTGCAGTCCAACAAATCTGGGGAAGCCTGCTCTTTTGCATGCACTGAACTAGGACAAGAGATGTGTGCTAGCACTGAGATGGGAAGGATACAGCCTTGTAAGATCAAAGCAAAGGCACCCTAAGGTGTTATATTTTTAAAATTTCCAAAAACGGATCTTTCAAGCATAGAGCAGCAAAGTTCTCTGAGGCCTTTGTTGATACCTAATGGCATCACCTTGGTCTAAGTAGCGGTTTTTCCACCGCTTCTGGGTTGTACACAGGTTTTGAAGTCAATTGCTGAACAACTGGGAGTCACAAGCCCTTGCACATCTTCTGCAGATCAACTAGATAACTTTTGGTGGGTTTCCATCTGCCTTGGTTCTCCCTTGTAGTAGGTGATAATCCTAGTGCAGGAGGGAGTTGATTCATCACCCAGGCTCTCATAAGCAATTCCTGGAGCAGTGGAGCTTTAGCTTAATTCTCCAATTTAATTTTACTTTCTCCCTCTGTTTACCTTTTATTGGTTTCTGCCATTCTTCTTCAGTGAAATCCTCCTGCCCAGCCCTTTTGTAAGCCTTGTGTCTTGGTCAAGGCGTGCTGTGGCTTCTAGGCCTCAACGCTAAGAGCAGAAGTAGTGGTTATTACCCCCAATATTTTCTGATTGCTCCCGTGACATGGCATCCGTCTGCAATGCTACTTGTCAGGCCTTGAGGGCACTCTGAGGGAATAAGGATGGCAGCTGCTTCAGCTGCCAAGTCTAGTGCTTCTCCACTCAACCTCCCATTCCTGCCACTGGTTGTCTCTGCAGAATGACAAGTGTGCCTAGACCTCTTCTGAAAGGCATCTTGCAGGGGACCCCCTCAGTCCTGGCAGCAGCCCTGCCTCTGCCTGTCACTGAAATATTAAGGATTTAAAGGGTGAGGTCCCAACTGGAAATACTGTAATGTTTTTGATCTTGGACATCAGTGTAATTTTCTGCCCAGTTTTTCAGCATTTGCCCACCACCTTCTATTTCTCTGGGCTGGTTACCCCTCTTCCCTTATCCAGCCATTCTTCTGGTCTGGGCTGAACAGAGCTATAACATTAAATCTCATGTAGTTAAAAGGTTGCAAAACTCCTAAAGGCATTGGGAACATTTAATTACCTGTTTTGAATACTCCAATGCTAGCATGTTGTTAGCCTCACTGGCTTTTCTTTGAAGAATTGCAAAGTTTCTTCCTATTCTATTGCCAGGGTGATAAAACTCACAGTATGCCAGGCCCAACTTAAATGGTGGCTTGGGTTGCAGAGAGGATGGGGAATCCATTACGGGAGTGAGAAAAGTTGTGTTGAGCAGACCACTGGCAAGACAGTCAGTTTCTGCATTGCATACTGACTCTTTGGTGTCTAGACTCCATGTGCACAGGGAAAGGGACAGGTCTCCTTGCAGCACACCTGATAATGCCTCCTTCCTTACCTCAGGTGGCACGCTGCAAGCAGTTGATCTGTGACCCCAGCTACATGCCAGATCGCGTGCGCCCAGCAGGGAAGGTTGTGCGAGTCATCTGTATCCTGAGCCACCCTATCCGTGGCACCAGCGATGCCAACTCCTGTCAAATCATCATTCCCCAGAACCAAGTGGGGCGCAAGTCAGGTGAGCAGAGATGCAGTACAGGACAGTGGAGATAGGACAGGTGGGGGAAATAGAGAATTAGTTGTGCCTCAGGCTTCTTGAAAGCTATACAAGGTTGCTGAGCATCTTACAGTTCTTACATCTTTTCCAACTCTTAACCTTGTAACTATCCTGTGAAATGGGATAGAGCAACTGTACATGACAGACCAGGATCTGGACATGGGCTTCCAGTACAGGAATGCAGAAAGCTGTACTGAGATGAACCACTGGTCCAGCTCGCTCTGCTTTACACTCCCTGGCAGTGTTTCAAGAGGGCAGCGCTCCCCGCTCACCTTGGAGTTGCCAGGGAATGAACGTAGGACTTTCCACATGCAGAGCAGGCTGCAGCCCTTTCCCTTCATCTCTAAAAGAAGCTTGCTGCAAAGGAGGCATGAGCACTTGGGCTGAGAGGCATGCGCAATGAGCCTTCTGAAACGTTCTTTTCCTCCCGGCCTAGATATTTATGTCTGCCTCATCTCCTCTGCCCACAATGTGGCTGCCCAGGGCAAGTACATTGCCATTGCCAGCACCACTGTGGAGACGGATTCTCCTGAGAACGAAGTGCAGCCAGCCCTTGAACTGCTTGAACCTATCGACCAAAAGTGAGTAGGGCAGGGGCGGGGAGGCACAAAAGGCAGAGTGAGCTAGTCTTCAGCATGGTCCTGATGGGTTTTTATTACCTTCCTGAACTGGCCATTAGCCAGACCCTCTGTGGGTTGAAAAGCTTAACTTTTGAGCACATTCTGAACAGGAGCAGCAGGAGCAGAGAAGAATTAAAGACTCTGGCTTCGTTGTTACAAACAGCAAGTGGAAGTTGTAAACTTGGATTGCAATTGTATTGCTTCAAACTGCAGATGGAGGCTCACCTGAATGGCTGCTGCTGCATAAATCAGGAGGAGGAAGGGTGGGGTTCTGGTCTCGTCAGTCCCCTAATGTGGCAGTAATGCTCCATGTGAGCTCTATCTTCAGACTGGATTGGTACCAGTCAAGACATGAGTTTACCATTTTATTTATGAGAACGAGGCCTGAGGATAGAGTGAGAGAACAACCAAAAAAGAAAATTGGTCTATAATGTGCAAAAAGGGAAGTAAGGCTGAATCTGATTCTAAGAACTGAGTGGGTTATATTGGATCTTGTACTGGCCATGATAAATTGCAGAAGAGGTACAAAAGCTGTGAAAGCTGAGACTTCAGGCAGGAGATTTGTTGTAAGTCACAGAATTAAATGTAGCTGGGGAAAAATGGGTTCACTGCTGACATATGCATTCATCTAATTCTTCCCACGGTAAATCAGGTTCAGTATCATTCCCAAAGCAGTTAAAGCCGAAGTTAAAGAGTGGCAAAAGAAGTGCCAGCATGCAACCCTCTTACCTCAAATTGGTACCCTCCAGATATGTCTAACCACAACTTCCATCATCCCTAGCAAGCAGTGGCCATGTTGGCTGGGCATGATGAGAGTTGTAGTGCAACACAACTGGACAGCATCTGCTTGAAGGTTGGTATATACCAGGGGAAGTGAAGTCCCTCGCTTGTAACTCTTATTGGAGGCAGACTTCCTTATGCGTCTTTTCCTTTCTTTTATAGGTTTGTGGCCATCAGTGACATCTATGAACCCACTGATGATGGAACTGAAAGCCAGGTGAGGCTCCCCAACTCATCTGTTGTTCTGGAGCATTCTAGAGATGGAATTAGAGCATTGTTTGGTTCAAAGTTAGCTATGGTGAGGATCTGCCTTTGCTCTCTATCCTCACCTCCTCAGTTGACTTCTGTTTTTCTTGCCCTGCTTTCCTCCTTGCAGATATTCTGCTCATGGTCATACGATGCCACCACCCACTTTGAGACAACATGCGATGACATCAAAGACATTTACCGGCGCATGGCAGGGGCACCCTTTGACTTTGAGAGCATGAAGCGGCGCCAGAATGATGTATTTGGCGAGGATGAGCAGTGACCATTCCCCTTCCCTTTCAACCCCATTCCATTCCTCCCCACCCTGGGTTTTCCCCATGCAAGGGACCATATTCCTACCAGGGACTGGCTTTCCCCTCACACTTCACCTGAGACTGGCTCTTCCTTCATATCCTCATTTAGCTATGCCAGGCCTCTCCTATCTGGGACCAGTCCCCTTAAGCCACAAAGAGAAAACAGTTCTGGATTAATTTTCCTTTCTCCTGTTTGCCCCTCCCCTGGCTTTTTTTGCTGACAAAAACCAGACACCCCATCTTTCCCATGACTCAGATTGGATCAAATTGGTGCACCCTAAACCCTTAGGGGACTCATTTCTTCAGTTCCTTCCAGTGCCTGTAGGGATTTGGGGCCAAACCATGTATTGTATACAATTGCATGCATTTAAGCACTGGCCCTTTCTAGGAAAAACGCAGCTCCAGGCAGGGGTGCTTTGGCACCCTTTTCTGCCGGAGTTCCTCCCTTCTCTGGGTAGGTTCCACTGCATGTTTGCAAGGGTAAAGGTGAATTGCAATGGAGGCAGAATGAAGCACACGCACTGCTTTCCCAGTTCAGCAAGCTCCATCCCAAACCTGTACTGCATGTACTTTGGCCTTCATTCCTGCTCCTCATCTCAAACTCACCCTCTCGGCTCATTCTTCTCCCCTCCCACCCCTCCTTCCTAGACACAACCATGCCCTGATTATTGCTCCTTTGTGCCTCATCATTTCTCCCCGTTTCTCATCCCAGGTCTTTTCCCAGTGAACTGGCTTGTGGGTTCACTGATGACAGACCTTCCCTTCCCATGTGTATAGGCGGCCCTTCTTCCTTTCCCCATTCACCCCAGTCATGGTGCAAACTTTCATTCCTGTATATTGAGAAGAACTGGAATGGCTACCACTACAGTATGTGGAGTGGGGGAGGCACGAAAAGCCATTCCAGACCATTTCTTCCACACATGCTGTCCCTCTAGCCAGTCCTGTCTCCCCCACCTTGCCACTTCAGGTTCCCACAAAGCCTCTGTTTGTCTTGCGTCTCTTTTGTCCCCTCAGTCCCTCTTAGTTCCTTTAGCCTTCAGTGTGGGAAGATTTGTGTGTGTGTATGTGTCTCTCTTGTGTGCTGGACATAGGGACAGGGTGGTGGTTCTGTCCCGATCCACTTGCTGCCACCTGCTGTAACTTATTGTAACTTATTAACGAAGCAGGTCAAACTTTTGTTGACACTCCTTGACAATTTAATGAGGTTTGGATGGGGTTTGGCCCTGGCATGAGCAAAGAGGCCTGGGGCCTGTTTTATGTCAGAGGCTTCCTTCATTCTGAAGCTGGCTTTATGGTTAACAATCTGTCTGTAACTCTAGGGGAATGTGAGGGGTCCCCCCTCCATTCCACAGCTGCTCAGTTGTCTCAAGATAATAAATTCACTTAGTCTATCCCTGGTTCCTGTCTGGTACCATTGTTATAGGGATGAGGGGGAAAGGAAGTGATGCCTGAACTGGAACTCTTCCTGAAGGGGAGAGGGATGCTGTCTGAACAAAGAGACCACATCAGGCTAAGGAGATGGATGACAATATAGCAGGCAGAGTGAGTCCTATGGCACAAAATGAGGAGAAGGTTAGAGTTGCATCCCATCCTACCCCCATGCCTAATCTACCAATATAGACCCCCAGGCATGTGAACCATGCATTTTGCATAACTTGGGTGGCTTATTCTGATTACAGAATTTCACATAAAGCAAGGTAATGTGGTATTGCTACTTAGGGACTGATGTAAGGGAAGAATAACTGGTGCAAAGACCTCACATATGCCCACCCTTTTTCCTCCCTAGAACCATGGGAAATTCTACTTAGACCCAGGTAATTTATAGGCATTGTCTTGCCTTTTCCCACCATAATTTGCTTTATTCTTAGCCTTTTTCCTCCAAATCCTTTGAAAACAGATTTTCTATCTATCTGAAGTTGGGGACTGCAGCATTTGGTAAAATACTGTCCTAACTGTATCTAGTAGATGGTTGCTGTTCAGATATAGTGTATCTTTCTGAGCTATCTTAGGTTTGCATCATATTAGCTCAGTTGGTTTATAGCCCTTTCCTCTCAGGGAAGACGACAAAAGCAGCAACCAGGGGTCCCTCTAGTCCAACATTCTGTTCACATGGCAGCCAAGCAGCTGCCCCAGGATCCAACAACAGGATGCGAGTACAACTGCACCCTCCTACCAACATTCCCCAGCAACTGGCATACCTAGAAGGCAGCATCCAGCAACCAGGATGGAGAGCCACGGACAGCCCCCTGCTCCATGAACGTGTCCAGTTCCCCACCAAAGCCACCCAACTGGGGGCCACCATGACATCTGGTGGAAGTGAATTTCGTAATTAAATCATGTGCTGTGTGAGGAAGTACTTCCTTTTATCTGTCCTGGATCTCCCACCAGCCAGCTTTATGAGGTGATCCTTTCATGTTCTGGTATTATGAGAGAGGGTGAAAAATGGCCCCCTATCTACTTTCCTTGTCACATGCATCCTTCTGTACACCTCTGTCATGTCTTCTCTTATTTTTTTACTAAGCAGAACAATCTCAGCTGTTGTAGTTTTTCCTCATACGATAGTTGCTCCAGTTCCTTCTTCATTTTAACTGCCCTTTTTTGCATTTTTCCAACTGTACAATATCCTTTTTCACATGCAGTGGCCAGCACTGTACACGGTATTCTAAATGCAGTTGCACTGTAGATATGTGCAAGGGCAGCACAATTTTGCCAGTTTTATTTTCGTTTCCTATTATGTCTGACAGGAAGTTTGCCTTTTTCACTGGGTTGACATTTTCATCTTCAACCCCAAGAGGTCCATTCTTGGCCAGTCACTGCTAACTCAGATCCCCTCAGCTTATGCTTGAAGTTGGGATTTTTTGCCACAGTGTGCATTACTTTACATTGCTTACACTGAAACAACAAGCATTGCTTCACACTTAAATTGAAACTGTTTGCCAAATCAATATGGGATGTGGGGTGGCACTTTGAGCAGAGATTTAACAAGTGGAAGTGATTCATAACTCCAAATTCATGTTTCCCACCTGCAAATATCTCCTGAAGTTCCAATTCTCTTTGCAATTAACTTATGGAAATTCAGCTCTCCTCTGCAAACACTTTTCCAATAACTGTCCCTCCAGAAGCCATTTTCCCCCTTAGCAACATTTAGTTTGCAGAACCTTGGGTGAGAGGGAAATCTCATTCATTTATTACATTTCTATACTGCCCAACAGCTGAAGCTCTCTGGATGGTTCACAACAGTAAAATCAAGCATACATTACAATAAGAAACCACCAAAATGATTTTAAATTGTTGGTGGAGGCTTTTGCAGAGAAGGTTAGAATACCTATGAGAAAAACATAGGTATGCAACTTCTTGTGTAGTTTCCCTCAAGTAAGCCTTACATTCGTAGTGCTGATTTTCACTCTTCCCCTGACAAAATGGTTGTTGCCTTATAAGATCAGCAGCCATTAAATGCGTGTAGAAGAAGCCTTTGCAGATTTAGTGCAAGCCAACATGAACATGACTTGGTGTCTAAGCAAAAGAAGTATGGCTGTTGATATTTGGTTCTGGAGATAGAAAATTAAATTGGCACCCATGTAAACATAACACATGCACTACTTAAGACATATGCCATGTGGCCAAGCTGAAGAAAGTAGAGATCTGCCAGAAAACCTAAACTTACTTGAAATATGGTATCACACATTAAAATGGCAATATTATTAGTTAAACAGCTGACACATGGTACATCATGTCATAATAGAACTACTTTAATGCAGAATGTGGGTAAACTTAACATTCAAAAGATTATTTGCAGGCATTTTGGACTGACGGTATGCATTATAAATCAAAGATGTTCAATGTTCCATCTTATTTCCAATTAAATTGCAGACCCAACTCAATTAGGATGGAAGCAGTTTATTCAGAATAGTGGGGAATTCTAGACAAACATAATTCAAGCTAGAAAACTGATAATTAAACATTCATAATTTCCCACAAAATAATGCTTTACCTGTAAAAGAACTTCCAGCTGATTACCTTTTAAGCTATTTATTAAAAGCTACAGAGGGAGAAGAACTAGAGATCGAATTGCCAACATACGCTGGATCATGGAGAAAGCTAGGGAGTTCCAGAAAAACAACTACTTCTCCTTCATTGACTATGCTAAAGCCTTTGATTGTGTGGATCACAACAAATTGTGGCAAGTTCTTAAAGAGATGGGAGTACCTGACCATCTTATTTGTCTCTTGAGAAACCTATATGCGGGTCAAGAAGCAACAGTGAGAACTGGACACGGAACCACTGATTGGTTCAAAATTGAGAAAGGAGTTCGGCAAGGCTGTATACTGTTGCCCTGCCTATTTAACTTATATGCAGAGCACATCATGAGAAAGGTGGGGCTAGATGAATCACCAGCTGGAATTAAGATTGCTGGGAGAAATATCAACAACCTCAGATATGCAGATGATACCACTCTCATGGTAGAAAGTGAAGAGGGACTAAAGAGCCTCTTGATACGGGTGAAGGAGGAAAGTGCAAAAGTTGGCTTGAAACTCAACATTAAGAAAACTTAAGATCATGGCATCCGGTCCTCTCACTTCCCGGCAAATAGATGGGAAAGAAATTGAGGTAGTGACAGATTTTATTTTCCTGGGCTCCAAGATCACCGCAGATGGGGACTGCAGCCAAGAAATTAAAAGACACTTGCTCCTGGGGAGGAAAGCTATGGCAAATCTAGATAGCATACTAAAAAGCAGAGACATCACCCTGCCAACAAAAGTGCATGTAGTCAAGGCTATGGTTTTCCCAGTTGCAATGAATGGCTGTGAAAATTGGACCATAAAGGCCGAGCGCCGAAGAATTGAGATCTTTGAATTGTGGTGCTGGGGGAGACTCCTGTGAGTCCCTTGGACAGCAAGGCGATCAAACCGGTCAGTCCTAGAGGAGATCAACCCTGACTGCTCTTTAGAAGGCCAGATCCTGAAGATGAAACTCAAATACTTTGGCCACCTAATGAGAAGGAAGGACTCCCTGGAGAAGAGCCTAATGCTGGGAACAATAGATGGCAAAAGAAGGGGACGGCAGAGGATGAGGTGGCTAGATGGAGTCACTGAAGCAGTTGGTGTGAGCTTGAGTGGACTCTGGGGGATGATGGAGGACAGGAAGGCCTGGAGGAATGTTGTCCATGGAGTTGCGATGGGTCAGATGCGACTTTGCAGCTAATAACAACAACACATTTTCTGTAATTTGCTTGAAGCTATTGGCTATCTCTTTTTCCCTACCAATTTTCTCTAATTAGTCCACTATGAATGCCTCAAAAAGAAATTTAAAAGGAGATCTGTGAAGTTCCCACTCTCCAAATGCAGTTGGTAAAATTTTCCATGTTTAACTGCAGCTGAAAATACTCAAAACACAGGGTTAAGTGTAACTTTCACTGCAGTGCTTATCCCTCCAAGGTCTTCTGTGCCTTGGCAGACAAAAATTCAACAGAGGGGAATACTCATATTCGTTGAATTTTTACATATCTTAAGTTTCATAGAATAATAGAGCTGGAAGGGGCCATTAAGTCCAATTCCCTGCTCACAGCAAGACTCCCAAGTTAAACTGCCCCTTTCAGATAATTGGCCAGTTGCATTTTGAATGGCTCTAGTATGGGAGGGCCCACACCTCTCCCAGGTAACTGGCTCCATTGTATTTCTCTAACACACAGGAATTTCTTCCTGGTATCTAGTCAGAATCTGGCTTTCTGTAACTTTAGCCCATTATTCCTTGCCCTGTTCTCTGGGATGATCAAGAAAAGATCCTGTCCTGCCTCTTTGTGACAGCCTTTCAAGTCTTGTAGAGTGCTTTGGGAGACAATATTTGCAAGGGTTATTTTATTTTAATGCTTTGGAAGGATCATGTCCTTCCCTGAAAAAAGCAGAAAAATTTGCCTACATAAGTTAGAATGGGAATAGGATTGGGTGCAGGACTTCTGCAACTTTGAAAGCTGAGTGGCAAATTCACCACATTCAAATAGTGTTATTTCCATAATGATGTAAAGCAGCACTAGTAAAAATAATGCTTGTTATTGCTTGTCATACTACTTGGAAAGGTTTAACTTACTGTCACTAAAAAAGCAGCAGAAGCAAAGCCTTGGGGGAAGGGTGAAAGTGCCTTGGAAGAGCAAGGTGCTTTGAAATACTCAAAATCAGCATTTTGTAGTCTAAGGGGAACCAGGTTGGGGAAGGCTGAAACACAAGGGAAAAGAATGCCAATAAAACAAAGCATCCCTCTAAGGTGGGGGGAACTATGGCTGCGCTCCTATGTCCACATACTTAAGAGTAAGCCCAACTGAATTTGTGGGACTTCCTCGCGAGCAGACATGTAATTGCACTACGGAATGGGTCGTCCTCTCGCTCTCTGGTAGCTT